CCATTCTTGTATTTTTAGCTAGCACGATGTGCATTGCTTGAGTCATATCAGCTGCTCGATGAACAATTTCTACGAACTTCTAACCGGATATTACGTAAATATCGCCGTTTGGTGACGCGAAGCGATACTTAAATGTGTTTCAATCATAAACAACCAATAAAGCCTTAATTATTATCAAGCTTGCAGAATGTGCACAGGATTTTTCACAATTAATGGTAAAATCGAAACGCGACGATTCTATATGAAAAAGTAAATAAAAATACAAAATAGATTAAAATTGATTCATTACAGGGTTTTGTTCTTTATGCCACTAAATATTATGCAATATCGTGTTAATTAGCAAAACGTTGCATAATAGAAAATTATTTCGGCAGCTCAACCACTGATAATTAATTTGGCATCGTTCATCGTTTATTCCTGAAAAATATTATATTTATTTTTTCGTATAAAATCGGAACACCAGTTGTATTATATTTCTTAGATCATCGTGAATTTTTCTCAGCCACTGAAATTGAGCGACACCATCCCTAAGCTCACAGTGTCGCTATATAATACATATGTATCGACTAAACTAAACGAGTCTTTAATTATTGTAATTATTATTTCCAAGTCAATATTCCGTCCAATCTTGTACATAAATAATTTATTAAATTTAGAAATATAGGCAATGAAATAAACAAACGATACTTAACTTTAAGTGGTGCTATGTGCCCAGAATGCCGCTCGATCTGCATACATCCGCTGCTACTTTCCTTCATTTCTCTATAACCGAAGGTGTCACGTGTTCGAAAGCAATGGCCGTTGAAAAATGTGTGTGTCGAAAGAGAAAAGGGTCTGAAAAAAGGTCGAAACTTAATAGGAGAGGAAAAGAGAAATAACAAGAAATCAAGCGGAATATATCGATACTTTGCGGGCAGTGTCCACCAGCTGGAGCCTATGGCTATTGCCCATCTTGCCCTAGGCAGACTAGATTAGGTTACTATACACCTTCTTCATACGTGTACATATATACCTGCCCTCTTACATGCTCTTCGTTCTTTTTTTTGCCATTTTTTTTTTCTTTTTGCAAGTCATAGCGTATTTAGTTACACGAACTTGCACGTGCATAATAGATTCGTTCACTCGAAGAGTGTAGAATCGCTCAGCTCTGCGAGTATTATCGTGTGTCATGTACGTGCACGGAAACAGTACGAGAATGATCGAAGAGAGAATTATAATAAAACTCTGTACACGATAAACGAGTGAACGACCGCTCTTTTTATCGTTTTTCTTGTTTCTTCTCTGCCTGTGGAGACAGCAGAGAGCCAAGGCATTCGCTGGATCGGTAACAGCGAAGGAACGACGAAGAATCGCTAACTGCAGATTTTATTCGCGAAACACACGAAATTGTATCGCGTTCGTTTTATCTCTCTCTCTCGGAACTTCATTTAATCCCGATCGTTTTGCGTCAGAGTTTTGCCTGATGCTTAGCGTCGCGATCGTTCGTGACACATGAAATGTCATCGTTGTAATGTAGCTACACCAAAACGTGTTATACGCTTCCGTTAATACTTAATCGTGTCACCAGCGTTCGCCGTGAATTATCCACGGCGTAATAGCGATGTAAAGTTAGAGGAAAAGAGCAGAAAAAGAAAAGTTGTAGCAAACGAGTTCGGGTTTCGGCATGTGGTGAAGACGTAAGTGTGCCCCGACTAGCCGTATCGCATGTTAGCCGATGCGTGCTCGCCCCTCGTTGTAAGTAGCGTTCAGCACTAACATTCTAGTGACTAACTTCGGATACAGGACTCCGTCGTTGCGATGGTCTTTCTTTCCGCCATTAAGCGTGCACCATTTGCCAATAAAGCAAAAATAGAGTACCCTCGAGATCTTATACGAGGTATAAAATGTCTCCTCTATCTTTAGGAGTGTATTGTACCTAACTCTGATGACGAAAATGTCATTGAACTCTTGAATTTATTTTCCTCGAATAAATTATTTAAGGCGACTTCGATCTAGCTTGAACAACGCGATAGCCTGTAGTTGTCATAGGATTATTCTCGGGATAAAATTTGGGTAACTTATAAATATTTGCTGCACATCTATACGTTTACTATAGTTTCACGATCAGACTTTTCGCAATGATAAAAAGTAGGAAACAGGTTCAATATAGATATATAAAATGAAATTAGAGGATCGAGATCGAGATCTAACGACTTGTGTATATTTAGGTTGCACTGTCATATCGATCATGCTGATGTGTTACTCAGCGGTAGATTCCGACGAAGAAAATTTTCATCTCTATTTTTAGATGGTACAATACACTCTTAAAGTTAAGTGCAACATTTTGGAAACGTGGTATGGATACTTGAAATACGATTACCACTCGAGTGTATACACTTTAATTAATTTAGAATTCCAGTTCAGTGTCATCATTTTAATCAATTCGATGAAACAACACCTTACTAAATACCACATTTTTTCATGTTTCTCTCGCTGCAGCAAGAATTAATCAGCTTGCGACTAATATTTAGACTACTTACAACCTGGGTAGGGGAGCATGCAACACTTTGTACCGTATATGTACATACGTATGTGTTACTAGTGTTTAAGGCTCATCTCTTACTTGTGTGCACTTGTATGTTCATAAATTGTGTATATTTCTTTCCTCTTTTTTTGTACTCGATCGATAACGGACAGCGCATCTTGCCATTCGAATGTACATACCGACGAACTATGTCGTTAAACCTTTACGAAGAATGTATGTGAATAGATGTCATTTTTTGTGGAAATCACGGCTGCATTTTGTTATTTGTTCTTTTTTTGCTCACTTGTTTCACCTGTATCGTATCATGTATCGTTCAACCCTCATTGTAAATACTACAGTTCGTCCAAAATCGATTGGTTGCTCAAGGCTATTTCCCCTACTACCAACGTGCACACATGTATATATTCTTCTATATTTTTCCGTAATTTTACGTGTTTCGACCGAATAAATGGAGCCAATTTTATAATAATTCGTATTTTGTATTCCATTCCGTATTTTTTATTTACATAGTAACAAGTGAGATTCGAATTTATAAATAATATGGATTTTATTTCGCATGATAATTTTCTATCTTTTAAGATTTCAATTTTGGTTGCAAAATTAAATTAAATTCAAGTCGATGACCGAAATTTCACTTGGTTAACGTCAAGAGGAATAGAAATACCTTCGTCGTAAAAGATAGGAGGGAAAATTATTAAATTATATATGCAGAGGTTCATACATTACTAGCCTTGAACGACTACTTATTTTTGGACAGACTCTAGCCATTGTTCAACTCCGACCTGTCCCGATACCTATCTATCTGTCTTTTCTCTTTTTTTTTGTTCACTTCCCGATTCTTTGTTCGCACTCGTGCACATTAGTCTGTGTACATATGCATACTAGTTTTAGAGAAAAAATATGCACCTCACACGCGTGTGGCAACCCTCGCTAGTAGCTCACGTACATGTCGTAGTACCATAGTTCATGTTATGGTGAGTACATTTTGTTTTTAACTTCATCAGAGAGCACGCGAGTCCGTTATGGAATGATGATTATCATCGGCCGAGTGGTGCGTTCGATTTAACGAAATATCGCAATTTCTTTTCCCAACGCGTCGATCGCGATTCGAGAAATCGCAAAGCTGCATTCCATGCCGGACTCGAGTGATTAATCGATGAGCTGTAGTATTCTCTTGCTTTTGTTGCATGCTTGCATTTGCAAATGTCTTTGTGTCGTGCTTGCTTTGCTTTCACTTCACTGACGACTATGCCACTAATAAATTATTTCCTGTTCCGATTTCGAATCGTTTAACGAATTACTTGAAAACAAATTCAAACATCGTTTGCATCGATGATATCGAGAGCATAGCGTTGGTATGACGATGTAAGAGTCGAATAACAAACAAAATAGTTTCCTGCACTAAAACGGAACTAGTCGGTGATATCTCTCACAGTAGCAATTGTTCGCGTACATTTACAAATAAATAATATATATAATCTTCGCGGTGCAGTGCCCCTGGGGTTATTGTAACGATACTCGGCACCGGCAAATTACACTCGAGTCGGGGTAAGGGAAATTCTCATTACCCTCTCGAACAGAATATTTCTGTGTTACTGAAGTAGCGATACTCTGAGAGCGAATGAAATAGGGCATCAGTCAGACCTATCTCGATCCTCGGTCATCGGTCGTTTATATACGTGGATGAGTCATCCTATAACGAAACTACGCAAATTTTCCGACTTTCCAATGGATTCTTCGTGAATATTATTACAAATTGATGGATGAGATTATTTTTCAGTGAAAATGAACCTATTATATAATAATATACGCCCTCTTTTTACACGGTGAGAGCATACTGTGCAAAGGAAAATCATATGAAAAGGATCATACAAATACAGAAATTAACAGAGACACAGAGAACTTGCTTTAAGGGATGCACAATATACAGAAACTAACGTAAAATATAAAAATACTTTTACTAAAGCACTTTATCTAATGTATTATTATTCGAATTTTATTGAGGGATTAGGTTAGTAATCCGAATGAGATCGTGTTTGCATTTAATTTCAACGTGGAAGCTTCATCCATTCGTTAAAGATATTCTTATCGGAGTATAGTGAAAAATTGGAAAAGAATTGTTATTTTCGTTAGAGGGTGACTCACTGTTTGTCCTTATTTTAAATTCTCCGCTATTCGGGCGCCAGTCTGGCAAATAAGGGAGCTCGCTCTCACGATGGTGACATGACGAGGATACAGCGAGGATGAGAATGGCAGTATCGAAACGTTACAATAACCCAGAGAACACCGTACTCGGTACCAAACAAGCGAATGTCTAACAATTAAGAGAAACGATCGATTTACGTTTACAAAGCTTGAGAACGATCTTCTTAGAATCTGCCAAACCTCTCGATTCAATAGTTAGATGATAGAAAGTAATTTAGCCGAGAGTGGAATTGCGCAGGGACAAGAGTGATTATTAATCGTTTTGTTTCAGACAATACACTGTTGGCTATAGACTCGGTGCCTCCTCATGGACTAGTTCAACCACCGCCTTATATATCGCCTCCTAACCCCGAGGAGTGTCAAAAGGAGAAGATCCAAGAGATCTTGAAGGATCCATCCTCGCCCCAGAAGATCCAGGGTGAGAAGCAACAGAGCTATGGACGACAAGCAGTCCCGAAGATTTACTCTCACGATCCACGTCAGAGCCTCTGCGATGGTAACAACAAGCTTTTCGAAGAGACCAAAGTGTCGGGATGCGACGATCTGCAGCGCGTCTGCGATCAACGTCAGATCGTGTACATGCGAAATGCGAGGAACCAGCAGTACTATGTTCCCGGGAAAGACGCGAACCAACAGTTCTACACGTTGCCATCGAGAAGGCCACAGAGAGATGTCGAGCCACCTCGCAGCGTCACGCCGGACATCACGAGGGGTCTTGGTCGTGGTTCGTTGAGTACGATGCACGTGCTAGCTAGGCATGGCCAGAAGGCGATGATGGAACAGGATTCGAATCGCTATGGCTCTCACGTGGAATTGAATAAGAGGAATTCGGAGAGCACTGAAACGGAGAACAGGCTGATTCAAAGTCAAGAGCAGCAATCGATTGTGGATATTAGAAACAGGTGGGTAATCGGATGAATAGGTTTCGACGATTGGTATGGGAAGCATGATGAGTAAACAGCTTAACTTCTGGCTCGAGATCTTTGTATTCTATGGAATGATAAGAAAAAGGACTAGAGAAATATTTAATCGATGTAGCGATTTGTTTGATCGATTTCGCGATTAGTTTCGATGATACGAAGTACTTCTTCATTTGGAACTTTATCTGCTACGTTACGTTCATCGCGTTTATGTTAGTTATCTTGGCTTTGTTAATTAAGTATTTTGATTTCGGTTTTTAGTTATTTTGTGATCTCATTTTGATAGTTTTGCGTATCTCTACGTGTTTAATTTGATAAGACACGTCAAAGAAAATGCATACTGGCAGAATGGAATTTTCAGTAGTATGATAATGTCTCGGTATATATATATATTTTTTCTAAAATAATTCTTAAATTTCTTTTTGAAGGACAGCAAAATTTTTTCACGCGATATCATTCAAAGAAGAATAACACGACATATGCTAAATTGGAGATATTGTGGCATGTCAAATTTATCACTTGTATCTACCTTAATTATACGATATCTTTACATGCGTTATTCAAATTTCAAAACATCGAATGGAGTTCAGTTTCGTTATTTCTCATCATTCACGCATTCTCCTATAATTTTCCGTAACAGCAAATTTCAATTAAGTTCCATCAACTCTACATATATCGACAAATCAACCCCTAATCATCCCCTATCCCCTAAATCAACCCTACATTTCACCGTTCAACATAAGCAAACAGCTCGTCGATGCTCCTAGTAAACCGACCAAAGAGCGTCAAGGTACTAGAAGGAACTCGTTCTAAACGCGAATCTTCGTTTTCTTCACCCAGATTCCCAACACCATTAGGGCTGACAGCGCTTGGATATCGATTCTTCGCGTCCTCGCCTGTTCGTGATCCCGTTACGAAGTCTTCTAGTGCTGATGCGTTAAAGTACAATCCAATTTCCCCGATCGGGCACGGCTACGGTAATAGTTTCAAGTCGTCCACGCCGACCGGACGTAGTATGCCAACTGTTGCCGAACGTTTGGTACTCACCGCCAACAACAACTGCTCGTCGATGCCGAACTCCGGAAGAAGCACCCCCGTCCAAAGCTCGTCCGGCAGAAGTACACCGACGAACCTGATACTTTCACCGACCAAGAGCACAATGTCCAACGAGGAGCTATTCGCCGCAATTCACAAATCGAAGAAAAGACTGAACATTAAGGATGACAACGAGAATCTCTCTCCCTACGGATCGACCAATTCGTTAGTGAAGATGACACCTGGGAACAGGAACAGTTGGAGTTCCGAACCGCAGAAATCTCCGACGGTATGTACAAGAATAAGGGGTTGTTTGTATAATTCCTAACATAGCACCGAGGACTAAGTTTGAGCCAAGTTCCATTGCATTCGATAGTAACTTGTACTGTGAATTTGGATGTTATTAACGCTACTGTTGCCAGTCTACAATTAGTAATACGAGAATACACAGATAATAATAGTTGTAGTAATGCTACTAAGGTAAATAACTATATATAATCTGGTTTTTATCTAAATAAGAGTCAACGTTAATTTCAGGAACTATGAAGATTAAATATATTAAACGAGTCATTTTGCTTCTTTCGGCACTTTTAATGGTGACTATGGTGACGATTAGATAGCCTGTGATCGATTGGTTACGAGGATTGAATTGTAATTAACCTGAAAATCGAGTATTAACACTTTTTCGCTCGAAAACACGCTAGAATCTGCCAATCGTTTTTCAGTGACCTGTTTTGGTCATCGCTAAAATTATGGCACATATAGAATTTTTTACAATGAAGCGATATTCTACTTTTGATTTATAGGTATCATTCGGACATAAAAGAAAGAACACGAGAAGCGTAAATAAATGAAAAGTTTTATATTTCCAATCGTAGGAGACAGGTGAAATGTCAATAACGTCATCCTAAATCCTTGAATTTCACTTTTTAATACAAAAGTCTATAAACAAACGATAACTTATCATAGCTATACTAGTTTAAGCTTCCTTACATTTCTGTCATAATCTACAACGTGACTGTTGTACACGTATCCGAATTGTTATTTGCATTACTATTAAAAGTGGAAAAGGAATTTCATGCGGAAGCTGATTGAATTTGAATGAAGAAACCTTGATATTTGAAGTATTTCTTAAATTGCACGACGAACGATTTGTGAAAAATAAACATTTTTATTAATTACCGAGTGACTATAAGAAAATCACACTTTTCTGAAATGTGATTGTAATGTGAGTGTAGCCAGTTATCGACGTGATTTAATTTCATTGTTTTCACGTTACGAATGAAAGATATCATCCGAACTTGACATTTGCCACCAATGTTCATAAAGATACCCGATAAATTATTGCTTGAACACACGTTTCATACATATTGTTGAAGACGTCTTAAAATACATGATAAATTAACAATAATAAAAATCTATAACCGTATTGAAAAAAAAAAGAAAACAAGGAAAATAGATGGAAAATGAATCTTACCACTGAGGTACCTATAAATAATAATTCAAAAAGATATGTAAATATTGTATTCGGTACCTTGTATTGAATCCAACTACCTCTTCACGCGCATATGTTTAAATCAAATATACTTTATGTGCGATATTTAAACTAATCGGTTTGCAACAATCACATCTGGAAACTTGCAATTTTGACACATTTTTCATAAACTACCAAAGTATAGGCCACACTTGTTACCGAACAGTACGTGTTACGATTACCATTACCAGATTCCTACTTTGTTTCTGACATAAACAAATCGATAACACGTTTCCTCATTTTAGGTAACACAGAACGCCCAACCAGCATCACCTGCCACTTCACGGTTGGACTTTAAACGGTTACTCCTTCAGCAGAGCGTGAAAACCGGACCAACAAGACTCTCAGCAGCGGAGCAATTGAAGCTATCGCGACAACAATGCCAGCAGCAGCAGTCGTCGCCGACAATCCAACAGACGACTTCGTTAGCCAAAGTCCTTAGCCCTCGTTCCGTCTGGAGGTTTCAAACGCCTCGTACGGACGTGCTATCGTCCACTATAATCGAGGACACGGCGGCCGAGGAGAAGGCCATGAAACCTTCCCCTGAGAACACTTCCCCCGTGTCGAGACTGAACGTCAGACGGCAACTGGATCTTTGTAGCGATCTGCCCGAAAACTTGCGACTGGTCGATTCCGTCAGCGAGGAATCCATCGCCTGTAACTTGATTACCGACAGATTGCCGTTGAACAACGAAATGGAGACGGGATCTTCCATTAGAAACAACCCGACGCAGGAAACCCTCGAGAGCAACAATAATCACACGGCTAGTTCTTCCGTTCCAAATACGCTGCCGTCCGTTTCGAACGCTTCAGACGCTAATTCACAGAACAAGACGACCAATTCCGCGACGATCCCGTATCAAGCGAACTGCTCGCAGCTCACTCCTTCGTGCCAACAAGCGATAAGCGCTTTCGAGTCGAGGAGGATCAGCAATCAGCTGGCTAGAGCGCAGTTCCTGGCTGGCACGTCGACCACCGCCAGCCAGGGGCACAGCACTTATGCGAAGAAGATGTTCCGCGCGAGGTCAGAGTCCCCGCAGAATCCAGCGATACAGAACGTCGCACGTAGCCCTAGCGTCCCGACGCTGGAAACTGCTCTGTGATCGCGACACGCGCCTTGCGTGCTTGTGTAGCATGTGTGAGCTATTTAGAACCAGATTGTCCGTTGTTTCTTCGAGTTAACCATAGAACTGCCGATCTGTTCAGCTAAGTATAGTATATAGGGATGGTAACGAATACATATACAGAAAGGAATATGTATATACGATTATGCAGTAATGCTCGGTTAAATTGTAATGGAACATGCTCTCACCACTAGGTGTCTCTCGCTAGGCAAAACTTGATACGGTTAAGAAGAACAGAGAGAAAGAAAAGGAGACAGATATAGTATAAGGGTATGCTGTTAGTGAAAATATGCAGTAGAAAATATTTTCCAATGCATTGCTAGTATTCCTTTGACTAAAACGAATCCAAGCATCACGTAGACCGGACTATTTTGTCATGACATTACGTATCATATGGCTGTCTATATTAAGGTAATTGTTATAACTAAAGTTAGTCTAATCTATGTCGTGTTTGTACTCGTTTTAATCGGAAGAATCTCAACGATGCATTGGTATCACTTTTATAAGGATAACGTAGGAATTAGGAAAAATAAAATTTTTCTAGTAGCGATGTTTCCATTGAAACCTCAAATATTTATCGTCGCTACTGACATAATGTATCTCTCTTGCTTCGTTTCTTCATATTTCTTCTTCTTCTTTATTCTAGCAGTGTTCGAGTCAATTTCTAGGCAAAATACTGGGTACTCTGCTGGGTTTCGATAAAATGTAATAAAATGTAATGCTGGATTTTTTACGATTTAACCGAGCATCATTGTACATAGAGGTGGTAATAACTATATATATGGAAAGGAATATGTATATATGATCATATTTCTTTTCGAAGGACGTTACTTTTGTCAGAAGCAGCTTCAAAAATATGTTATTAAGCACTTGTAAAAATAAAATATTCGGAACCAGTTCTTTTTTTTAAACTGGTTTGGTAAATGTTAGTCGTACTTTTCGAATGTACTATCGATTTCGATAAATATGGGAATTATATTGGTAGTAGATCATAATTCTTCGTGTAGGATATTAGTATCGCTTTTGATACTCTAAACGAAGTGTTAAACAGTTCTGTCGTATTTTGATCTTTTCTTTTTTCGAGAAGACGATTCTTTTATATCTGGTTCCCAATAACTCACGTTTAACGAAGATTCTCCTACGAGTATCATTCAAAGCTATGACTGAACACGTAGAAATAATTGAACTTAATATTAGGTCTGTGCAAAAGTTCATTCGTTTCTCTGAACAGAAATTTCGAGTAATGATGAAAGGAAATATTTATTTTTCAACGAAATGTTTTCATTTCCTGTGTACCGTGTCGTTTGGCTGTCTAGACTATGTAATATTGACATTGACAGATATTTTTGAGATTCATCACTCCTCTATTTGTAATCCATTGAACGGTGAACAAAGGAACTTTAACATTGACCTAATGCAATAGGTGATCGATCACTCCGAATTTGATTAGAAAAAGCATTCGTTCGACGAATTAGCAGGGGACAATAATTTATTGCAACGTATTAATACGATGTCGGAGTTAAATTAGTATTATACAGTATTGGATTGCTTCATTGATACGAAAGCAGCAAGTAGAAATATTGGAAGTTGATCAGTTGGATGGAATCGGCGATGAAAATGCTGTCGATTTGTATCGCTGAAATTCACTTACACTATTAACGAATATAACTGAAGCCGAAGACTTTCGTAAGATTTATACTCCTATGATCTACTTTATTCACATATACAACGCGAATTCGCTGAAAGCAATAAGTCGCAATGCAAATAATCCTTTGGATAATTTAGATAGCGATATAAATATATACATATATCTATTTTATGCCTTGTCGACTGTATCGAAGAGGACTTAATGGAGGGAAACCGATGACTATTATATAAATGACTATGATAAACGTTTGTACATGAAGAAAATATTTAAGAAGAATAATTTTTATTCCTCATATTCTTGCATTTTACCACTACACTCTATCGACACTTATCATCGACACACTCATTCTTCTTCTTTCTTCTCTCGAATGAACAACGTGTATCATAAAACTTACCGTTCATTTTCCTTTGATCTATTTAAAAGGAAACGCATTACTGAAAGTTTATAATCACTGCTCGACCACTTAATAGAATTTATTTCTAACATATTAATTTATTCTTCGCATACACGATATCGAGATCCTGAACGTATACACGTAGTGGGATTCTGTATATAGCACACGATATTTGTAATTACAATGAACGCATTCTGCTTTGAAAAAAGGAAAAAAAAAATCAATCGCTTGCTTGTCTAGTCGGAGTAGTTTGTTATTCAAAATTCCGAAGGATCTTCGGATTTCTTTTTTCTATTGTTCGCAATCGCGAGAACGAGCGTGTAGAAATCGTATTATAGCGAGTCGGCATGTAACAGAAATTAAGCTTTACGAATTATCGGGTGGTGAATAGTAATATATTCAAAGAGGATTAACGCGTAGATTTACGACAGAGTTGCCTTAATTAAATTATTGTGAGCTATGCCTCGATGCTCGGTTAGAGCATTCGCAAAATTTGTGAATGATGACGTTAGATTTTAAGCTGAACGTGTTTTGTACTTTGCTCAGAATAAAAAAACAGAAACATACTTTGCTGAAATACAATTGCCTATGAACCTTGATTTTCCATTGAAATCCTTCCAGAGTGTAACTATAGGATAATTATACCGTAAAAATGTTGAATCGTACACTGATTTTTCATAAAATGCTTGATTCGATTCAAAATAATTTGTCCTTGAAAATTTTTAGCCGCGTTGACTTTCGTTTTAATGAACTTTAAAATCCTAACTCTAGCTCCATCTCGACTAAATAACTGTTTAAAAATTAACAAATTGTAAATAATTCCATAAACCCTTAATGAAATTACTTGATAATAGTTCTTTGCGTTATCATTGAAAGTAGAGATTTCTAAATCAATTTGAACAACTTTCAAGTCTACATAGTAGAGAGTATAAGTGCAGATTATATTAGATACACACAGTGTTATAGTAATATTAATCTCGAAATCATTTATGCCAAATTTCCATTAGTCTATGTATAAGAATTTAGTTAGGAACTTAATTATTAAAAGAAATTATTAAATCTTTTCCTTCTAGCTTTTTACCTTGCCACTAATTATCTACATGGAGAATGCAAAAAGAATAGTAATTTTTCTCAAATTTCTATTTAATTATTTTAGCAATACAATACCAAGGTTCCTTATCATTGACATCAAAAATTATAAATAAAAAAATTGATATTTAATGATAAAAGAAATTCGATTTCAATTTAATTTTATCTTCTTCCATTTTATATTTAATTCTCGGATGTAAAAGACTGAATATTCTTAAATTAAACTAGTATTTCAATTAAATAGTTTACTATTTTTGAAAGAAAGTAGCTACATAAGAAACGGATAAGTGGATTTTTTATTGCCACCTTTGCCTGTATAAAGTAATGTAGTTCCAATTCATTATACTGATCGATATCATGATATTATCAATGGAAAATAATAAGAGGTTATTACAGATAACCACGTATGACAAACAGAGGCATATACAATCGCGTTTTTATAAGATTAATAAAGGAGTTTTTATAAAAAATTTTATCAACGTTATCGATACTTATAGCAATTTTATATAATTGTTTCCACGTTTCAAATACCGTATTTCACGATGTATTTGAAAAATATATTTCTTAATATGCACATTACCTTATCTTCAAACATTTACTGACTCATATGGAATTTCTTCTCACAATTTTATCTTTACATAGATATTTAATTTTCAAAGACACCTATGCAGACTTATTTTTATTTCTAAAAACTTAAGTTTCGAAGCTGTAAACTCTTATCAAACACATTTTGTAAATTTTTCCAATATTTTTCAGCTTATCTAAAACAACATAATCAAAATGTTGCATCTATGATTCATCTTTTTTCTAATTTTTTCAACAGAGAAATAGATCATAAATTCGTCATAAATCATTGATAATTGATAAAGCAAGATAAATTATCTTAATTGAAATATGCTGCAGCTATTAGAGAATAGATCATAAATTCGTCATAAATCATTGATAATTGATAAAGCAAGATAAATTATCTTAATTGGAATAGCTTCATCGAGATAATGGCCACGAGGATAATTATATAACTATAGTAAGACTCTGTCTCCAGAGCAATAACTCAATTTGGATTTGAGAAGTATTACCAAATGCGATTTACAACGCCAATGACTCAGACCAGCCTTTGAAGAAATATTACCACGAAATGAGTTCCTAAGAAATATAGAAAACTCCGTATGAGAACTCCACAGCAAATCAGTTTCTTTGTTTTTGCTAAACCATCACTAACTTTTCGTCAAGACTATCATAAGAAAATACACTGACGGATGTTAAACTTTCAAAATTAAGCACGATGTAGCAAAGAATCCTAATTTCACTCATCGATGATGTCCTTTCTCTTCTTCGACAAGTAGGTTAGGACGATATGGAATATACGATTGAGAGAAGAGTACCTCCGCTATCATAAGCCGCAACACCTGGAACCGAAGATAAACGCGTATGCTTTGGGTTCAGTGATTCGTGCTAAACGCTACACGAAAGTTGTTTGTCATTTTATGGAAACGCGATGTATTGAAAAAGTGAAAATTATCCAATCTATCAAAAGTTGACATCCATAACCGCAGTATGAAGTGTATACTACGACTTCGTATTCTTCTATGCTTAGCTACCGCGTTTGGGTCGGTGACATCGTTCAGCGTGTGCCCTCATAATCTATTAGACAAGGATGTATCTGGAAGTAGTACTGACTACTTGTCGTACAGACTTCCGAAAGAAGTTATTCCAATAAAGTACTCTCTTTACTTAGACAATGACATGAGAAACTTCACGTATTTCGGATCGGTATCGATATACCTGAAAGTTGTCGAAACAACGGACACCGTTGTAGTGCACAGCGATGGTTTACGTATTCTAGAGGAAGAAGTGGACCTCTATCGCGTGAAAACCGTAAACGAATTGCAAATTCCTTACATTCGTGAACCAATTATGTGCCAAGTTTATGATCCCGAGAGGCAATTTTATGTCATAAAGACTGAGAAGGAATTGGAGCCTAACGAATACGTGTTATCGATCAAGTTTTTGGGTGAAATACGAGATGACGTGTTTGGATTTTACAGGAGCTTCTATGTCGAAAACGGCGAGAAAAAGTATACTCATCGTTCGATGTTTAAATTCTGCAGTAATAAAGATACTCGTTTTACATAGTTCTGACAGCAATGAACCTTTCTGAACTTTTCAGGTGGATGGCGGTCACCCAATTTTCTCCAACGTATGCACGCCGAGCGTTCCCCTGCATGGACGAGCCGCATTTGAAAGCAGTTTTCCAGCTGAGCATTAGAAGCAGTGTTTACAATCTGACAGTTACAAGTAATACCAAGGCTGTATATAGGACACCGTGGTATGATGTACTATGTTTTATAGAGGGTGATTCGCTCATTAGTAAACTCAAAAGCAATACTGTCTACCTAGAAGTACCGATATTTAACGGGTACCTAAACATAGCGAGCATAGATAATAGCATCCTTAGTGATATTATCTCAATATGAGTCCACGTTAACTCCTTTAAAAGTAGCTATATATTTTTAGCAATTGCTACAAGGAAAATTCTGAGACCAGTCTTTTCGGCCGGGTTGGTAGTTCTAGCGTTAACACGTTAAATGCCTCGCTGGTCCCTAGGGCCGAAGCTAGACTTACCATTCAGGCCTCGCCGGTCCGTACGGCCCGGAAGGGCCCACATGACAGCTAGCTGTGACATGAACGGGATGGCACGTAAAACACCGCGAAATATCGCAGCAAGGGTCCTGTGTCTTTACAGAGTAATCCCACGAACGTGTACAGTAACTATATTTCTATATGTATACGTGTGGGCTGCAAAGTTTCGATTGTAGAGATTTTCCGAATAGGCAGCACGTTAGCTTTCAGTCCACTGATGAGCGAATCATCCTGTATAGGAATTCTCATAATCGAATAGTGTTTCATTTTAATTATCCATATTAAATATTATACGTATTCAATGAATCGATATCCATTCCACCTGAATTTCTATCTCATTAATAGGATTGTCCTTTAAATCTAGTCGAATCTATTTACAAAGAATAAAGAATTCTAAAGTGTTGAAGGGAAATTGTACAGAGCGTTCGATTTAAATTGATTTAAAACAAAATAAGATGGCACAAATAATATTTTCATCCGATGTGTTTAAAAACAGGAATGAATATTGTTTCGAAGAGACGCCAAGAATGTCTACCTATCTGCTAGGTTGGGCTATACACGAATTCGTTCCCGACCAGCTGATAAACTCCTCAGGGATGTTTCAAATGTGGACCAGGAGATCCATGAACCATCGCGGATCAATTGCATTGGACGAGGGTCAATCTATATTCGCTTTCCTGAACAATTGGGTTGCGATGTGCAACCCTATTTCAAAGATGGACCAGGTTGCCGTACCCGACTTCAATTTTCACGCGATGGAAAATTGGGGCATGATCACGTACAGGGAGTCCGTGGTACTCTACGAGTCTGGTCTGACACCCACGAAGTACATGATCGATGGATTCACCACTATGGCTCACGAGTATGCTCATACCTGGTTTGGAAATCTTGTCACGCCTATGTTCTGGAACGTTGCGTGGTTAAAAGAGGGATTCGCCTCGTACTTTCAATACTTTGCCGTGTCCATGGTGCATCCAACGTGGAGAATGATGGACAAATTCGTGGTGGACATGCTGCAATCAGCGATGCTCTTGGACTCTGCGGATCATAACAGGGTTATGAATGGTCGAAACGTGGGTAGTCCTAGCAGCATCATGGCGGTGCTAGATTTTGTTTCGTACAAAAAAGGTTCGTTTATTGGGATTTGTGTCGAATGATTGCGTAGAAAAATCAGTATCCTAGCGAATATAGCTTTGCAATACGTAGTCAGATATATCGTTTAGTCATAATACTATTAAGATGAAAGTATAAAATACTGTTTAAAAAAATGAAGGTGATCTCGACTTTTTATCGAAGAAAGAGAATGTTTTTGAAATGTTTTATTGTAATTTTTAACCGATCAAAAATCGATCAATCTTTATTCAAAACATTTTCGTCAGGTTAGTGATAGCGTTTGAAAAATATAGTGGAACACCCTGTACAGGGGTCCGAATATAAGCTATATCGTTTCGAACATGTATTCAATACATGTTTGATGAAATGTACTGGACATTACAGATATTTTCAGAAATAGAAATTTGTTAGATTTATATTTAAAAATCGGTGAAATCGGAAAATTTTCTTTAGGTATTTACATTCTTAAAAATATCTTAGCGACTTCTTGTCTCTTATATCAGTATGTTAGGCAAAAATAAGGGATATACTGTGAGATAAAACAACATTAACACGTAATCAATTAATTACGGAATGAAGTATGTCCTCATAAATCCTCAATTACCTTCATTCAATGACCGAAGAATCGATTGATACGTTTCAGGTGCATCTGTGATCCGTATGCTCTCCCACGTGATCGGTGAATCAGCTTTTCATAAAGGTCTACAAGACTACGTGACATATATGTAAGTATTGCGAAAACGAAAGCGTTTTTGGTCGTTATTAATTAGTAAAATTTTTGTTAATTAAAGATTTTTATCTTCGAGATATTTTTGATAAACTATATAGGATGATACGCGTAATACGCAAAGTACAAATAAGATTTCTGATAACTCGAATATCATTTTTTATTATTTATTCTTTGTTATTTAATTTTTATGGCTTTTTCCACAGCTTTTGATATTTTGAATATATAGTTGATTTATTGCTCACTTTTTGTTTATTTCGGTAATAATTCATTACTACGTCCGTTTCTTTCTTCTTTTCCTTTTCTAGATTAGCTAAAATAATTAGGTCAGCTCCTTAATAATATATAAGCTTTGAATTGCCGATTACTTTGAAATAAGTAATAAATAAAGTTTTTTGTGGTTTATAAGTGGCAGTTAGAGTAGCTATACGCTTTTAAAATCTGCTTCTCAAGGAAATGTTATCTTATCGCTTTAAGAAGCTAATTGAAGCTCTTACATGTTTCATAACGAAAAATATAAAAGATATAATGCTGCCAATGGTATTACGAGCACGTTTTTGTTCAATTAGTATGATACCGTATTATATGATGTACCTACATATATAAAATATCCAAGAGTCGCTAAGAAAGCTATTTAACAAGAATTATGAATTGATTTTATAATTAAAAATCATAAATAATAATTCAAGAACGCGAAATAAAATTTATTCGTCTCAGACTTCGTTTTCGGGAATATCCAATTTAAAGAGTCGTTATACAAAGTGTATGCAGTAAATAAGGACAATTGCATTCTCTTTTAAACTGAACTATGTATTTTTTTCACATAGATCGATTCTTTGGAACACTTTATTTAAAAAAATCTAGATATCGTGTATTTTCTCATCAACGCATACGTATCTTTGTGTTTATTTGCAACTGTGCGTCATGAAATATTCGTAGTATCTTATCCTATTTGTAGGGATATACTAGGTGTTTAAAATTTTGTTTATTAAACAAAAATAGAAAACGGAAATATTACTTGAACTTATAAAGAGAGTGGGAGTCCTTCGTGTCACCGATTTAGTTGAAACTTTGCAGCTTATAGATATCGTCATGCAGTTTAAGAAAATATATCATTATAGCCGCAACCACTCGATAGTTTTTGAGATATTCGCGATTAAAGTTTTATTACTTCTTTAATTATATATTTATTTCAAATATCTTGCAAGTTAAACTGTAGCGTAACAGGGACGATCGAGAATTGATATATTGGAGGACCGGGGTTCGATTCACGTTCCATAGTTTTTGATAGTTTTTCCAATATATTTTTTATTTTGTATACATTTCTCGCCTATGAAAATATTGTAACTACACAATTATAAATAAAATTTCTTAATAAATAAATTTATTCTTTACGCTTTCTTATGTCAGTATATATTGTGGTATCGCAGGATGTGTGGGTCGAGCGTATTATCTGGTGTGCGTGCGGAAGAACGAATGACCGTGCGCTAGGATCGTGTGGACGGGATGTTTATGAATGTATCGGATGAAAGTGAAGAGTGTCTCTAGGAATGCGTTTGAGTGTTTGGGCTACGTGACCCGCTGAGGGTAAGATTGCAAGGAGTACGTGGGAAAGTGTGATTGGGAAAGAGAGAATAGGTATGAAAGAGGATAGAGTGTATGGTTTTAAACAGGGACGCAAGGGCGTGAAGCCCTTGGTAGGTAGTATATTGGAGTATGCAGTAGGCAGTTCGTAGTAGAGTTGTTAGAAGAGAGTTGTGAAGAAAGTAGTTGTTAGTCGTCTAGTTGTGTTTTAGTTGTAAGAGTTGTAATTGTGTTGTAATCTTAAGTTGTAGTAGTAATAGTAGTAGTAGTTGTTATAAATTCGTAGCCAAATCGCCACCGCACAGAGTTAATTTAATCCATTATTATTTGTTATTTAATAAATAGAAACTATATTATTTTACCAACCACCCATGTCTCTACAATATTAATTACCAAATAATAAGAATATTATAAATGAAAAATACTCTTCTGTAGCAATCTTATTTACCACAGAAAATACAAAACCTATCGCTCATATAAGTAATAATTATTAAATTAAACATCCTATAAGAATGTTGCCTATAATTCCAACTTTGCTGTGCAGCTATAAATGTTCATGAATTAATTACAAAAACTTGGAAGTTTATTAATTTTCTACTGTCAAATTGATTTCTAGTATTTCGTTCGAATAAAAATTTTACCGCCTGCGATCAGCGCCATCTATGATTTGGGCTCAAAAATCAAGAAAGTAATAGGAATATAGAATAGGCGAGGAGGTCGTCGAAGAGTTCGTCACGTGACAGACAAGGACAGAGAGGGGATAGAAAAGGATAGAATGGCTCCGGTAGTGAAAAATTATTAATTACTCAATATCCGTAAACAATTTGTGAACTTTTATAATTTCAATGCAAAGCTGGAACTTCAGGCTGCATTCCTATATAATTTTTGTAAAGAATTTAGCTCTAAATTGTTAGTTATTAATTTTTGTTTTATGGCGTCTGTGATTTCGTAACGGCGACCATCACGATCTTCCGAGAAAATATTTAATACTAAACGAAACTAGGAGCAAAATGTGATCAAAAGTTATATGAGAAGATTCGCAAGAACATTGTCTTTATAATGAGTGCATAAAGTTTCATAAATTAATTGCGTAAAGGATAGTAATTAATGAAAAATCAATGGCGTCTTCGACAATCTTCGACAACAATTCAAACACTGCGCAGAATAATTATTAATAATTAATTAATTAGGGACAAATTTATATCGAAAAATATATTTGAAAGTTCTTGAAGGATCTGGCTTTACGATGCAATTATAAAAGTTCATAAATTAATTACAGAAATTGAGTAATTTATTAATTTTTCACTGCCGGAGCCCTTCTATCCTTTTCTATCCCCTCTCTGTCCTTGTCTACCACGTGACCAGCTCTTCGACGACCTCCTCTCCTATTCTATATTCCTATTACTTTCTGAGCTTCGGGTCCAAAATCATAGATGGCGCAGGTGGTACAATTTTTCATTTTAATAGACGATAAAAACTTAACATCTTAATAAATCAATTTGTCAGTAGAAACTCAATGAATTTCCAAGTTTCTATAATTAATTCATGAACATTTATAGCTACCCAGCAAAGTTGGAATTATAGGCAACATTCTTATGGTATGTTTAATTTAATAATTAATACTTACATGAAGCGATAGGTTTTGTATTTCTTGTATCTAATGATTATTTGTATTTTCGTTTTCTTTTTGTAATAAATAAAATTGCTGTAGAAAAATGTTTTTCTTGCATAATATTCTTATTATTTTGTAAGAAATATATATTAGTATAAGAAAGAGTAAAAAATGAATTTTTTTGTTAAGAAATTTTATTTCTAAATGTGTATTTACAATGTTTTCATAGGCGAAAAATGAATACAAAATAAAAAGTATATTCAAAAAACTAAGGACAAGTTAATTTAAAACATATTGGAAATAAATATGTAATTAAGGAAGTAATAAAACTTTAATCGCAAATATCTCAAAAACTAATGAATAGTTGTGGTTTTAATGATATATTTTCTAAAACTGCAGGACGATATCTACAAACTTGCAAAGTTTCGACTAAATCGGTGACCCGAAAAACTTGCATTCTCCTTGTTAGGCTAATAAATGCTTCATTAAGGAATTGTAACAAATATACTAGTAATTTATTGGATACAATGTTTAAATAAGCATTATTTCGAACAATGAATAGGTTCAGATTCGTCGATTCCAACTGCATCCATACCTACACCAAATTCCGAAAGAAAATTAATACAAAAATTTCATAGTGCATTCTATTCGAATAATCTATTCAACAAAATCCTAATTTATTATTTCCTACCTTTGTCACAACTTTTCTTTACAAATTATTCATAATCTTTTATTATAGATTTCCATAAAATTGGTATATAATATAATATATAATATATTACTCATGAAATATACACAATTTCATGGAAAGAATTGTGAGTAATATAATAATAGCTCTCCTATACTGCCATTCGTATCAATTATTTATTACTCGAATCATTTTTTGCAAACCAGGTCATACCAAGCAGCTACTCCATCGGACCTGTACAAACACTTGCAACATTCCATTAATCAATCGAGTGAAATACAAAGCGACATATCGATTGAAGAATTCATGGAGACCTGGACAAATCAGTCGGGATATCCTCTAGTGACCGTCACACGAAATTACGAAACGCAAACACTCACACTATTCCAAGAACGATTTCGCTGGGATCAGGATCAGTCGGTATCTGGGTGGTGGATACCATTGAGTTTCACCACGGAAGAACTCGCAAATTTTTCCAATACGTCACCGTCATTCTGGTTAAAGCCAGAAGACGAAGGCTTGACACTTCCTTTCCATGTACCATCTGACGATTGGCTCATTTTTAACCTTCAACATGCTGGATATTATCGAGTGAATTACGACCAGGAAAATTGGTTAATGCTTACCTATTATCTCAACTCGAAACATTTCCAGAAAATACATAGAGCGAATAGAGCTGCCCTCGTGGACGATGCCTTCAACCTAGCCAGGGCTGGCTACGTGAATTACTCGATTCCGTTCGATCTTTGCAGTTACTTGGTCCAAGAACTTGACTACGAACCATGGGTTGCCGCTGTAAACAGTATCAGGTTTCTGAACACGATGTTGAACATCGATCTTAAGGTCCAACGAGCCTTCCAGGTAAGTCAGTGTAAAAAGAAAGTTTGTAATAATTAGGATAATAATTAAGATAGTTTGTAACATGTTAAGACATGAAGCACATGTTAACTTCGATAGAAAGTATGCAATATCTCAAGTACATTCCAAGAATACTTTATTTTAGATAAACTAGCATTTGAAAACGCTTACCTATTCACGAGGTCGTTTATATATAATATGTATCTGGCTAGAAAATAGGAAGATTTGCAACTTTTCAGGCTAATCTAATTTGTTTTAGACAGAATTACTTTTTGCTTAGAAAAAGAGTTTAACTGCTTGACTGTCTGAAATAATGATATAACAGATAACATATAATAAAGAATGAAATAGCATTGTACATTGACATTAGTACTATCGGTATATGTACAATATGTATTTAAATATAATATACATAGATATTAATAATTAGTGGAATAATGAAAATAAATAAGTTTATATAATTACTTATTAATTGATTATAGCTATTATATCTATTATACGTTATAGATTATATTATAGCTATTTTAAATAAATTATAGCTATTATATCAGAAGAAATTCGTAGAGGCAGTAACTGCAAGAGCAAAATCTCTGAAACAAGTTGTTTCAAGCACTTTGGTAATTCTAGAGTTAATTATACTTGGAGTAGAGTCTTAATTAGACTTCATTATACCTAGAGTAGAGTACATCCTGTAGGACGTTTGTAAGAGATGTGACATTAAGTAAACATAAATAAATTAAGAGACAAAGAAGACAGGTAATTTGTTTAAACATTTGAGTGGAAATAGTAATTCCCTTTTTTGCTTTGCTGTAATTACAATGTACAGTAATTACTATATTAAATGCAGAATAATTAAATATTACGTTAAATATTAAATAGTATATTCAGTCGATTCAACTTCTTTTAGATAGACATGTATTTTAAAAATTAGTATTTTTAAATATTAAAGTAATATTAAGTATATCTTATAAATCATTTGAAAAAGTAGAAATCGTACATTACAACATTTCGAATATCTTCTCTCATATACCTGTGTATTGAACTAACACATAACACGAGTATTTCGCAAACTTGGCCTTTTATGGTAATGGATTGCCGCATATATCGCGTTAACATTTTCAAGAAATGTGATTAAGAGTTTTCGATAACCTGTGAAGTAGTACATGTGACTCGTTAATGACTTCGTGAACCTTGATATGTACCTCTTCCTCTGATGTATCTATTGCCTTATCGATGTAAGCTAACGATATCACAAAATTATATATTTTCTAAGAACTTCGATTTATTATTTGTTATAATTAATTGTTAAATCTTATCAGTATCTCAGGATCCGCCATTCATGCTATTCTGCAGCGTTTTGATCGTATTCAAAGTATATGGAGCATTTCAGAAATGTATATTTTCCTTTATTTCAAGAGGCATATATTTTGATAACTCCGAGCTAAATGCGTAAGTGTATATGTACTCGGTAGATTTCCGAAAACGATTTAATCTCGGAAACGAAGCCTCGTTCAAACAGCATTCTTCATTTTTGATTCATACCTTTACGACGAATGGAACTCGTTTCGCAATATCGATTCATTTCTCAAATTAATCTTTTAGTAATTTTATAGGTACTATACACACGGCAGGCCAAACGTGACACGTGTAATTACGTGTCGTTTCACGAATTTCTAAGGGTATTTACTTCGAAAAATGCAGATGCTCGAAAATTGATTTTTCTTAAGTTATTCGGTATTCGTAATTTCTTCAACATGTCGATACTTCTGGGTATTGAGTTTCTTTTTCCAAGAATGCAAGCAATTGAATATATTCCGTCGAGTAATGCCAATGACTTCGAATATTCAAATTGAAACACGCAAACGTATCATGGTGCAATTGAAAACTTGTTATCGTTTAATATCTTTATAAAAATAACATAATGAGATTTTCAAATGAGGGAATATCATTCAAATAATTATAATTAGCTCGATAATTAGAATAATTCGTAATTTTGATGCAGGAATATGTTGATCGTTTGTTGCGAAACATGTACGAGCAACTGAATTTCACCGAATCTAGAAACGAAGATATTACTACGAAATTACACAGAGAGTTAATCTTATCGACTTCCTGTTTAATACGCAGCGCGGATTGCTTGAACATTTCCAAAACTTTATTTAAAAATTGGATGACTCAGCCTGATATAACGTATGCAAAATTTTACTTTATTATCGTTACGAAATACACGACCATCTTGGATTATTTTCCTAGTAAAAGAAATGTCGTTGCAATAAAATTTGTGTGATATCAAGAAGCAAATGTTCAATTTCGCCTACACTTGTATATCATTTATGCAGCTGTTTAGTAAGTCGTAAGTTAAATATTTATTTTCAAATTGCAACGATAGTTGGCCATCTTCATCCCGGAAACTGACATATTCGTCTCGATGTTAGAGCTGAGAATGATTAAAATAATTCGTAAATTAGAGTTAGCGTGCATACACATATATATCTAACAATTCGAGATAATTAAATTCCTAGAAATATTTCTGATATTTCCAAGTCCGTAATCTAGAATAGCCTACCTTTGTATCTATCATCACTGACAAACTAACATGATCATACTAGCAAAACACTTCGGCAGTTACACTAAGTCTCCTAAGTACTCGTGTGCTCTTCATCGTCAGCTAAAATTTCGATACCCTTTGTTTTTCAAATTCGTCAATGAATTATTTCACTAAAAATATATTAAAATATATATAAATCATTTATATATAAGAAGACCGCTGCACGTGAAGATTCGAGCGGTATTTTTTGAACGTTGACTTATAATACTTGTTTCTGGACATCAAGATCTCGTTATCTTATCGTGAATGGAATTAAACTGGTTTCAATTATTGAGGGGTTAAAGAACAAATGGCCAACGAAAATCGATAAAGCTGAATCTCGTTGTATCGATTGTATATTACTTATGACTTCTCATATGCATAATTGTGTCGCTTCGTGATTCATTATGAAGGACAAAATCGTAAATTTCCCGCCTGCTTATGTATTTCGTACAATTAGACGAATGCCGGGACAGATGGCAATCTTATACTAAGAATCACTTATGATTCATAACATCTGATTGGTCAATGGAATGACGAATCGATTTTCTATATAATACATTGCATAAGTTTTGTATCGAAAATCATGCAACCAACATAACGGAATTTTTGACGAATAATTATGTGCAATATTTTCAATAAAATATTACAATTCGAGGAACTGTTCGTTTTGAATTGCAGCTCTGATACGATTAATTAAATGTAGGGTTATTTTTTTTATCTGATCACTGTTCACTAGTTTGTATTCTTTTTGGAGTATTAATGCTTGTCATATGTATTTTTATAATAATTCATTATTGTTGAAATATAGTTTCGTACTAATATTCGATATAATATACGATATTATATTACTGTGATGTTATGCACAATCGTATAGCATGTAACGTATAATAAATATAGGAAAATTTATTTTCCATTTAATAATGTAATCGTATATTTTGATAACACCCTCGATTGTAAGAATATATTGTTATATGCATATATTCGTTATTATACGTTTCTTTTCAATGATAATATCCCTATATAATTTTTTCATTTATCATGCTTTCATATATTATTTATATACACAATCACGAAATTTTACATATCTCCATAGAAACACTAAATAAATATCTATATATTTTCTAATATTGTAAAGTAAAATTAACTAACGAGTTATTGGCGCTCTTGATATCATGCAAATATTATTAAAACCTAATTTTGCAACATTATCCAGCGAAATATTATTTTATAATTATTGCATTGATAGTTACCTATCTTTCCTCGTAACTTTGCTCCACGACAAGTATAATTTATTTTACAAATTGGCAGAATACCACGGGATGTCAAGAGCTTTGTTTATTGCGAGGGAATACGTGATGGAAACGAAGAAGATTGGTACCGAGTGTTAGCTAAATTCCAAATTACTGATCTGCAAACCGAGCAAGAACTATTACTGCAAGGTCTTGGGTGCACACGAAACGCTAGTCTGATTAAAAGGTAAACTATTACATTTATATATTCATAAATACATATTATAAACCAATACATATCCGAACAGACGACAAATCAATCAATGTTCCTCGTATTCTCGATATTTTCTCTGATTTCACCTCAATCTCCAAGTTCATTCCCCTTCTTCCAAATGGCACGATAATACCAGTCTATACCTCATTGCGAAGCTAACAAGATGAAATTGAAAATAATATAAACGGAGTTGGAAATCAAGGTGAAATAAGATTTTAAATAAGATTTTCATTCTAAAACAAACGCCAGGAGCTATAGAACCAGGATCGCATAATATTCAGCTATTGGTCGAACCTAATTAAAAATTTAACGAGATCAGTATCGATGCGTATTACCGTCCGCAACCTCTTCAAACGAGATCACTTATCTTTAATCAATCTTTAACCTGAAATATTTTCCACAGGTATCTCGAACTATCTATATCGGATGAGCAGAATGTCCATAAACAACAGAGGATGATGATAGTGAATGCTATTCTAGATGGAAACGCGGGGAATTTGGATCACGTTATGAAGTTCGTTCACTCGAACTTGAAGAGTATCATCGACCTGTACGTACGATTCACGAATTCCATGCGTATGGTTTGATCTCGATTACCTCGAATAGCCGTTGATCGTTGATTCCCTCGCGCTATATGTAAATTTCCGTTTACAGAAGAGGACACGATTTCCTAGGGAAAGTGATCACCGCGATAGGCAAAGCTGTGACAAGGGAGAAGCAAGCGAGAAAGGTATTACTCATATCTATTTTCGGCGTAGATACATCGCAACCTTGATCATTTGCAAATACATGCTCGAGATATGACACACAACTGTTATTTGTTTCGCGTAATTCGAGTAATTCTGTTGTAGCTGCGAACACTCGTTGAGGAGCACACCGAAGAGCTAGGGCCAGCGTTGGATGCAGCTGAACAGGCACTGTCGGTGGCTTTAGGAAACGTGGAGTGGATTAACAAATACGTACCCAGTATAGCTAATTACTTCGAGCAACATGAAATATTATAATAAGCATAAAGTATCATAACGAAGAATAATTGTAACGTGACTTTTTTAATTTAATCAAAGAACTTGGAGTATGGATCGTTTGTGAGAGAGACTAATCTGGTTGTGGAATCGAATAAAGATTTATACGTTTCTACCGATTACCTGGAATGTTTCAAATAAATCACATTAAAAGTGAGGAAATTCAATAAAATAGAATTTATTAAAAATTATGTATTAATAAGCATTTATTAATCTGGTCACCATAGCATTCGTGGTAGAAGCAAGTAGGGAATTATCGCGTTACGAGTTTCGTCCAATTAAAATTGATATTAAACTTTTTTCCCAGGCACGTTTAATGCCATGACGCAATAGTGATAGATATAATGAAATTTCATCGAGATAAAAAGATTTCATCATTTGTGACATTAGTAAAAACGAGGAGAATGTGATCGAGATTGATTTGGATATAAGCTCAAACGAACATAATTTCTGTCTCTGATCTCTGGAGAAAGAATCCTTTGCATTTCATTAAAATTTTTAAACGTTAAATTACTGTATGCGGAGCAGATGACTCGAACCATGTTGCATATTCGCTAATTCGATACGCGAAAAATCAAGCTATTGAACGTTCGATCAAAGATTCGCGCGTAATCGAATTTAAAATATGCGATCATTTAGAAACGAAGTGTATTCCTTTTACAAATATCGTAGAACAATCGCGATAACATTTATCGCGTTATTTGTTTTACTAAATCAGAACGGTGAGATACCTAACATAACACAATATTCTTGAAACGATACGGATGATAAAAATGAGCAAAACGAAACGGTACCAGCAAGGACTTGCTGGTATCTGGCCAATTTGAACGCTCGTCAACACGGTGATACAATATACTCCATCATAATTCATCGCATTATCGATAAAGCCTCGAATCAAGATGGATGTCGAGTATTCTGAAGAAATTTCACGGATATAATAGGGCATTTGCCGGTCACTATCCGACGATATAATTACTCCTGATCGCGACAACACGTCGATTGATAAGATTAGGAAATTTTGATATATTTTTGATAATAACCCCACCGCTCGTGCCTTATAAAGCACGAACACTTGTACAGGTAGACTTTCAAAAGGCAATCGTCGACGTGCAATTATTTCCTAGTCGGCACTTTTCATAGCCGACCGGCTGATTTATTTGTTTGCAAGGTACGTTATCGAGCTAATAATTTCTACATATATATTCGAACAATTTCGCAGGATTATTTAGGAAACGAGAATTTCGATCGACGATAACCTGGAATTCGTAAATGACGAAAGCTATTAGCTAGAGTTTTCTTTTATCGCTAAGCCGTTTGGATATTCGTGTCGAACAGAGTCATCCGCGCACTTCGTCATATCGTCGTTTTATTCGTATTTGACAAATAGTCGCGAACTCGTTGACAGATTAGACGTGCCGTAATTTTAACGCGGCTCGCAAACAATTCGGGTCTCATTATTCAACAGATTGTCGTATTCGCGCGATCGGTACGGGTACTATTGATAAGAGTCGAATACATTTGATCGACGTTCACGATATCGAATAACAGTGTATAATAAGTGATGTGTTACACGAAATAGAAGTAGACGAGCTGGGCCGTTCAGTGAATGCGCGTGTTCTTCGAATTCATCCAGGATGGCAAAAGGATTGACACCTCTGCTCCTTGCTCTGGTGCTATGTCAGGCGAGTCTTTTACTCGCGGATATTCCTCAGCAGGATGAGCCAAGCTACAGACTGCCAGGCGAAGCGATTCCGAATATCTACGAATTGAATATCACACCGAATTTGGAAAAATTCACGTTCCAAGGTGTAGCGAAGATTACGATCGAACCTCGCTTAGACAAGGACACTATAACTCTAAACGCGAAGAATCTCACGATAAGCAAAATTTCCCTTTTGGCCGTAAGCGACAGCACTCCTATAGATCTGAACGGAGTCTTGGTACCTAAACAGGAACTCCTGGTTATCAAGCTGTCCCAGAAGCTTGACAATAACAAGCAATATGTGCTCACGGTGGAATATACTGGCGAATTGAACGATCAAAAGAGAGGATTCTATCGGAGCAGATATTTCGACAAGGACGACAATGTAAAGTAAGAATACTTCTAGATCCGCTTCGTTTACCAATGCTGAGAATTTTTACGACCGATTGTCGCTAATGAACACTCTCTCTTTGCTTCACCTTCGTGTTTCAGACGATCGACGCACATTTCAAATTACCGTTTTCACGTTACAGATACGTTGCTGCGACTCACTTCGAACCAACGGGTGCACGATTGGCATTCCCTTGCTGGGACGAGCCTGCCTACAAGGCAAACTATTCAATTTCTATAACCCATTCGAAAAATCATCGCGCGATCTCGAACATGCGTCCAGTTGGAAACTTAATGGACGCAGGCGGTGATCTATTGTTGACCAAATTCGAGACATCTCCAAAAATGTCCTCTTACTTGGTGGCATTCGTGGTCTCTGACTACGACAATACGCAAAGCAACGATTCATTCTTCAAAGTTTGGACGAAACCACATGCCTTGAACCAAACATACTACGCCTTGGAAAAAGGTGAACAGATATTAAAGGAGTTAGATAAATATACAGAAATCGAATTCCAGAATTATATTGATAAAATGGACCAAGTATCGCTGAAGGACTTTGCACCTTCCGCTATGGAGAATTGGGGTCTCGTGACGTACAGGTAATTATCGTCATGCTTGATTATGATCGATTAATGTTCACATCGTTCGATATCGATTTACCGGTTCAAAGTCCAAACGTGAACTCGTTAATTGCTCGAGAGGAATATCAGTTCTCTAGAAACGTACGGTAAACCCAAAATATAAGATACTGCCGAAATTTCGAAAAATGATACCAGTTGACTCAAGTGGCATCGAATCTCGTTTGATCTTCCTTCGTACGAAAAACAAAGAGGGACATACCTTGAGAATTATGAAAAGTAAGAAACGTTAAGTTTCCGCTAGCGGACTTTAATCGAAGCTTCTTATTCTAGGGAAAGTGCTCTTCTTTATCAAGATGGCGTCACTACGACTCGTACGAAACAAAGCATAACGACTATTATAGCTCACGAGTTCGCGCATCAATGGTTTGGAGACTTGGTCAGTCCGCAATGGTGGACTTACATATGGTTGAACGAAGGATTCGCCAACTACTTCCAATATCACATCCTCCAGTCGGTAAGCGTAACATATGTTTTTATCAGTTGCACCCAATCAGCATATAATACGATAACGATAATAAGATAAACGGATTTCCATAATTCTACATTTTCGTAAATGATAAATTTGCTCTGTGGCTAGAAATTCGTTTGTCGACCGTCCACGTTATTTTTCTCACCGTCGATCATTTTCGATTAGTATTATTCATTAACGCAATAAGGTGTCTCGATACATTGAAAGTATTTCAGACGTGTCCTCGTATCACGTTCTTCACCGACATTTGCAACATGCTTTCAGCTGTTACCCGAATGGCGATTAAACGAAGTATTCGTCGTGGACAACACGCAAGGAAGTGCCTTCGTTGCGGATGCAGACGAAAATGTGCGTCCCATGAACAAAGAAGTGACCACGCCTCAGGAAATCAGCGCCTTGTTCGACAGTATTGCATATCAGAAAGGTAAGGTATTAGGAAAGAAAGAAAAATAACGATTTTAATCGCTTATCGAACGTACAACGTCGTTCAAAGTAATTTTCGTTACATATGTTCGATGGTATTAACAGTTGAGTTCGAGATAGTATTTCAACTTCAGATAAAACAATATAAATAAACGCGGTATTAACTTCCAATAATTTCTATTTATTAGCCAATGACAGCGGTTAGCAGATAATTCGTACCTATCTTATCGATCAATCAATGCGTTAAAGCATCGGCCTAAATATTATCAGTTGGGAGATAAAATGTAAGACTGTCGACGACGAAAAGTCCGGAGTCATTGTTTAACGAATTCACGATTCACGGTTCGCATAGAATTATCGAAACGACGTAGAATACGTTAAAATTACGTCGACTTTGTTCGATCGAATGCTATAGTAATTCTAGAAATAAATTACTTGTGCCTCGGAATTTGCAGGAACAGGATTACAGAATTATATGACGAATTTTTTAATGGAAAGTATCTCAATAAATGGGATATTTCGAAACTAATATTAGTTAATTAAAAATTGAATAATCTTCCTTGCAAATATGCAAATTACCGACGTTTCACCGAATTCAGAATCGAAGGAATTTTTTATTCAACCACGTGACGTACATGACCCATTTGACAAGGTTCTTTTTTAAGAAGAGAAATGTTTAACAAAAGTAGAAAATGACATCGATATGTCATTTGATCTTTGAAGAAATTAGCTGCATAGATAAGGTCATAAGCTTCCGTAAGCTTCGAGTAGCAATAACGGCGTTAACCTATAAAAAGCATGGAATTTTTGATAAAAATTGCACGATGTAATTATCATGTATGTAATATAAATATAAACATGCAATATAATTATCTGTATCTTTTACAGCGGGATCGGTTATTCGCATGATGTCGCACATTTTGTCACAAGAAACATTCCAAAAGGGCTTGCAGAACTATCTTACGATACAGTACGTATATCTACGATATTTATGTGATACCATCATAATTAGAATATTCAATTAACAAATGAAACATTGCGATGCGTTTTTTAATTAAACCTGCAGTAAGCTGTTTTTAAACTTTAGAAGACTGTCAAGAAATCGCCATCGAATATCCTTTCGAACAAATCGAACTAAATTTCAATTTTTGTTAGCCTTGCGAGAAAAAGTATCATGTATACAAGTATCTAGAAAACTGAAATGTGACAATTCATCCAGGTCATGCACTTCCTTTCATATAGCAAACAATACAGATTTTTTGAATAGAGAGATTTATATAACAATTTTCTCGTATCGATTTCTCTGTCGATTAGTATTCGGTGTTTATTTTAAAAACAATTCGTGATGGAAAGAAATGAAACATTGATGACTACGCTGAAGGAACATTCTCGCTCATCGTAATTTATTTCTCTAAGCTTCGTTAGGAGTAGGTCTGGAAAGAGTTTCGTTTCACAGGGGGAAGATCTCGACTGTACCCTGACGATTTCAAAGATATTTTCTGAAATGATAGAGAGACATATTGCTAAATACGTTTGTTGAATATTAGTCGCAGTTATTCGATAGTTTCATAGATATAATTAATTAAAGATGCATGCTATCATTTCAATGAAGGTGGTATAGTTGGGGCCCTTCCCTTGTTAGAGCACATGGACGTTTCATTTTCATTTTGTTTTTGGGATGCACCTTGTTCGAATAATTTCTGATCCATTGATAGAAATTGGAGGAATTTTTTGTATATTTAAAATAATATATTTTTAACATTGTCAACGAACGTTGGATAAATTCGCAGTAAGTCTTTTGGAAAGGGATGTAGATTTTTAAGCTTAAAATAAAATCGTTTTTGAGTAAAAAGTACTAAAAGTCTGGAGACCGAATTTGTCAAACTTTGAACACTTATTTCAGGTAGCCTTCAAGATTTTTAATATTTTACTTGTTTCAATTTGAGAGATATAAAACTTTATACTTCGATAGCATTAAAAATTCCAGAAGTTTTATTTCACGGTCTAAAAATCATAATTTGCACGAAGTATGTTCGAATTTCCTGCACATTGCCTTCTCCAGCTTATCTCATTAAGCAATACTTGTAATTACAGCAAAGCATCGAATACCAACTCGACTGATCTCCTTAACGCCCTTGGTGATGCTGCGAATAGCACATTTGGCGATGATAAAGTTTCCTTCACTACGCTTATGAACGAGTGGGTAAACAAGCCAGGGTATCCGGTGGTGACCGTGAAAAAGGACAAGGATGGAAAGTGTGTCGTAACTCAAGAACGATTTCTCTTAAACAATAATAAAGACAACACGAAATGGTGGGTGCCTATCACTTACTTCACCCAGTCCAGTGTCAATGACAAGACAACTCCAGTCGCATGGTTGAAGCCAACTGTAAATGACACGACCCTTACAGTCGATAAAGATGGCTGGGTTATTTTCAACACACTGCAAGCAGGTACGTCACATTCGGGTATACAATGCAAATTAAAACGTTCAGGTTTTATAGGACTGATAGACATCAAAGGAGTAGCTGTTTGATGAAGCCTTGGGGTTGATTTTTAATATCCGGTGCTTTATTCATACGCATTCACATTTTAGTCACATTGCGAATGCACTGGCATGCAGCTTACGAAGCTTCTTGCAATTAAATATATTTCATGCAACTATTTGGTCACGATTTTATTCAGGTGTTTGTAATGTAATTGCAAACTCGGGCTTATATCGATAGTCATTGTAATCGAAATTAGCTTTTGATACTGTATAGGGTCAGTGTTATGGACCAAGTGAACGGTGCATTTTTCTAACACACAAAGTGCCCCTGAAAATTGTGTATAAGCAGACACCAGATGATTTCTTATAAGGGTACAAACAGCACTTATGAGCTACTGAATTTATGGAAAATCACAAGAAAAATTTTACCAAGAATATTTTGTTACATTTATGACGATGCATACAAGGTGTGTTCGAATACCTAAGAAATCAAAATACAGTATACACATTGCGTGAACACGTATTTAACCAAACGAGCACAGTTTTGTATACTATAAAAGAATGATAGTTTCAAAAATTTCATAACTGGAGTAATATTTCTGGTGAAATATATCTCTTTGTCTTTTCTTGAATCTCGTTGGTACTTGTATCGAATTGTGCCTCAGTCACAAGTGCATATATATGAACAGGGCTTTCAAGTTGACAGCCAAACTGTAAGCCAGGCACGAAGAAACTGTGCTTCAAAATTTTTAAATACTTTTCTATAAGGAATCACTAAGTGTCTGTCGAAAGTTCATAACTTTCAAGGACGATCTGTACACGTATATTGGTAAACTATTACAATTACGATACCATTTACTACATTCATTTCGACTCTTCGCGTCTTTTCATCCTTTATTTCCCTATCATCTTTATTCTAACTGTTTCTGAGCCATGTTCATATAAAATTACGGATCAATGTTCATCCACGTTTCTGGGATTATTTTAAATTCCTAGTCCAAACGATCTTCCTTTAAGTGTCTTTCTCTTAGCATTCTATCGTTTACTCAAGCATTCTTCAATTTCATTTTAATTTCAAGTCGTTTTGTATTTCTACATTTCCAAACGGTTGTTCTACTTTCAGGTTACTATCGTGTGAACTATGACGAAGAAAACTGGAAATTGTTGACGAATTACTTGAATACGGATAATTACTCGCACATATACCCTGTAAACCGTGCTCAGTTGATCGACGATGCCTTAAACATGGCTCGTACCAACCGATTGAATTACACGGTCGCATTGTCGCTCACGCTTTACCTTCAGAGGGAAGTCGATTATATTCCATGGCAGACAACTTTCAGGAACTTGAACTTCTTGCAGAACCTGATACGTACTTCCGAACAGTACAGTGTTTTCAAGGTATACCGACATTTCTTTATTGAGTCTTGTTGCGGCCCCAGGTCCGAACGTCCCAAGTTAAGTGGAGGACTGTTTATGTCCTTAATGCCAACGTCCTTTGATTCGTATACACTTGTTATCACCTAGGCACCACTTGGGTGAACCTTACAAAGGGTCAATAAATCACCCTTAAGACGATAGTCATAAGGACCCAAATTATTTATATATCCACCACCACCGAAAGACGTCGAAGCTAACACACTCCCAATATGATTCACAACCAACAGTAAGGCACGCACCCACCACTTACGTTTCATACCAACCAATCAGTAGATATACGAAACTTATAAAACTATCGAGATAGCAATCACGAGAGAGTTCTCCAAAAAATCTCACGAAGACAAAACAAGCATCACGACCAGACCATCAGTCAAGACCCGCGACGATCAACTCAGCGCGAGAGACAGTAACACATCAGAACTCTCTATTAATCTATTAATCCCAGCAACATCGTTGCATCCTCGTAAACGGGCCATACAACCCTGCGAAACACCCACGGTGCGAGTTGCAGTGCTTGGGACGCAACAAGTCTATTTTGTTTAATAATTCTTTCAGACTTACATTCTCTTCGTTATACTCCTCGCATGCTTCCATTGCATCCTTGTGTCACGTGGTTTGTCGTCTCTTTATTTTTTCTCTTTCTTACATACTGTGTGACATCGTCTGGTTTCTCTTCTGTACTGTTTTCCTTTGCTTTCATTTTTACATCTGATCCTCGACAGCAAAGCTCTAGCTTCTCCTCTTCTTCTCTCCTTTAGACGTCCCAAAATTCTTCTATCAAAATTTCTCTTCGCATTGCATTATACCACGATATCTATTCTCTCTTCTTTTATTTTTCGTCTTGTTTATTTTTGTCTCTAACGCGCTTATTGCACCTCTCCTTATCTTGTTCTTTTCACCTTCTTCCTTTTTCAAGGTATATCGTCAGATTATACGACAGCAATGTATAGTAATTATAAGCACATTACAATGTCTTAATTATATTCCTATAATATTCTTACGAGGAAATTCCGGAAACCTCACCTTAAAAGTGTCAGACGTGTAATAGTTACGTTCTTCATCAGAAACAAAAGATTGCTCGTCATGTATAATTTATGAAGTAATTTCGCAGCACGTATTCGTAAAATTATTTTCAATTTATGGAAACCTGTTTCGCTAGTCATATCAGCGCACGTTCGTCACCTTGAGTGAATTATTCTAATGGGATCTTCATCGTAACACTGTTAGATAAATCCTCCAAGAGAAGAAGCGTGCTTGTCTATTTGTATTTTCGTTTTAACATCAGAAATTGAGAAAAACTGAAAAAAGAAACGGGATATATCTGTAGGGTTAATGCTAGATTAATCCTATGCTGACAAAGATCAGCGCGTGTAATAAACAACGACTGCTTTTTAATAACAAAACAGATTAATTTAAACTAAAATATTACACTAGGTTTCTCTCAACTGTAACTCTCAAACACACGATTCTCTACTCACTATGTCTCGACTACACGCCTTCTGTCTCTGTTTAAAGTCTAACACTCTTTTCATACACAAGCTCTCTTCGTTGATCACTCATTTTCCACACGACCTCGCCCTTGGTAGGTCAGGTACTTCAGATACTCGATCACATTCCTAGACTTTCGTTCTTTGCTTGCACTCGATCCTGTCATAAATATCTCATGCATACAATTCTTTTATGCGGTCATCCGTCCATCTGCATGCACTCCAAATGATACCCTAAGCCTAAACCGGATCCGATACTGCTCTTAATACTGTTTCCTTTGCTAGAGTCCTTCCCAGCTCACAATACCACATATCTTTACTTCGGTGGTCTTGTTACTGCCAAAATGTTGTTTGTTACAGACTTCGTTTAGATTATAAATATAACAACGTATTAAATTGTTGCAGAGCTACATTTCGTACATAATGCAGGGCTTGACGAAAAACGTGCAATATGTACCACAACAGAACGACACCGATGTCACGAAACTTCTTAAGGTAAACGCATTCAGGTGGGCCTGCAGAGCTGAGGTTAAGGACTGTGTGAACTACGCTATTGAAGAGTTCAATAACTGGAGGCTAGATGCCAACCATAGGTAAGCTGCTATTTTCATTTTTATGTTTTTCCAACTTTCGTCTTTCAACGAGTATAAACTGTTTTATATTTTTCATTTACACAAGAAACAGTGCAACATAGTTCTTTGGATCTTATATTATTCGTTCGTGTATTACAACGTTCCGGACAAGTACAGTTTTCCTTCGTTTTGACAACTTTGACAGTGTCTTTATCTTCATCTCTGAAGAATTTATCTCGTGGAACATTATTATCATAGAAAGTTATGAAAAATATCGTTACACTTATCGCAAATAAAGGAAATCTCTATTTGGCTGAATAGATTTTTTTCGGATACAGAAAATTCTGTAAAGGATTGGAAACGAAAAAGATATACGCCACGTAGACGTGGTCGAAGATATATGTTGCAGTAACTTCAAACACGTATAACATTTTTGCCAAAAATTACTATGAATTAGCTCACGGACAACAGTATTTGAAATCTAAATTTTCTGTCTAAAAAATCCGATCGGTGACAGAAAACATCGATCTCAAAATAAGCAAATTTAAACAAACTATTGACAAGAAAAGGCAGAAATTCTTGATGATTCTGGGATATTTATTGACCCGTTACATAGCCATCTCCTATTTCTATTTGTGACTATTGAATATTTAGCAATTTTCGTATCAACTCTCGCACATCTCTCTATGCACATGTTAGACTTTGATACGTTCTATTGTCACCAATTGCGTAAAATGAAACGCGGTAAAGCTGTTATTTATCGACGAAACAAAGCTACTATGTAGCGTGAGTTCAATTCGTTCTTAATGAGAATTATTTCGTTTACAGTCTTGACGTTAACTTGAAGAACAATATTCTCTGCGCCGCATTGAGATCTGCCAACTCATCTGCATGGAACGAAACATTGAAAACACTGTCGTCTACGAAAGACGAAGACGAAAGGAAGAGTCTACTTTCGGTTTTGGCTTGTTCCGAGTCATTGGAAATTTTAGAAAATTATTTACTCTTGTCTCTCGAAGAGAATCCTCCGGTGCCGTTCCATACCGCTGTTCAGAACGTAGTATCCGAACATCCAAGTGGTGTCGACATCGCGCTGAAAATACTCATCAACAAATATGAGGGGATAAAGCAATTGTAATTAACAGAGTTATCCATAACCGAATTACTTGGTATGAAAACGTTACTCGTCTCCTGTAACTTACGTTATTTTTCTCGCCTTAGGAACGATAGCGACAGCGTGATCAAATCGAGCGTCGATGTCATTTCAGGAGCAATCACCAATAATGACCAATATCTACAGGTACAGTAACGCTTAATTATTGATTGAGATTTCAGAGATTTCTTTTGTTCCACAATGTCGAATCCTAACTGAAATAGCTTTCAATACGGTTTTTCTTTGTGCTGCAACGTGTCCTCGTCCTTGTTCAATTTAGAAGACTCTCTAAAAAGGATTCGAGAAGAAGTAGGCTTCGTTAATGCATTTCTCGTGTTCATTAATTATGTACATGTATACCGTTTATATCATTTATGACGCTGAAAATAGCTATAAAATGACGCGTTGAAATCAGTGTGATCCACTTCTTTGCTAATTGCTTACTGTGGTAGCGAATATTTTTTTTTCCATTTCTCTATTATATTGAATTTTATTAAGCTTTACGATACATACGTGTTCAAAATTGAAATAGTAAAAGTTGGGAAATTAATTCGAAACATAGATAAGTATTTGCGTCAATCTAGACAGAGTAATTGTTTTTAAATATTTCAGTTTCGTAATTATTAACTTTCACACCAAAACAGATATGTATAGCAAGTTTCGCTATACAAATTGGCAATTCTAGTATCGAATACCTTTCACGATAATCAGTTCTTTTTCATTGTTAACGTGTAATCGTTCCTTTCCCTACAGTTGAGCATGTTCATGGCGAACCAGGGATTGACAGCAGAGGTCCTCCAGACTGGTTTGAAGAAAGCATCCAAGAATATGGAATGGCTTCAATTCAACAAGGGCACCGTCGAACAGTGGTTGGTCACTCACAAAGCTCATTTCAACTCTGCCAATTCGATGGCGGTCACCTCGTTCTTCCTCATCCTACTCTCAATATTTATTACCCGATTCTATTAAACGAGGAAATGAAAAGCATAGAAGATAGTAATGAAGCATTTAGGCAAACGTAGGATGACCGTTTGTACAGAATGCATTAAACTAACCGCAATGGCGGGCGGTGTTTCGAGTAACTTTGAGATAAATCAATCAGGATTTGACATATCTTTTAATTTAACACGATTGTCTAGTGCGATTGAAAATAGATGTATCTGGCCAAATATATTTTGATATTATACTGAAGAATAAAATGTGAGACTTTAACAACGTTAAAGGTTTACGTATTTGATTCGTGCAGGTTAATCTATTTACGATAACAATGAACATGGAGGAAAATTATAATTGTAATTTAGAAAAAAGAAAAATTAAGTAAGAACTTTGATTATTGAAAGCTGTCTCTTAGTGTACAACGATGCGTTAGGTGAACAGCGATAGATATTTTTACGCCTATGATGCATTAGTATAACTATCGTGTTGTTTATTTAAAATTCCAATTAGTGTTTAATTATTTAATGTTTTATAATGTGTAGAGCATAATTGTAAATATAGATATATGACAAAAAATGATTAAAGACAGAGAGATCGAATGTTGAACTACTTTAATAATTTAATATTTTTGGCACGGAGGCCAAAGTTCATAGTGGCAAACTACTTGATGGGTACCACGCATACAGAAAATTACTATATTACCGTTCGCGTTACGTCATGAGGTGAAACATGGAAATGGAACAATCGAATTTGAAGTTTGAGTAAGTATACAACTATAAATAATTTTCCAGGTATCTCGTAATAAAATTCTAAAACGTCATCGAATGTTAAATATCCCCTTGAATCAATTAAAATATTTTAATACTGATAATTACTCTTTCCTTCTGCTGCTATGTCGTTCTTGAAGGATTGTCGAGTTTTAAAAACGTATCAGAATTTTTTGAACTTTTCAATTTTTCCGACTTATCGCATGTTTAATTTCTCAAAGTTTAAACGTTGAGAATTTTTTAATTTTTCTTACCATATTCTATTATGAGTAACCCAGCCGTCATACATCGTATGTGTATACAAGATCAAAAAGCATACAACGTTATAAATTGAGGAATTTATAAATGTAACGCTGAATTATTAAATTTAAGTTACAAATTTAGAATTATGAGATTTTAGACGAAAAGAACGATGAAATATCAATCGAACGTCAAATCGTCTAATATGAAAAAATATAGAAATACATGAAAACATCACCTTCCATTGTGTCTTTCTTTTAACCGGTCTCAAAACCCGCGAATCTTGAGCGTTTGCATACTTTCTAACAATGAAGGACATAGGTTAACCGTATACATTATTCATACACTTGCTCGACCACCAGAATGTAGAATACTTCCATTTGTCATCTGGTCTGTCGAAGATGGCAGACGGCTATTGGAAGTTAAGAGGAATATTGTCTTCTAATCGAAATAATTGATTTCCCACTGTGATTTCGCTAAGTTAATTAAGTCAATTTTAAATACATTCATCACACATCAATACACGTAAGTATGACACAAATATATGTCAAATATGCGGTTATTTTTCGTGTTTCTACTTTATATTACACATCACTCCCTTTATTACTTTCCATTTATTTCCCGCAAACGATTGCCTGACCTTTCATTGTAGACGTATACGTGGAAATCAAATTAAACGTGAAAATATTTGTTAATTTTAATTTCACGATCGTATCGATATGTTAAATATTCAATATATTAACTCTCCGATTTCCCATACGAATTTTGCCAATATGCTCTATAAGTGAATATCATTATTGTTAAAAACAATATAGCTACAGCATACGAGTAATATAAAATACACATGGGGAGTAGAATGGTACTATTCTTCCTAATTTAATACGATACAGATATATCTACGCGAATTGAAGTAATTGCAAGAGAATCAATTGATATCGCGTACGAAGCTAAAGACATGTCGAGATTTAACATACGATAAGTTCGATAATATGTCAACGAAGCTAACACTTGTATCTGTCAACATAGATACAGCATTTGTTAAACGATTTATGTATTTCTTATACTTTCTTTAATTCTGTATTCATATAATTAAATGATAAACTCTTCGTTACACTACACTTTAGTAGAATTCTTTACCTATGGAAATTGTCTGTTTAGAGAAACTGGGAATACCCCGAGTATATATACTTTATATGTAGGAGGTCATCGCCTGCATGAGAGTATCCTTTAAGCGGGTATGAATGTATAGTGTGTGGGATCGAACGGATGTGTAGGTTTAGATTTCTAGGGAACTATATTTTAGAAGTCCTAAACAGGGGTCCTTGCGTACAAGGCCAGCCAAAATTTTCATCGAAATATTCGATCTGGATCAGTTTGGACCCAGGTCCCATCTTTCGATCCTGGTTTGATCACGCATCGCTCACATGCATATAATTATGTTTCCTGTCAATTCCCGTTGAACAGAGTGCACACGTATATATACTTCTGAGAATGCAAGGAGGAAATTTTGGTGACTGATAGTATGTGTGTGTGTGTGTGTGTATCTTTAAGACTGTCATATGAAGAGTACGTAGGGTCAGTGTCAGTTGAGAGTCAGTGAGAGCCAGCGTTTAATGCAGAGAGTATTTTGAAATACAGTGTAGCGTAGAGATCATATTTATAGGAATAAACTACTTTTATATTTTAATCACATCTATTCTGTCATCTACTAAACATTCCCACATATATTACAGGAACAATTGAAATAAAATATTTTCCTTGAAAATTTTGTTTCTAACTGAAGAATTGAGACTTGAGTCCAACTTCTTATTAATTCTTAACTTCTTATTAATAATAAAATTTTTAAAGTTTCCTTATGCTTTTTGGTCTAGTCATTAATGCACAGTTAATAATTACGTTATTAAAATAGTAATATGATTCCAAATTTTTTCACAGAATCATGTATACGAGGACCATCGCTCTACTTGCTCTCTTATGTACCATTGCAACTGGACTTCCTGTCGAAAGCAGTGATGGAGAAACGAGACAATTTAATTACCGTTTGCCAAATGACACGGTACCTATACACTACGACCTTAAACTTATACCAGACATCAGTGAAGCGTTTTCGTTCGACGGCCAAGTCGCGATAAAAGTGAAAATTCTTCAACCAACGGAGGAGATAAAGCTTCATACTGTCGAATTGATCTTGGATGAAAATGCAACGCGTTTATTCGACGAAAATAACAACGCTTTCACGCCGAAATGGTATAGTTACAACAATCAAACGGAAATTTCAACGATGTACTTTGGTGGTCCTCTACAAGTGGGGGTATACATCTTGAGCTTGCAATTTTCGGGAATAATACACGACGATTTGTTTGGTTTCTTCAAAAGCAGCTATGTGGATGGCAAACGAAACGAGGTGTGAGTTGAAAATGGCAATCTATTACTAATTTAATTAATCGTTTATTTCATACATAACAATAATATATCTTTATTATATTTTAAAATATAGTTTAATACAAATAGACATGATATAATATGGTAATAACGATATTTGAACACTTTTTGTTATAAATAATATGAAATATTATTATAATTTCCTTTTAATTCGTAATTTAAAATTTCCATAAGAAGAATTTTCATAAATTCTGCAATTTTTTAACAAATATTATGCAATACTAGAAACGTTTGGTAAATGTATCTTGGGAACATTTTCTTTCAATTTATGAAAGAGATTAATGCGAGAGAATTGAACAGCTTTATGTCATCCAAGTGATCGATATGACTCTCTGTTTTAACACGCGTTTGAATACATCTTCTTGTGAGATAATTCGATAAAGAGACCTATCGTCAAATTTGCGAAACTCACATTATCATTGCAGGATATTATCCAGACAAGGAAAGATGTCATTCGTTATCATATTTAATATGATATATTATTTAATATATCATTATATTGCGGATAATATTGTCACTTCTTAAAAATTAAGAGCTTGCTAAAACCATTGTTACATTTGCAAGTCAACGGTAATCTGAAACACAAATTTGAACAACGTAAATTTACATCATAAACAGTATCAAAGGCAAAGTGAGGTCCTTGTAAACGACTGCAAATGTATCGTCATTAACACTACCAAACTTTAATTTGTACCTGAACGTACAGATGAATAAAAATAATTAATATGTTACGACGAAGATAAAATAAGTTTATATACTTACATTTTCATTTGAATAGGAGCGGCCATATTATGTTTGCTAAAAACACTAGCATACTGCAATTACTTAGTAATTATAGAAATGAAAGCTCTCAAAACAGTTATTGTTTGGCAGTTTTACTGTCAATAACGTAGAAAGACGCTCTTGTTACGCCAATCATTGGTTTATTTCAATGAACATAGCCTCGATATGAAAATTTTTAGGTGGCTGGCTGCAACTCAGTTCGAGCCAACATATGCTCGTAAAGTGTTTCCATGCTGGGACGAGCCAGCTTTAAAGGCAACTTTCGACATCTCGATAAAACATTATCCCGACTACACAGCCATATCGAATATGCCTATTCGTGAGAAGTCGAAGATCGACGAGACAGGTAAAATATGGACCCATTTCGAGAGTACACCGGTGATGTCGACCTATTTGGTAGCATTTGTAATCGCGAACTTCGCCAAGATCTCAAATGCCGATGGTACGATTAACGTTTGGAGCAGAGAGGATATGGTTCCCCATTTGGAGCTAGCTCGCGAGGTCGCTCAGAAGGCTCAGAAGGAATTGGAACATTACACTAATAGTACTATCCGCGTACCGAAGATGGATCACGTGATCCTTCCACAACACCCTACAGATGCTATGGAAAATTGGGGAATAATAACGTATTCGTATGTTCGATAATCCTTATATAGTAATGAAAATAATCGATCCCACATATCACTAAAGCTCGACTATAATTTAGGCCTATAAATTACAAGGATACATTTTAATTTCATTATATCTTTCGCAGAGAGTCAACGTTCCTGTACGTAAAAGATGAAATCTCAATGCTACAGAAATATCTTGTATACGAAACGGTGATCCACGAGCTAGCGCACCAATGGTTTGGAAATCTAGTCAGTCCATCTTGGTGGTCCCAGGTTTGGCTGACAGAAGGTTTCGCTTCGTACCTCGAAGACTACATCCTGAACAAAGTTACATTAATTCCTCTGTGGAATTTTTTTACTGAAACATTTAGTTACGATAGATTTACAACTTTCAGATTTGCAAAGGCTGCAGAGCTGTGGAGTATTTTGTCGTTAGTGTCGTCCAAGAGTCGCTTTCCATCGATACCCAACTGTTCGCGACCCCTATCGAAACGAATATCGAGACGCCCACGGAAAGTCGGAAAATTTTCACTAACGTTCTTTACCAAAAAGGTAGAGTATTCAAAGCATCGCTTTATTTAGTACTCAAATAAAAATTCATCGTTTCTATGTATAATTTTCTTCTAAATTTAGCACCTTCTATCTTGCACATGTTGTCCAATATCATCACTCCAGAAGTCTTTCAATCTGGTACCATCAAATTTTTGAATACACAGTGAGTGTTTCTTTGAATATGTTGTTAAATATTTCTGTATCTCTTCAAGCTATTACACAGGAAAGATCATCTTCTAAAATAAAACCTCTGACAATAATCCACCTCATGCTGTTTATTTGAACATATCTAATCGAAAATTTCTTCTCGTACAGTGAATACGACTCTGCTAATTCAGACAACCTGTGGGAAGCACTACAGAGTACACTAGATAAGTCAGACGTACCACACGGTGACTTCCAAGTGAAACAAGTGATGGACTTTTGGATCAAAAGGAAAAGGTACCCTTTGGTGTACGTGAATCGAAATTATTCTACTGGCACGGTGACCATTACTCAGAAAGATTTTGGATTAGTCGACGTGCACGAGAATAATGACACGGATAATTACGAAGACAAAAACGAAGAGTACGAATGGTGGGTACCAATAAATTATGCGACAAAGGGAAATCCGGATTTCTCGGATACCAGGCCCACTCACTGGTTGAAGCCACAGAAAAACTTAATCATCGATGGAATTAATCCAGACGATTGGGTTATAATAAATAAACAGCAAAGTGGTAATTATAAGTGTGTCAAGCATATAGGAATGTCATAAATGGATAGGTTGAAAAAGGTGGAGTTGATTAACTCATTTTTTGATTTTATGGAGTTTGTCAATTTGACAAACGAGTGGTCATATAATAGAAATTCACCTAATGATAAGAAAGTCTATACCATTCTTCGAACGTTGGATCTTCCTTTACCTTTAACTTCTCTCAACTAACATCTGGGAAAGTATAACACACATTCTTCATCGACCGTTCCTAATATAGTGTTGCCACAACCTTCATATCGTTCCTATATTCCTCTTTTCATCCTTCATCTCAAAGCAGACTCTTTTGCTCTGATTCCCGTTCCAAGAGTTTCGTACCTTGTTAAGAAATTTTAAATGAGAATGAATTTTCTATCTTATTCTTCGACAGGCTACCTTCTCAGACCTTACCACGCGAATGTTCTACTCTCTCCTTCCAAATTCAGGAGCACTTCTTCATAGCTTCACCCACGTATAAACACAGGTCAAGAAAGTAGCGCTAACAGTTAGGAAAAGTTAGTTTGTAATATTTTTATATCGCACTTGTACCACTTTTAAAGAAAGAAATCACGTTCTCTTGAATATGCCAACGACGCAAAAAGACATTCAGCGTCCAAAATTTTAGACGATTGTGCCTCTTTTCTCAACTAATCGAACTGGGACGATCGATAAAAATATTCCTTTTTCATGCTTCCAAATTTCTAGGCCAAATTCTTTTCATTTACGCATCTACCGTGCCAACTCAAACGACCTTCATTTATTCAGAATAAACGTATCTCCACGAGTATACATCACTTTTGCTAACAATTATGTTCGTTGATAGGCTACTACAGAGTAACCTACGATGAAGTCAATTGGAAAAGGATCAGCGCGTACCTTAAATCCGAGAACTTCACCGACATCCATGTGCTGAATCGTGCTCAGATCATCAGTGACGTCACTAGCTTATCTTATTACAAGCATATAGATCCACTGATATTCTTAGATGTAATAACTTACTTGTGTCAAGAAACGGATTATATTCCTTGGTATCCCATGTTTAGCTTTATTAGGTATATAAAAAGTACTTTGGACGTTCCGTCAGCTAGCCGGATCAAGGTAACAAGGTCACAATTTATTAAACTTTCATATCGAAATAAAGTATCGTTTCGAATTTGCAGGAATTCGTATTGGATATCATGGACAATTTAATCAAAGACGTAGGCTTCGACGAACACCGTGACGAGGAGCCTTTGGATAAAATCAAGAGATCACAAACTCTCCAAATAGCTTGTGACCTTGGCCACCTGGGATGCAGGCAAATAGCCGCTGTGAAGTTTATGGAAAACTATAAAAACCCGAAGACGAATAAGTATTTCTGCTTTGTCCTTTTTTCTTTCATTACAGTTTTATCAGATAGAAGGATAATTGAAAATACTGTAAAAATTTTGGACAGAATTATTATAGAAATTTTAAAATGACTGTAGAGCTTTATAGAAAGTCAAGGTATAGTTAAAAGTAGCAAAGTTTAGGAATGTACGGGTCTAGTTGATTAATGATTATTTTCCATAATTCTATGCAGATATGCATATGTATGTATCTCTTTTTCGGATAATCAATATATATAGCACATATAAATGTGCTCCTTTTTCACGAGTAAACTAATATTTTAGAGATTTCCAAGGTTCGTCTATTATAAATAAATTTATGAATGATTTTGTTAACGTATAAAATATTGCAAAATTTTTGTTTCTTCCTAAGGGGTCACTGTTTTTTGATATTAAGTTATTTGTATGTTCTATTTGATACAATTGCAGTATGTAAGTATCAACCATTTTAGAACTATATTGCAGTTTCTCGAAACGTGTGTTTCAATAAGAATACTGATATATCAAATAATATTAATCTGTACAAGTATCAGTATGTAGTGTGCTAATCATACCGTCTTTCAATTTTTGAAACAATTTCAGCCTAGAGTCATTTAATTTATAAGAATTTCTGTCTTCCAAGAAAATCTAACAAAGTTTGAGATTTCGGGAATTCATCGCGCTTCGTTTATTCAAAAGTTAGGTTTGGACCTGTCTCAATCAGTCTCTGCGATCTCTACTGATAATTCTGTTTATATATATTCTGTCTCTTCTCTAGCAATAAGTAATTGTTCGTTGATATTCCACTATAAAAGTTGGCTGACGTTTAATAAATACGTAAAATCAATTTTATCTTCTGATTCAATTGCTTGAGTTTAGGATCTCGCCAGACCTGAAATTATGGATCAACATGAATGGTATGAAATTGTTGAACGAGTCAGATTGGAACATGGTGTTCGAGTCGTGTATGAAAAATCCATCTAAGGAGGTGCTCTGTGCACTGAGTACTACAAGTAATCCAGCACTTCTCGAGAAATACTTACACGCAGCGATATCGAACGACACGAATATCTCAGAAGAGTACAGGACGATAATGCTCACCGAAGGGTTGGACATTTCTCGATTGACACCTCCTCTCGCGGACGTTGTGATCAACGTCTTCACGGAACACTGGGATGAAGTAATTAAACGGTAATATATACACGATGGTACCTATACAATGATACGAGTATTCAATATCAACGTCATGATTCTATATCTTCGTTGCTTTGCAGTTCACAGTATGCCATTTATGACATGCGCGATATCTTCTTTAACATTTACAGCGAAGATCAAGTGACGAAGGTATATGATGTTTCATTTAAGGATATATATTTTTCTCATTTTTGACTATTTTGTGTCATTTATTTTAGGCAAAAGAGTTTTGTCAAATAGTTAGCGATGAAAAGTGCATGTCACCGAAATTTTGGGAGATCAGAATGAAACGAATTAATTCTTACGAGGATAGGGTTAATCAGTGGTTACAGTTGCTGAATAATCGTGTGGATGTATTATTTCCGAAAACTTGTTTTACAAATGTTGCAAATGCTTTGTAATTTCTATGGAAACTACTTTTATAAAAAATGTATTCATTATATCCTTTCCTGTATATCCTGGGTCCATTGATAATAAAGATGTATCATTATTATGTTTCTATGCATGTAAAAGTAATTCTTTGATATTTATTATTACAGTGTAATTAGGAAAGCACATATAAACCTATCAATTTTGCTTCAACATTGCGTTAATAAACATATTGAATTTTTAATTTTTCAGCAGAAATCTTTCACTTTATATGCTTTTCTCATTTAAAAAAATTTTAAATTATTGTTTAAATACTTTTATATTTCCTGTACTTGGTACAGCTGCCAGATTGAATATGACTCCAATGGAGTGTCTGAAATAAGGCATGTCTGTTGCCAGTAATAATTGATCAAAATAACTGTTACAATAAATTTATTCTCGCTATACGATGTATTTAAAAATTCAAATATGAAGCAAAACAACTCTCCATGCCAATTATACGAAAACCATGTCTCATGTATTATGGACATTTCATACTATACAATACATGGCATAGGTCAATCACAAATTCCTAGACAAAAGAATAAGAAATACCAAACCGATCGAAGCAGTGTACTTAAAAAATAATACTAGAATGATAAAGACTACCGAGGAACAAAGACTACTCTGTTATGATAAAAACTACCCAGTCACTGAATTATTATTTACGAGAATATATAAAAGTGTAGAATGAAAATCGGTTGTCCTTTCATTGTTCCAAATTTAGTTCAGTGTACATTTTCAAACAGTATAGTACAAAGTGAAAACAAAAATTCTCCAGTAAATATTAAAGCATTAAGGTTACAGAGGTATGTAATAAAAATAAAATTTTTGTATTACTAAATCGCGAGTATAAGCTTCTGTGAATAGAAGTTGCGTAAAATCATAGAATTAGTAAATAATTATGAAGATATTGATTGCACAATTACATTTTAATATATACGTACGAGAACATTTCATTATTATTAAAGGAAAAGTATCTTTACTTTCATATGAAAATTTGATACGGTATAAGTTAAATAAACGTGTAGAGAATTTTAATGAAAAGAACAATTAAGCACCCTGTTTTCTCATTTTCCTAGTCAAAATAATAATAACCTTATAAATTTTGAATCATATAATAATCAAGTTATTTTTATGCTTTAATACAAATAGCATTACGTAAGCATCTCCTCACTTATTCCATTGAAAGGTTTCTGAGTACGAAGTTGCATGATTCAGAAAGGTACATGTAACTGTGTAGGAAACTTTTCTTTCTGTTTAATTTTTTAAGAAATTTCTATTGTTTTAGTAAATCATGTCTTATTGTAATATATATATTTTTATTCTTTCCAAACTCAATTATTAATAATTTCTGTAACTTTCTGTTAAAAACAAATTATTATTGCTTTTACAGATGTCGATGAATGGATTGTATATATAAGGAAGAATACTAGTACTACAAATTAGAGAGCTATAATTCCAAAATATCTCAAAATTACGAGACATTTAATATATTCTTATACCATGGCCAGATATAATATGCTCTTACATTCTCTTTATTTTTTTCCTATTATTGTGATTTCTCTATCACACGAAGATGCCTATCAAGCTGTCAATATAGATAATGCCAACACGTATCGTTTACCTAACGAAACCGTTCCAATTCATTATAACGTCCGATTAAATCCTCAAATATCAGAATCCAACAATACTTTCGAAGGTGAAATTGGAGTCGATTTCAAAGTCCGAAAATCGACAACGAATGTCGTGTTGCATTCACGAAATCTTTTGATAGACGAATCGGTGACGAGGGTAACATCGAATGGCAATGATTTGAAGTGGCAGAGGCATATTTATGATGAAAAAAGGGATATGTTGCAGCTTTCTTTTGAAAATTCTCTGCAGCCTGGACTTTATACAATAAATATGAAGTTCACGGGTAACTTGAACGACAACCTATGCGGATTTTTCAGATCATTCTATCAAGGACGTAATAATTCGGTGTAAGTAAAAACGACATATTTTTTCATTAGCAATATTACTGATAATTCTTTGAAATATAGGAATTAATAATTGCGAGAAGCATTGAGACTTTAATAGCAGGAAATTGCACGAGGGATTAATAATTTAGAGAAAGAATTAAGCATAATTCAAAGAGATTTGAAGAAAAACCTTGAAACATACTTAAAAATGTAATATGTATTGAAATGAATAGGAAGATCATTAACGTTTATTTAAAATAACATTGCAAAAAACAAACGTGTTTATATTTTTCAAGTTAGCTATTATTACAAAGAATCGAGCATCCCTATAAAAATCAAAATCCTGAATCTCTTAAAGAAAAATTCAGAGTTCAGAATTCTTTTAACTCTTTGGGGTTAGGGGGATTAAAAACTGCCCCACCGTTTGCTTAGCTTCTTATGCATATTGAGATATATCTTATCCCACCTCAAAAAGTTGATAACGTGCGTTCTACAGCACGAAAGAAGAAAAAGGAGTTCGTATTTCCTGGTGCCATACTGTCTGCAAAGTGTCAGTTTGTTTTAGAAAAATGATGTTTCAATGAGTTTCATTTAAAGCTTTAATGGCACGATGGAATTAAGTATGTCCCATTCTATAATTCCGTGCAACTTAGGCTTCTATTTTCTTTAAAATCGTGTGCTTCAAAAAACTAACACTGATACACAGCTACACACGCACATAAACAAACAAATATCATAGGCCATTTCTAGCGACCCATTTCCAAAAGACGAGTGCTCGTCAAGCTTTTCCCTGCTGGGATGAGCCAGCCCTCAAGGCCACGTTTAACATTTCATTGAAGCATTTCGACAACTATACGGCGCTGTCGAACATGCCAGTGTCCTCTACGGAATACGATGAAATGGATGGGAAATATTGGACGAATTTTGAGACCACGCCGCTCATGTCGACCAACATTTTAGCCTTTGTTGTCAGCGACTTCGCGCATATTTCTGGCTTGAACGGTACGACGAAAATATGGGCCAACGAGCAGGTAATCCCCAGCGTAGGATATTTCATGACGGTCCAAGAGAAAGTAACAATGGCGCTGACAAAATACCTCAACAGCACTATTCGTGTACCAAAAATGGATCACGTTATCGTACCTTGGTATAGTGCCAAAGCAGCTGAAAATTGGGGTCTGATCATCTACTTGTGAGTATTTCTTATTATTTCTCATACTTATCAATAATTCGTTACTTGTGTATTGGTGGATAGGCTTGAATTAAGGAAACGATAAACGAATAAAAGAAAACGTGGTTTATCGTCGTTTATTACATCAAATTAATTGGACGTAAGGTGCAGTTGTAAATTATGAGATTAGTCGAAATTCACGTTCAACTTCTTTTATCCTGTTCAATTTGAAAATGGTATTTTTATTGTTTTCTTGTATTTCATATTTTTTATTGCATTTTATTTTTATAAAGGCTATAATTGCTTATTATTAATTTACGACGACCGTCAGAGATAACTCATTAAAGCGTGTATGTTAACAGACGTTTTTATTGTAAGATAGAATTAGAATCTCGGTAATTAATGTCGATAGATTTCGTATATTCAGTTAGTAAAATAAAATGAAATATTAGATTTCTACTTACAAGGTATCGAAAGATTATTTTCGCATATTGAATGATACATTAACTTCCACAACTCAATTCATGTTTAAACAATAATTACTTATCAAAAATGATTACATATAAAAGCTACATGATTTCAAGAAAACTGTAGAAATAGTTGTAAATAGTGATAAATAGTGATAAATAGATAATCAATATTTACATATTCTTAATATATTAGTAAATTAGTCATACAATATAATCGTGTATTACAAGTCATACATTTCATTCAATATATAAATAAATAAATTAACTTTACCATTAACGATATACTAGTTAAAAATTTTTTTAATTGAGGTCATCATGATACTCACATCTAATACACAGATAGAGCATTCCCAATATGTAAAGTAATATAAATTTAATTAGTCAGAGGAAAATTGCAAGTTTCTAAACACTACAATTCTCTCCACTGTTCTTTGACAATAATTAAAAACTACACCTCATGCTAGTCTGTTTAAAATACTATGATCTTCGCGAAAAGTACAATATCAAGCTTACACTGAAAGTAACATGCTTCAATTTCATTAAAATTATGCAATCTCGATAAAATTTAACGCAATGTAATGTAACAACGATCTAATGTTCCTATCGTTAACAAGTTGTGTTAATCTACATTAAAGAAAAAAGATTAAGCGATCAATTGTTTCATTGCGTACATCTAGCACCATCTTGTATCATGTAAAAAATTAAATTAATTATTTTTGATATCAAGAGAGGCTGCAGTTCTCAACAAATTCTCGAACGTGATGACCGTCACTCACGAATTGTCTCATCAATGGTTTGGAAACTTAGTTAGTCCAGCTTGGTGGAAATATTATTGGATGAGTGAAGGTATGGCCACGTATTTGAAATATTTTATCACCGATCAGGTAAAATTTACTTCGTAAAATAACTATGACATCTAGATCCGATTAAAGTACTCACTTGTCGTTCTTGAACAATCGTTTTAGATCTTGAAAGATTGGAAATTGATAGATGCCCTGATCGGCGAACAGATCAATTCTTTTCATGCGGATGACGTTAGCTCAGCCATCGCCATAAACGAAGATGTAATAGATGCCAAGAGTTATAAAAATCTCATGTTTGTATATATTAAACGTAAGTAACGTGATTCTAATTGAAAGAAAAAGAATACAAGTTCAGGGTGTTGTGATTAATATTTATTTTTAGCATCAGTTATCTTCTGGATGCTGTCAAATATACTTGGCGAGGATACTTTTCGAGATGGATTAATACGCTATATCTCTGCACAGTGAGTAGCATAATTCATGGCAGATGTTCACTTTATCATATTTACTAGTTTCATTTTTCTCGTCGCAAGGGTTTAGCCATATACTTGTATTCTAATTCGAACAAAGCAGTTTTCACGAGAATATTTTATGTCTATGTCTGGAAGACAACAGTGATAATTCACACAAAGGTGACAAAGTATTGTTTCACCGTATAATTAATTAATTTTTTATTTTGATTATTTTAGAAATATTTGTTCTACGTCTAAGATACGAAAATTTCGGATGAATCGATGACTTTCTTCGATTTAATTTCAGTGAGTACAGCAGTGTTACGTCGGACGATTTATGGGAAGCAATGCAGAACGCATTGGATCGATCGGACACGCCTCATTTAGATTTTCGGGTGAAAGATGTGATGGATACCTGGATAGAGCAAACGGGATATCCTTTGGTAACGGTAACGCGTAACTACAGTACAGGTGACACAATTATACGCCAAGAACCATCCATATTTAGCGAGGACCAAACTAGGAAACAATGGTGGATCCCAATAAATTATGCAACCAAATCTGCGTATAACTTTTCGGTAACGAAGCCTATGTATTTCTTGAAACCCGACGATAAAGACATAGTGATTCACGGGATCCATGTTGATGACTGGATAATTGTTAATTTACAACATACCGGTGAGTACGAATTGTGAATAATTGATAATTGACTTAGAGTGTAACTTGATATCTAATAATTTAATATCAATTTCTTTGTTATGTGAACTCTATGAAATATAGAATATATTTACAATTAACAGAATGATATAACGCCGGTAAATTTCATTCAAACAGATTAGATTTGTGTTCATAGAACTAAAGGTATGAATATCTCAAGTGGTAAACTGATACACTTAATGGTAGACTTTTATTTTCTACCACCATTCTGCTTTTCTATCTATGTATACAACGTTTTCACTTTATCAAACATTACAAACTCAAAAATTTTACACGTATGAAATAACATAATTGGTAAAATACGAGTACCATGGTGTAGATACTCGTTGAAAATTTAATTAGTGTTTCTAACAATTTGAAGAGTGATGATAAAAAGCATTACTTAATTATTGAAGAAACACGTTCAAATGATTTGGTATTAGACATGTATGTTTATTTCTGCAAATTGGAGATATTTTTTTAACCTAACATCATTTAACTTTATCAATAATTACCAATTTTAATAGGTTCCAATAATCGTAAAATAGAAGCTATTAATTTTTAAAATAAAAGATAAAAAATAACTTTGTAAATTTTGTCTACATTTAACAACGATGTTACAATAGATATATCACTGTAAAGAATATAGAAGAAAGTCCTATAGTTCATACTTTTATACTTTTATTCCCTAGAATATTCTCATTCAATGTACAACAATTTTTCATGTTTGCAAACTATCCTATTTTAATAATTTATTACAGTAGTACAAATAGTTTTATTACTATCGATATTTTAAATGTCATCTCTCTTCAACATAAATTCATATTATTATTCAATTATTAATCCTATTTCAATTTTTCCTTTCTGTTTCTATTTAACTGATCTATATAATTTAATTTGTCCACTTTCGAATAATCAAAGAAAGATGTTTAATCGTGTATTATGTACACTCGAATGGAATCAAATATCAGTGTACATACATGCATACATACGTTCAACAATATAAATCAGATCATAGTTTCTCGGTTATCTTTTATATTTGATCTGACAATAGGTTATTATCGCGTTAACTACGATACTGCAAACTGGCAAAAAGTCGCCAATTTTCTAAATACCGGCGATTACCAGAAGATACACGTAGGGAATCGCATACAACTGATGGACACAGCATTCCATTTGATGAAGTCGAACAAATTTGCTATCCACCTTTTCATGGATCTGACTAACTATCTTCGTCGAGAAACGGATGGTATAGTTTGGAAATATGCGTTTACCATGCTGAGACAGAGTGAAAAGTATATAAGATCTCCTAAAGCTGAAGGAAAGTTAAAAGTAAGGGTCTCTGTTGGAACACTTTTTCATGGCTATCAGTGACTAAAGATTTTGATAACTTCTGTCACTTCGTAGAGGAATCATATCTAACTTTCTAACTCTATCGTAATTCTCAAAATATAAATCGTATTAAATTTTTCCACTTATTTCACTGCTATTATTCTTCTTTCCTTACTTGCTGTCTTCACGTTGATCGATGAAGACCGAACTAAAAATTTAGTTTCTGTAAACATTATGTTCCCAAATACTTTTTTATTATATTTACATTGCATTTGAATTCTACCATCTGCAATATTCTTAAATTTTACTACAATTTTATTACATTATTTCAATTTTCTTCATCGAATTACACGTGCAGCGTAAGTGAGGGATACAGCAAGCCTAAACTTATCTTGTCGATTAAAGATTCCATTTATTTCACTAAAATTCATTTCTATTAGCATAGAAATTTCGCAAATTCCCTTTTCCAGGAATATTCCGACATTTTAAATAATTTTTCTTTTACTATCGTATTTCTTATGTACCTTTATGTTATAGTAGATAAACTGCCAATACTCTCGAAACTATTTTACAGTCACATGTACTCGATTTAATGAAGGGTCTCCTCGAGACTCTGAATTACGATGAGATGTTGCTCAACGGAGACGATTTCTTCAGAGACGTAAAAATCGAAGCTGCAACGATTGCTTGCAGATTCGGTAATCCCGAATGCAAGGCAAAAGCTAAGGCCAGATTGCACGCGTATCTCGAAGATCCAGAAACAAACAGGTGATTACTCTCAGATTAGTATATTTCCTGCACTCTATGGCATTATTGCTCTGCTATGTTTCGCGAATAACACTTTCCTGATAGCAATCCACCAACGATGCTCTTTTAGCTTGCGAAACCTTCAAATTGGTATAGTAAACTCGAATAAACTTGTTATTTATTGACACGTTTTACATGGATACAAAGTGACGGATTAGATGACCCGTAACATGGGAAGTTGCAGTGATTTTAATGGTTAAATGCTTGATATTGTGGTATGAGGGGGAAAAAAACATGACGTCTAAGATTTTGGATGGATATGATCGAATGTGTACCGGATATATTATATAATTTGCTTCATTTCAGTGAGAAAGAATATGAAAACGATAGATAGCGAGTACCAATAACTTTGACAACATTCTATTATTTTGAATGATACGAAAAATCTTTATGTACGTATATATGTTCTATAATTTGTGGGAGAGGCCTGTACAAGTATGTAAATTATCATTTTTTATAAGTAAAGTTTTTTTTTAATTATTTACTATATTCTTTCCTCTAGTGAAATGGCAGATGTTTAGATTTCTGTGTTTTGATAATAATAATCGTACATATTATAAATAAATATAATTCTTGCCTATAATTAGTAGAAGACTTTAAATGTTGGCACATGTTACTTCAATAACTTAAATTTATAATATTCGTAATTTAATTTTGCAATAGGCTCAAAATTTTGTAATCTGCCAGTCTCGAATCAGCTGATTCTTAAAATTCAATAATTGCATCTGTGCAATCGACGGAATGTTTTTGAAATATTGTATTCGCATCTGTATGAATCTTAAGAGACTTCTTTCGTTTAGTGTTGTATTTTGTTAGCTCATACCTATATTTAGAAGCTATTCTAATATTCCGAATTATAGTTTTACTTGAGTTGAAATAAATTTGTAATCTCATCTTTTCAGGTTTTGGGAGATAATGCAGTAGAAATTTCTATTGATAGATATATGTTGACAGATTGATAGATTGGTCGATAGATTAATGAGGAACTTTTTATGGGGTTGCTCACTGCAAATCAATCGACCTGGAATCGATTATTTCAACTGAAGATGAGGGAAGATCCAAAAATTTCTTACGAAACATTAAATTACTTGAGTTGCACAGAAAATTCAGATACTTTTCTGAATTACTTGAACATGACCCTAACGAAGAATACAACGATATTGCAGTTCGCAAGGCCCGCCGATATATTGCAATATTTGAACATGGATATACCAACGAACGTGGATGTACAAATTGACTTCCTGGTTAAAAATTTTCAAACTATACATTCAGTGTAATTAAATTTTGTTAATTGCTTCGTATATAGAACCACCGAGTAGATAAAAGATTTCAATGAATTTTTGACGAAGTATAAACTCGAAACTACTTTGATATCTCCACGAACAACGAATATATAACGCATTTATAAATTTATCACTTTGATTATTATTTTATTTAATACTACTTGCACATAACTGATGATGATTTCATTTTGTCGCAGAAAACAGTAATTAGACATTGGTTATCTTTCTCCTTTTCTTCAATAAGCTGCCAAGTCATCGATCATATTACATTAAGTCTGGAAGCGAGTGAGATATGAATTATGAGAGATTAATCGAAAAAAGGAATTCTTTACAATTTTATAAAATAAAAACTTTTAGATTCTTTTCCTTTATTTAGCGAATAATATAGAATAATTTAGACCTTTCATAATTTCTTCGTTCTATATAGTCGATAGTTTCCACTTGTTTTATATGTTCTCCTCCTTCTAATCAATTGTCCAATATTAATTTAGCAAATAACAACCTCAAAAGAATCATGGTCTAATTTATTGTAGTTAACCCGAAACGGAAGATATCAAAGTGAAAATAATCGACATAATTTAGTCACGACGGCATGCTGTCAACAAATTATAAGGAAAGTAGAATTAATGAAAACCGAAAATTTAATTGACAAAAATTCGTCAAAAATTCGTCGGTAATAATCGTAACTCTGAAACTTTGATAGAAAAATATTCCATTCGCATTTGGGATATCGAAAGCGTGATAAGTATTATCAAGGATGTTTCTTCTGTTAATAACACAAATTAAATGATCTAGTTGTATTGTTTGATGCAATCACGTGGAAATGTTTCTAATCGATGTTTCAATTGTTCTTCGCAGCACAGATAGACCAGAAGTTATTTTTGACAGCCTTATCTGGAAAATAAGCAAGCAGAATCAACTGAATAAGGTAATTCTTTGCGTTGTTAATATCTTGGTTGCTGATACATTGTTGACTTATGTGCGAATTAAGTAGATAAGAAATATATGATGTTTCCTTTCAAGCTGAAAAACTTTCTGCGAACGATCGGGGTGAATAAGGACTCTGACATATATTATCGTACACGGGCTTTGGGAAAGGACGAAGAAGCAGTTACTGAAATTTTGCGTTGGTTCAAAGACGAACGAGAATAAAGTAATGGAGTAATATGGTAATAAATTATATCGATTAATTAATATAATTTGTACATTATATATAATTAGAGCAATGGCAAATTATAATAGTGAGAAATCAGAATAAAATATATATTGCTAATAATTAAAGCAATAATAAATTATATGAATAAGTAATTAAAGTAAATTGTACGTTGTGTCGTTAGAATAATAGCAAGTTACTCTTTACGCTAATTACTGTCTAATAAGAGTATGTCATATGTTATTCACAGTTAGGGTAGTAGTAAATTATATGAATATGTAATTGGAATACGTTATGCAATGGATACAATTAAGGTACTAATAAGTTGTTTCAAAGAATAATTAGACTGACAATGTGCTACATGTTGTATGCGGTTAGTATAGTATAGTTAGAATTTAGAATAATAGAAGATTACACTAATAAATAATTGAACTGTGTTATATATCGTAATATATTAATTGCATATTATTATATTGTAGTTGCGCACGTATGCGGATTCTAGCAAAAATTACGAAATCTTCGATAATCGTCAAAATTTGTGATTTCAAGGAAGGAATATTTGCTATTTACATCGATCGATGAGTTACATTTGTACTAAAAATAAAAATTTACATTTTCATCAATACCTCGATAACGCAATTCTTCAGTAAAAAATATTTTATTTTCATCAAGAATCGTCCCAGGCCTGAAAATTTTTGAAGTTACTCTTCCCAATAAAGGTAGTCTATTGAAACAGCAATTTTTGAAATATTTCCATAAACATTAAGAGTAAAATATTACGTTCTTGATCACGTATCAGGAATTCTGGTACATCCTTGTGCATGTATATATGACGCTTGTTGTATCAGTTATGAAATATTGTAAAGTACATATTATGAGTTTATGTTAGATCAGTCCATAAGTTTGCGCTTACTTTCAGCTACTATAATAAATTCGAAAATATGATTTATACGAATACACAAGATATTCGAGATTGTTTTCTACAATTTACACGATATTTAACACAATGAATTTAAACCAGAACGGGTATACCATACACGAACTCATGAACTGACCTGATATAAGCTCGATATTAACATTTTTGTTGGATTATGAGTACAAATATATTTGTTATGTTTTAAAAGATACGCAAAACAAATATATTTTCAGATAAACCTTAGCAGATAAAAGATAATAATCAGTTTGATCTAGAACATTTTTTTCATACATCATCATAGATCAATAAGTATTTAGAATGGTTTACAAACCTGATTATTTAATTGATTTTGATAGTTTAGCAAAGCAGAATTTTTTCGAGCGAAAGCTCATTTGGTATAAAATTAATAATTATTATAATGCAAAATTTTTACATTTTGAAATCAGATTATTTAAACGATCTTCGCTCAGATATTAACGAATTCGTTTTCTCGAATAATTCAAAAATATGAAAAGGAAAATAAGTGACCATTTAAAAATATATGAACATTTAAAAGACATAAGATTATTCTAGTTTTCTTTATTTATAAAAAAGAGCACTTTTAAACATTTCTTTTTTATTTATAAGATTTTTATTGGTCACAAATGAACTTTAGCATGAAGTACATCGGCAGCAAAGTTATTAGAACGGATACAACAATTCTGTACCTATAATCCTTAAAGTTTACAATCAAAAAGATTTTAGCACATTATTTATTATTATTCTACTGAAATATTATCCAATTATGCGACGTATATCAGAAGGTATTCGATTAAATTAATTTTCCGATTAATATTTCAGATACGCTTACTGCATACACACACTCCATGACATTCGTTTACTTTGCATTCCACGAGAATTTCTGCGTAAATGAACTGAAATTCAAATTGAAGGACGAAATTTTCTTCGAAATTGACTCATGCTACGTTAACCTTGTTTGTCAAAAAGGAGTAAACAACATTTTAATCGTACAAAGTACTACACGTCGCATTATAGTCGTCTTTGTAAAGTAATACAAATTCGATAATGCTATAATCGTTTAATATCAAGCAAAATCATCCAATTCGATTTGAGCCAATCGCGAAACTGTGTTAGATAAAAATTCGCTGCTTAATATCAGCGCTATCTCAAGAGTGAGTAAAAATTCGGTCGATCCTATTTTAAATAAATCGCTACGGTTTAAGGGTAATTAAAACAAGGCTATTGTAACTTGTAGGTAATGTATTTCAAAGCCACACAAAGGACGTAAAGCGTAATATCGATATAATATCGGTAATCTCGATGATAATCTCGATGATTATAGATTTATTGTTGTTCATTATTTACAGTAATATGACGCAATTATTTTGCGCCTTTCTGAAAAGGATATCTGATATTGCTGTTTATTCCATTATCTACTTTCTTATGATATAAATTGCAAAATTGCGAATGGTAGGCGAATGCAAGCGAACCGACATTTGTCGACACCTCGAAAAAGCTTTATTTCACATTCTGGTCTCTGTTTAACTGCTCCAGTCTTTATTAAGAACTATTTTGACGACTCGTCACACATGGAGGCTTCGCAATTTCGGCGCTCCTCGCTTTCGATCGTTTATGGATTCTGTACATTTTTCAACGCCAACATCATACAATACAATCCGTTGCCATCATCGGATGTTATCATTTAGGTTTATACCTAAAGCGACACTTCAGCCAATTAAGCGCCGTAATTCGTCTGTTTTCATTATTAATCTGGAAAAGTGCAAAATGCTTTTACACAAAACAACTACTTCCACACAAATAAAATAATTTTATTAACGTTTTATTATCGTTTCTCCGAGATAAAATCCGAGTTTTAATTTTTACCGTCATTAATAATTTATCTGCGAAATTTGAAATGATCTAGTAGAAATTTTCAAATTAAAGATCGACATCATAGGAGAAACCAAACGTAAAATATTCTCCGTATAAAGATATTCCTTGTGTTAATTGTATTACATTTAGCTACTAAAAAATTTTGTTGGAATAAAATTTCTTGTAAAAAAGTAATTATAGAAAATGAGAGTTGAAACAAATTGAACAACCGTACTTCGTACATCGATAAATCATATTTGTGAAATTGTAAGTAAACAGATATTGCAACAGATAAATAACAAGAAAGTGGGGGGTAATATCGGTATCAAAAGGTTGAGTGAAATTAATTTAATTACATGCAGTACTCTTTCGCACTCATTATCGCATACTCGATTATTCCAACGCTATACTTTTTGCTGTCCCAATTCATTCTCACAGCGTACAATATTCAACGGTCAAGTACAAAATTTAATCACGTCGTACCCATATCTATGGCGATTAAGATACGAAATTTACGCTTTTATCGTCCAAGTAAATCTGTCGATGAATCGAATAATTCGAATAATAACGCACTTCTTATATGGTACGCTCAGGAGGTCACGATAAAATTGCCATTATTCTTAGAATATAATGAATTATCAAACAATATGGTATAGAAGAAGAAAGTGATGCAAATTATTAATGTTTTCTATTCAGAGTTCTCTATCTATTTGCGTTGTTCAAATTTTCAAAAACTGATTGGAATAAACCAAATATAAATTTAAAAAATTAGTATCACCGGACACTGATGATCACTATGGTCCCACCGAGGAGACAAGCGCCGGTCAGTGATGACCATCGTGGCAATCAACGTGTTAACCTGCTCCGTTTGTCGTAACTTTCAGCCAGCTCCTTGAGATCTGAATCGTTCTACAAAGTAAAAAGCCGCCGTTCCAAGAAATCAATATTAACTATAAAAATCTCAGGTTAAAGTCTGCCAAACGATAAGTGTTTTCCTACTATTCTCTTTGTAGTTCAGTTCAACAAAGGAACAGGTCATCCGAACATACAAACATTTGCGTCTGCGTTTAGGTAAAGACCATACCACGATATTGAGCCAGGCTCATTATCGAAAAACGAAAAAGTAACACCGATCATTGGTTGGGTGATCGATAAGATAATCGATGATCTTACGTAATAAATGTGCACACGATTGGGCAAAGAGAAAAGTGGGTAACGTAAGGGAGGATCTATTAGTCTGAGGCCGTCTCGAGTCCCAAGATTGGCAGAGGCATCGCGGTGCTTCCTCGATCATCGTCATTCATAAAAGTAACGTGTCGTGGATCAGTTTCGCTCGTGGACCGTGTGTTATGTGTCCGTGACGCGATTGTGATACGAATCATTATTGCGACAAATGACTTTCACTTCTCGAAGACGCTGCCTCTGTTGTTGCCTTCGGTAGTCTATTCGCGGGGAGGATACTATGAAGATACGCTGATACTGGTGTTAAATAGAAGTAAAAACGTACGAATACTGGGAACCGTAAGTTGACGATCCAGGTTCGTTGATTATCGCGAGAAATTCTTTTGCATGGCAGTATGGGGTACAATTTTTATGTACACAGTTGAATCAGCAGCCGGGAAGTTTGATCGAGGGATATTTAACAAAAATTCACGCCTCAATGAGATTTTTCGAATGTTCAATTAGCTCTGATGCAACAGTTATGTTTTTACTTTGAATTTTTCTGTTCGAGCAAAGCAATTGTAGAATTCATGGGTAGAAAACTCTTATTTTGTTCTCTTGTTTTTGGAAATTTAAAGAAGTTCCTGTTCTTCAAGAGGTCAAAGTTCTTTTGGAACCATCGAGAATTGTACAGGTTTAAAGCTGAAACTTGAACATAATGTAAGAGTACGATAAAACGATTATACAATACTTACTGATCTCAGTCTCTTAAATAGTACGAATTTAAGAAATCGTTTGAAATTTTATACTTTATCTTAAAATATGTTGCTTCGGAGCTTCTATTAATCAAACTTAAAATAACTGTTAAAATTGAACTTCCATTATAGCGTTAATGCACAAAGTTATTTGAAAATGGACAAGGAATCATTGAAAAGTTAAAAAAAGTTTACGAAATAATTTTTATTTCTAAAAGTTGACAATTTTATTACATCCTTGCATTTAACCACTTGCATTTCAAGAATGTTTGGTATGATTGTCTTTAAACTTCCGTATGCTCTTGAAAGTTTGCTAAAAGAATATTAGTTGATATAGACATAAGAGATATTGACATTTATATGAAAGTTGATATAAATATAAGAGAAAAAGATTATTGGTTCCTTTGAATTTATTTATGTAATAGTCTTTTACCTTTTTAAGCAAATAACAATTTATAATACTAACGTCAGTGAAGTGCAATGGGTTAATCCTAAGAATAGAAAACGTTCTTAGGACGCGTGTATAAATTTTGTTACTACAGAAAGAATATATAAATCACGTATGAATACGAATAGTTAGATAGGACGTATATGCGAGCTAATAGTTGGAGATTATTCTATATCTGACATGGTATATGTACATCCTTCGTAATTAAAAGGTAAATATTTGAGTTCTATAGGTTATGTTCGGTTGCTTAGAAAAGGTAGCATATCGAATCACGACGTCAGAGATTTGATAGATAGATTAACATAGATTAACGTAGTATTATTAACCCCTTTACCTCCGCGAATGGGATGTCTTGCGAACAATTTTTTATTTATTTAATTCCTGTACTTTATCCATCCACAATTTTTCTATTTTCGCTGCATTTCGGAATACTATATTCTATAGCAATTTTTCTCGAAAATTTCTGTATTATAGAAACGGTTATTTGAAGAGATAATTATAAAAAAATAAAATACTCTGATAATATAAATTTCAAAATTAATTTCGTTTAATTGATCGCATAAGTTTATTTTCAAAGCCAAGATATAAGCCAATATCTCATTAATCCTAATGGATTCGATTGTAATCCCGCTGAACACCGAATTCCTTTCATAATATAACACATCTCTAATCCAAATGTCTCAAGTACTAATCTCCAACGATTTGAGTCATGGAAGTTTTTAAACTTTGAATTTGCGATACATTAATAAGTTCACAATGATCAAAAGAGATTATTTCTTAATCAATTATTATCAAACCCATTTAAGCCTTGTGCGACTTTTCCTGGAATTAATTAATTCTTCGTCATCCAAATTTGATATAAATATGGTAATATCGTTATGTACGATATATTATCAAGCAAGGGTTTCGTTCAATGAGGACTTTTTTATCCTAATTTTAGTATTTCTAGACGGTTATTTTACATAATATCGATAACTAAATGTTTTTGCAATTTTCATATTAAACAAAGTACAAGAGAAACATTAAACAGAATATTCCATTGCTTTTGCAAACTTAAATTTGCAGTATCAATATCAAAAATAGAATTTACAAAAATAGATATAATGAAAATTAAGATGAAATCTCAAGTTGTTAATTAATAATCTCAGTCAAAATTTTTTAATTCCTCGTATTATTCGCTTTTTAATTCTATATCAATTCATGTTTTATCTTGACTTGTTATTAAACAATAAACAAATCAGGAACTGCGTTGAGTTTCAGTACTAATTTAAAAAATGAAGCAGTTATTTATTCAATCATTTCTAGCTGAATATGCATCACAATTACTACTTATGAATAGTATATAGAATACCCATCTTGTTTCTGAATAATTATTCATTTGTTCATCTTCCTGTTTTACTTTCATACTTCATACTTCAATGTAATTTCTTTGTGCCCTTATTTGTACGCAGAAATGTTCAATAATATTTAACGTTAAGTACACTAATTGAAAGATTGCAATTGTGATAATTAGAAATCAGTATTAAAGTACATCTAACTTTATCTTTCTATATTTTCAACCTTTCTAACAACCTTTCTGTAAGTTTTACGTAAAATCTAAATAACCTATATCGATAATGACCTTGTAGAAAAATTTTTTATTTGTATCTACGCATTTTGGCACTCTCATACGTTTATTATCACCGATAAATTATTTTAAGCTAATGATAACAAAAAATATATATCTGTATTTTCTGATGTTTAACACAGGTTATCGAGCAAGAGGAGATATTGTCACGTCATCATGAATTTGTTCCGCAACCAATTCTCGATCATTATTTTCCTTCTACTATTTGCTGGGTACCAAGCAACAAACGATGGATATGAAGGTAATTGAAATTTAAATAAACAATTTCAGTAAAGTTGCACTTTATACAATGTATATGTTCACTTAATTCAAGATAACTAACCCTCTTTGCCTTAAAAGTTTATCTAATTAAATATCTAATTGCAATATTTAATTACAAATAATTACATTCCATCATAAAGACCATCTTCTTAGCACAAATTATGGAACATACGTGTAATGTAATATTTATAGGTTATATACATTTACGTATAATAATACGAATAATATTCTTAACGTTTTAGTCAACGCGTTATAATAGACGCATTAACTTTTTATCAGACTCATTAATTTTTAAGCGCTTTATTTACATTAAATTAATATGTACAAAAATAGCAGGGCAAAAAAATATACAGTATCTCGTTATTGTTCTGCAATTGCCGACAAATTTTCTTTGTTTCCTTTTTGTATCAGTATTCAGAATCTGAACAAGCATCGTCAATGTTAAATCTTGTAATAATCTACTTAGAAATTTTCTATGCTTTCTATGCATATTATTTATTATATAATATTATATACATATTTATTAAATCTGATTGAAATTAGTCCGGTCTAAATAACAGAAGATTTATTTACGATACTATCCTAATTTTTTATGGACCCTTTTTTACATTTACATTATTTTTCTCGTTATTTATTAATATTTTGTACACGAAAGTGCAATTCATTTCGAACGTTTGTTCATTTCTATATTTCTGTGTTGAGTTTAAATAATAATAGAAATTTGTAGCATTATTTCTATCACTGTTGTTAATACATATTATTATCATAGCTATTCTAAATATTATTAATAATACTGATAAAAGTTACATATAAAGAAATCATAGAATTTTCAAATACAGTCTCTTCTACTCTTTAAAAGAACTACTCCAATGAAAATGATTTCACGTATGATTTTAAACAACAATAAAAAGCTTCTAAATAAAATTTGAAAAGTATGAAATATTAATAATCTTGCTAATTATCCTGCTAATTTTAATTTATTTCCTGCATCATCTAACATATTTTCTCATCACGATTATGACTAATTGTAAGTGAAAATTTCTATGTTGCAGAGACATATGCACAAGATAGCGAAAAGCCTTTCGCTCTCGATTATCTACTGCCAAAAACAGTCATTCCTACACTGTACGATATCATACTTAGGCCAACGTTAACAGATACCTTCGATTTCGAAGGGGTGGTACACATTGACGCTTATGTAAAAGAACCAACCGATACCATAAAGCTCCACCATGGAAAACTTGATATAATTACGCAGTCTGTCATATTAAACAATGTGAGCTTAAGTATCGTTAACACCATGTATAATGAGAAAACTGAAATATACGAAATTAGGCTTCGCGACGTTCTCGCTTCGGGAACACCTATTTTGATCAATTTCTATTATTCCGGAAAACTTACGGACGATATGGTAGGATTCTACAAGAGTTCTTATTTTGACTCCGAGGGAAAACTTAGGTAAGTTTTTATCTTACTTCGATATGATATAAGTTGCACATATATTAATCTCAACTACAGAAACATACAGTAAATAGATATATCTTTTCCTTATTATGTATTATAAAATAATTTACCAGCTCGCCAACCACCCTAGATCTCGATGCATGACGAGATTGACAGTGGTTTAAACGAGTGTCGAAAACTAGTGGCGAAAATGACTTACGAGGCATGGAGCTGTCGAGTTCACGAGAAATACGTCGCGTAGGCTAGTCGGTACTTAGGAACGATCGTGATTATCTCGAGAACAATTATGTTTTATTTGGTAAACGAGAGAGATAAGACGGGAAAGATATGAAATGTATATATTCGCTCTATGTAGGTAGGTTATCTTTGTACAGAAAGTGCGCACATGAAACTCAGTTTAGGAATCTGTCTTGTAACTACTTAGAAAGAAACACACGTATCTCGTGTCGTCCATTAATGCCTTCTAAATGAAATCTTCGAAATGGTGAAGATCTGCAAAGAAAATATATAAACCTGAAAAAAGAGGATTAGTAATAGATTAGTAAAACATAATAAACGCGAAACGAATACAAAACACACACATCAACCAAATGGAATGAATAACCCAATGACGAAACACTCGAATAGTATACAAAGTATTCGAATTCTCAAATAAAGATAAATAGAAACAAAAACATAAAATCTGATAAAAGAAAAATAATGTAAATGTGAAAAGAAAAAAAAGAAAAAAGAAAATTAAAAGCTGAAAAAGGAATTATGCCTGAAAATAAAAATTATTAAATTATTTAAAAGGGTGGAGCGAGGGTGGGGTGGCCAACCTCAACCTCACTTCGGACCCCTCCCCCCGCGGACGACGTTAGAAAAACTCGCATTTTTCAGAAACTGAGGGTGATAGAGTAATTTCGATTACGGATTCGTGTTCAGAAAAGTAAATTTTGCAAAAACCGCCTAATGGATATTACAGATTAAAGAAAAGGTTAAAATTTGTTGGACAGTGCAATCACTAAGCGTGTAATAACCTCAAACTACGAATTAAGAAAATGTAACACTGTATTATTTTTCTATTTCGTTAAAAAAAATTTTTACTACTTTTAACACGTTAGTCTACTAGTAAAAAGGAAGAGGAAAAAGAATTAAGGAATTTCGAGATTCACATTTTTTGATTTTCAAAAAACATATTTATCCATGTATGTGTAGACAATACAGAAAATATAAATGTAATTTTTAACCAGGTGGCTCATTTCTACACAATTCCAAGCAACGTATGCTAGGAATGCTTTTCCTTGCTTTGACGAGCCCAGTTTCAAAGCGAAATTCATTGTCAGAATTTTGAGGCCGCCAGAATATACTTGCCTGAGTAACATGCCACTAAATAGAAGCATCGCAATGTAAGTAACTATATAATTTGTTATATCTTTATCCATAATCCGTAATTATTCCTTTTATTTAATTCATATGCATAGTTTTTAATGCGGTACTGTCTTTCAATACCACTAAATTTCGTCATTTGATTCGTAAAACTTACAATGAACTTTAATATAGTATACTCCGGCTAACGCTTTAAACAAGTTCGGAGGTAACTTCAAGATAACTTATTGAGTTCTATACTCTAAGACAGTGGTTCTTAACTAGGATTTCGCGAAATTATGGAAAATAAATAAAATTATGGAATAAAATAAAATTACGGGAAGTCCATAATTTTACCTTAAATACATACACATATTATTCTTAATAAAAGATATAAACATGCTTATCTCTGTTGTTAAACGTATTAACTTAGTAACTTTAGTTCTTCGCTATTGCCAGTAAATATCTTTCTAAAAGCGTTCGTGTTTTCAAAAATTTTAAAAACCACTCTTCTGAGAGATGAAAGGGTCATAGCTTCAGATAGCTTCGGACCTCTATGCTGTAGGGATTGACGGTGGTGGTAATTTATTAATAAATTATAACTATGTACGAGTGTCGATTAAACATACAAATTATCTCTTTACGAGAATCTAGATCGACTTTCAACTGAATATAGCGTTCAAATTCACAACTGAGTAACAACTCAGTTTACAACAACTAACCATCTACAAATAAAACTACCCATTCCAAACTGTGTACAAAAACTGCCCTCCAACCACTCTCAACCTTCTTTATATATCTCTCCCACTATGCATGTGTTTACCTATGCCTCCCTTAACATGATCATATTTGGTCCGACGCATCGCCTAGGGTTTTTCCCAATTGACCTGGACTATGCTCCTTCGTAAAGCTACGTGTGCATGGTGGAAAATTCGCGATACTACAATACATTAAGTAACTTCGTTTCACCCTCGTTCTTCTCTGTCATTGCAACATACTCACATGATGTATTCAATGATTCCAAAAGTTCCAGCCAGAAAGTCTGGGACGAATTCGATCAGAGCATCCCCATGTCTACCTACTTGGTAGCTTTCGTCGTGTCTAACTTCAAGTCCGTGAATGCAAACAACTTCAATGTTTGGGCAAGACCAGACGTCGTGGACCAAGCGAATTACGCCTTGTCCATTGGCATACGTGGTCTGGCTCATCTATCCAATCGATTCAATCAGAGTTACCAACTTCCCAAGATAGACATGATAGCTGTACCAGATTTTGCAGCAGGAGCAATGGAGAATTGGGGTCTGATCACCTATCGCGAATCTAGGCTCTTATACGACGAGAAATCGACATCTGACGTCGCTAAACAAACTATTGCCTCGGTCATCCTACACGAATTAACCCATATGTGGTTTGGAAATGCGGTATCGCCGGAATGGTGGGGCTACCTGTGGCTGAGCGAAGCTTTCGCGAATTATTTCCAATATTTTGGCACTGCACAGGTAATTACAATTCTTGAGTTAAGGAAATCTCTTTTATTCATGATTCTGCCGATTCTCTTAACTTTCGCAAGACTCTGTGAGCCACTCTTAATTTTGACCTTTCGTAATCTTTTTGGTGACTACTTAAGCGAGATGGTACTTGAGGTGATACAGTATGGAATAATAAAATACTTGAAGTACTTATATTTAATAATCTTCCCTTTAAATGATTGAAACGGAAGTGAAAGTTCAAACTGAACATTCTTCTAAGAGTTAGTTACTTTAGTTAAATTAAATAAGTTATTAGTTAACACGTTAAATGCCACGTCGGTTCCTAGGAACCGGCACTAGACTTTTCGTTTTTGTTATCACCGCGTGCATGTCGGTCCTTGCATACTTGTGAGATTGAACATTTAATTTAGGCAACATCGATCTTTGTTAGATCAATGCTTCAAGAAGAAGAATATAATACCCAAAACATTACTGTAATTTATTAAAACAAGGTAATGAAGTGTGAGATTTGATTGTACATTGATTAGAGAAGGTTGTAACATTTTGCGTTACATTTTTGGCTATCTTTGATTTTAACATTCGTGAATTTTTATTATAGCACTTGGTGCATTTAGCGTGGCGTTTAACGTGTTAAATTATTAGTTAAGTTATTAGTTAAATTAAATCGGTATTGTAAGACGGTGTTATAAGGGAAAGCGTTGAGTTTATGACAGATAACAATAATCAGTAATAAGGTTCGGTCGAATTAAATTTACGTTGTAGTCGAAAGTTGTTCGAAACAAAGTTCTTTCGCGAAAGGTCTTTTTATCGAAATGGAAAATCCTGTTATTTACAGCTCTTATCGCTATCTTTCGTAGATATTTTATTGACCATAGAAAATTAATCTGACATTAAATAAAATTTTCTGTACATGTGATTTCGGCAGATCGGTGTCCAGCGCTTTATGAGTAATTCGTTTCGTAGATCGAGCAAACATGGAACATGGAAGAACAATTTGTCGTGGAGCAACACCTAACAGCATATGCAGTTGATGGTATCGAGACTTCTCAACCGATGACTCGAAACGCTAACACTAAATCGGAAGTTGAAGAAGTTGGAGACAAGATTACTTATAACAAAGGAGGGAGTATCGTACGAATGATGAATCTCATTTTTGGATCCGAAACTTTTGATGCTACGCTACAAAATTACCTGAACAAGTAACAATTTAATTACAATCAAATTAGTATAACAAAGAATAGAAAAAAACTTTCGGCTATTTTAAATCTACATTTGCAACTTTGAATCGTTAAATACAAATTACACGTACAATAGGTCTCGGTGTATATTTTCTCTAGGAGTACAGAGAGTTAGAATTAAATAAAAAATTCTTTCTTTTTAACCCTTTTTGCTTGAAAATAAATATTAACGTACCGTTAGATATCATGGTACCTTATTTTCATGATACCTAGATTTTCATATGAAAAACTTTATCTCGGAAGTTTATTATAAAGATTGTTGTATGCAATTCGTACATCTGGCAGCAAAAAATTAAATAGCACGTTTAAGATAGAATATCCTGCATGCTGAAAATGAGAAAATCGAAAGTAGAGATTGAAAAGTTTCCCTACCAAATCCATAAAGAACTGGAAAATAATTTCGTTGTTTCTTTTTTCAAATACAAACGAAGCAATCTGTACTTGTTGCAGCAATAAAGGGAAAGTGGCGCGTCCGGAATATCTCTGGACGGAGCTTCAAAATGAAATCAATTATTGCGACCCAACTTTTGACTTGTCTATACATGAAATTATGACCACGTGGACAGAGCAAGCTGGATTCCCTGTAGTAAGCGTTGTCATCTCGAATGGTGTTGCTTATCTGCAGCAATATCGCTTCCTGCTGAATGGTTTATACCAATCACAATAGCAACGGAAGAGGAACCAAATTTCAATACATTGGATGTAATTTCCTGGTTAAAAGACGAAACTGCCTGGATCAGGATTCCAAACTCCGCAGGGTGGGTGATATTTAATGTCCAGTCCTCTGGTAAGCATCAATTTAAATTTATGTTTCTGGTTTCATTAATTTTTTTTGCTATTCTCATGATGCACGAGCAGAATTGACATAACTACGGTCTTTGTAACTAGTAGATATATATATTTCTTACAGTCAGAAAATATATATTCGAAGTATATTAGAAGTTGCGTCATTTGTTTACTGTATTTATGTCAATGAATTTAGGAACGACAGATTTTAATCCCCAAGAAGGTGTTGATCCACGAAGGAATTAATATTTACTTTATCTTTTGTTTCAATTATCCTTCTTTTCTCTTTTTTTTTTTTCTTTTTTTTTTTTAATTGGCTACTCAGGCGTATGAAGTGCACTATGAATTATAATTCAGCATAGGAGAGCAAGACAATGAAATTCTACGTAACTATGACCCTGTGCTGGTTCTTGATTTTTTATTTCAATCACTTAACCAAGGATTTTATTCAAGTGACACTAACTGAAATTATTTTTACTAAGCAAGATAGTTGAATAGTGTAATTTATTCATTTCTACATATTAGTGTTATTATTAGAATGGTATCTATTACCGAATAAAAAAATAATAGTAATATTAATAAATAACAATAATAATAATAGTAGTAGTATCAGTAATAATAATTCTACTTCTCTAAGATTTGCGTATCTGAGAAATTATTGCAAGAATTATTCATTTTTTTAATGAATCGTATACATAAAATATACACAAAATGTACGAGCAAGTTGAGTATTATTCCAGTAGTATAAAAAATTATATCATTTTTTAACAGAATTGAACTCGTTTATTCACGATAAAAATAATGATTATATTATGAATTAAATAATATTAGGTAAATTCATGCAATTGAAGTGTTAGTATTATTTCATATACGCATAAGATGATGCATCGTAGAATAACATTAGCTACGTTTAGGTATCTCTGTTATCAGAAATCAGTTGTTAGTGTACAGAGGTTATAGTGAAACGAAAAATTTTGTTTATATATTTCCACACAGAATGAATAATTCTACATAGCGTTCAACAAAGAACTACATCGTGGAGACTATTTACCTGTTACATTTATCTCTCATTTGTTATTGACGTTGTTGACGTTGTTTAAACAAAAGTTACGCGAATACCTGTGTGGCTCTTTTTTGACGATCATAGGATGTCCAGTATTATGGAAATATTTACATGCAAGTCTTATACGATAACTTATCAGTATGCTTATGTATCTAAGATACGATTCGAGAGTTGAACGATAAGGAAATTTGTTTCAACGACATGACAAGAATAGATCTTGAATTCGATGACAATAGAAATCTCTAGACCTGTTTTCATGTTTATATCGTATCGTCTATTAAGCTACATTTACACTGGATAAAGAAAGACGTGAAAAAATTGCATATGGAGGAATGAAAGAACAAAATTGTATTCTGAGATATGTTGTACTGCAAGTTCAAATACAAACTTAAATTATCCGAAATTGAATCATAATATTACACGATATTAAATAAATTTAATATTACATTTTGATAGACTTATTATTAATAAATCACATAAAATAGAAAAGTATTATATCTGCAAACACCGTTTATTGTGTCATTGACATGACACATTGGAATCTTAAAATACCATTATTTTACGCAATTAAATTACTTTTTCAGGTTTTTATCGAGTAAATTACGATAATGCTTCTTGGTACCGTATCATCGACACGTTAAACAACGGCAACTATCAGAAGATACACGTTCTCAATAGAGCCGCTATAGTCGACGACTTGTTGAACTTAGCAAGAGCCGGCCAAGTCCCTTACCAAACTACTTTGGATGGTTTGCGATATCTTAAACGAGAATGGAATTATTTGCCATACAAAGCAGCGATCTCTAACCTCGTGTATCTCGACGAGCGATTATCTGGACAAGCCGACTATTATGAACAATTCAAGGTTTGTCATGATCATGATTGTGAATTATTATTAAGCGAACACGACATCGTTGCTCCAAGCAGCCTTATTTCCTTGATATTTGAACCTGAATTCAAACATCAAACGATAGGAATTGTGCAATCGACATTGAACCTTAAAAGCTATTGCTTTGGAACATCGATAAATATAGATTCACGATTATTATTTTGCAGAATAGCAGATATGTCATATGTTAAATTTAATCGATTGAAAGTTAAGAGTAGAATTCACGATGACTTCTTAAAGTAGATAAAGAAACTTCCTATATTTGTTTGGTTTCTGCCATGTTTAGTCTTGTATTTTCCAATGAATTACTAATGTATACTCAACTTTAATGTCAAACATTAACACGTTGAGCCCGGCGTCGGTCCCTGGGGACCGACAGTGGACTTTTCGTTTGGACAGCGTCATGGGACCGACAGTATCAAAGTTAAAAAATAGATGTAGTAATTTTAATTACTATTAAAATTAATTATTGAAACACTCTGAAGAAAAATGTGGTTTTGTTTTGCATGTATTACAAAACGTGACGACTTTTTCAGTCAAATTTCTGGCTGTCATACGTCCGAATAGCGTTAAATTTTTGTCGTAACGTCGGGAAGGACAGCAATATCAGCTCAACGAGTTAAAGTAAAGGTTTCATGTATGACGATACGTAGTACAATTTGCAGAATATAGTATGATGAAGAATAATGACAAAAATGTAAATAATCACGAAGTAATCGTCATTTCGATAATGATATGGCATATTGGACAACTTTATAATCATTTAAATAATACGAACGTATACTTCATTTTTTTAATTAGGATAACATAGAAATGTTCGGCTCTAATCAATTGCTTTTTCGTTAAATTTTTTCATATAATACAACTTTTTAATAAGAGACGGAAATGAAAACTTTAAACTCGACATTGTTGTGTACTCTTTTATCAAGATAAAGGACACTGAAAAGTTTTTCAATTTTCTAAGCTCCATAGGCTTCTGTGAATTCGGTACTTGTTCGCCATAGTTACTAAAAGTCTTGGGGGAAAAATGGCGCATGTGATAGAATCTTTAATTAATTTAATAAAGCAATGGGCAAACTTAATCTTCTAGATTCTAAAAGTCCGGAACTTCAGAGTATGTTACGATATGTATATTTTGATTTTCATATTATTTGTTTATCACTTTACCATTATAGGGTACAAATACCGAAGAGTTTGTAATAATCAATAATCTTTAGCACCCAGGAAATATTGAAAAATTTTAATCAATTAGAATTTCTCATGAGTAAACGAAATTACAGTTATAGAGGGTTAACCCTTTGCACTCCAAACAATTTTTAATATGACCTACCAGCAACTCCCAGTCATTTTACTTTTCCTGTTAGCTTTTATAGTACAATGTTTACCAGTCAAGTCGCATTTCATTTTCATCAGTTCTTCTGTCAAACGTATACTGATATAATACCTATCAGTAAACATACGGTAACCCTGTGTTTCGAGAATTTTATCTAACAATATTTGATATAAATCCTGCGGAATTCTAGTGCCGCAGTAGCTGCAACGGAGTTACAGGCTATCTTACAATGTCGCCATAGCGACGACAACGGAGTGTAAAGGGTTAAAGAATGGATTCATAGAGATTTGAAGATTTATAATAAAATTCTAATACTTATCTTGCTTTTTTGAGAATATACATAATTGTGCAATTTTTCTGTCGCCAATTAAGTGTTAACTGTTGCAGAAATTTGTTCTCAACCTCATTCATGATACATATGAAAGTGTCGGATACGTAGATCGTCCGAGTGACGACAGATTAAAAGTATTACTGAGGGGTGAATTGAACAAGTTGGCTTGCAACTATGATCACGAGGGCTGCGTGGAAACCTTCATTGGAATGTTCAAACAATGGAGATACCGTAACATATCGTAAGAGAATTTACATTCTATTTCTATTGTATCGTTTAATAATAATGAAAAACGAATAATCAAGGGTTCAATTGTATGTGTATGTTATTTAATTCTTGAAAATGGTTAAACAATTGAAGGAATAAAAATTGAGTCATTCTGAACCAATTTCTTATTAAATTACTATATTCGTTTGATACGCTTTATTATTCTAATACAGGTACATAGTAATATACTAATAATAGTAATATATTTTCATACTATGTATGATTCTTTTTTTTTGGCAAAACTGCACTTCTCATTGAAAGGTTCTCTTGGCTAAATTAAGAATAAAGAAATTAAACTATTTTATCTAACTACATAATATAATAATATATTACATTAGACTATCTTAATGTTAAATTATTTTGTCACTATCGTGATCTCTGATATTTTGTTACAAACAATATCTGCAATAAACATTACAGAATTGAACCGAACCAGCGACCTGTCGCATATTGCATGGGCGTAAAACATGGAACCAAAGATGACTGGGAATTCTTATGGAATCAATATTATTACTCAAATTCCCCGACGGACCAAGAAGTCATGCTACGAGCTCTCGGTTGTACCCAGAACACTGATCTTTTGGAAAAGTAACGATTCCACTTTCGCTCTTATTATCTCCTAAAAACACCTATCGTCCAGTATTTACAATTCATCTATGCCATTTCTTCAGATACCTCCTATATGCAATCAAAGGATTCCAAGAAAGCAGAATTCGATCGCAAGACACTTCCTTCGTGTACTCTGCGGTCTCTAGGTCCAGTTCCAGTGGCGCAGAGATCGTCCTAAATTTCGTCGACAAGTATTACGCTCAGATGATAGAATTGTACGTATGAAAATTCGGAAACGATGCTTCTATGCCTAGCCTACACTGGTTAGGATTGTTCATAAACAGAAATAGAATCGTATTCGTATTAGGACTTGCGATACAGCTGATGAGCAAAACATATGCAGTCGTAAACTCTGATGCTTTTGAATACCAGTTTCACTGAGAAGAAAGTTCAAGCAGATTATTTCTCTCTCTACGAGTATTGTTATTCTGTTCCTCAACTGCTCGCCAGTTTCAACGTGAACAGGATACTTCTTTTCATTGTGATCGCAATTGCTCACAGACGGTACTGGTCAACGTGGACCAAGAATAAGAATCGAACATCTGATTTATTTCATTAGCAGACGAAATGAACCTCTTTTTCAGCTTTCTGTTCCTTATACTCATAACTATTTTCCTATTTCAGTTTCAACGGAACAGAAGAAATTTCCAGCATCCTCTCGACTGCTTCGCAGCGTTTCTCCACGCAACAATTGGTGAACAAGTACGAGAATTTGATCGAGGAACGCAAAACGGAATTTGAGAAAATCCTGGAACCTCTGAAGAAATCCCTGGATGTCGCGAAATACGAATTGCAGTGGTTGAGAAATTACGGGAAATCGGTCACCACGTGGGTAATTGGGTTTAACGAGGCAAACAACAAGGAGGGTGCTAAGGATACCACGGATTACCGTCTGCCCACAAGCATAATCCCTGAAACGTATGCCATTTGGATAGGCACCAACTTGACCGAAGAGGACAATTTTACGTTTACAGGAACAGTTAATATTAACGCGAAAATCGCGAAGAATACGAGGAATATCACTTTGCACTCGTCTGGTCTTACCCACAAATATATTAATGTACTGACAGAAAATAATAACGTAACAAGGATATACTCCAAAGACAAATATGACTTCCTGATCATTGAGTTTGAACAAGATTTACAAATGGGGCAAAATATAATCATTAATATAGAGTACACGGGGTATCTAAATGATGAGTTGGATGGATTGTATAGGAGTTCGTACATAGACGATCTGGGCCGAAGGAGGTAAAGAATTTCACCGTCTCTTTTGTGTTTCTGTAATTTTTGTCGAGTTTTTGTATTTTCCGAAGCGAGATACAATTGTATCGAATAAATTTGATTTATTTAACAGATGGTTAGCTGCCACGCAGATGCAACCAGTTTCAGCTCGTAAGATGTTTCCATGCTTCGACGAACCAGCAATGAAGGCAAAATTCGTTATGCACGTTGTAGTACCACAGAACTTTTCCGCCATCAGTAATATGAGACTCGATCAAATATATATGCAACAGTAAGTACTTTCTCTTCCTTGAATATCAAGTTAGAACGGTTCGCATTACAATAATCTTTATAGCATAATTTTGTTTCAAATATTCTCTTAACACTGAACCTACCACGGTCAAATGACCGATGAATGAGAAAATGATAGATTCATGAAAAAATGAAACAATTCGAGACACTGAAAGATTAATTGCACGTATATTGGAAGAAAAATTGCGAAAATGAGTGGCTAAGATGATAAGGTTCAATGAGGAATTTTAAATGACAGTTTTAAAAACGGATATTTAAGCCATGGTAGGTTTAGTGTTAACGATTAAACGAATAATCTAGCTATGAAATTTTATCGTCGAGGGGTTTATTCAATTCTGACAAATAAGTATTTAAAAAAAATCAATTTTTTCGATGATAGTATTTTAAAACAATTCATTTTAAACCAGATTACGTCGTTTAATCTCTTCGATAAGTAGAACGTAACATTGATATTACAATAACTACTGTTATATCTTGATCAATCCAATTAGGCATTTATGCATGCAAGGATTTTGAAATTTTGCCTTGTATACATTTTTACGTTGCTTTCTACCCTTTTACTAAGTTTTAAACCTATTCACTGAACACGCAATCTATGTTTGCTAATTTCTTTTGGAAGAAATATTTTGCAACAATTTTTCTCACCATCTATGAATTCTGGCTTAAATAATACAACTTTGCGTTTCAATAAATGGTTCCAAGAATTCAGTCGTATAATTGCTCTGAGGTCTGTAAAAAGTTCTAAAGTTTGCAATCGAAACAACGCAGGAACAAGACAGATATTCCTTTCACTCTCTTTGACGCCTTTGATGCTCTTGGAATCTCTACGTCTGACATGGTAATAAAATAAATTACATCTACATGCTTTTTATTTTGTTTCAAACAGTAAACGATCCTATGTCTACGCCAATGTTTTATAATTCTATCCCATTCCATTTCGATGTTACTCTGTTTGTCACATAGTGCAATGTAATCTTATTCGTGGATGTGACATTTCTAGTCAATAAGAAAAATTCGCGTGACCTATCTGTACGATTCTGCTATGAAAGGTGGACTTATTACATTCTAATCAAAGCAGCATTCTTTTCGCCTGCAAACTCCTGAGCTCCGCACAATATATTATTTGACCTCTAATGAATCTAGGTGCAATAGAGGTGAAATTTTCAAAAGATTTCTTCCAACAGAACACAGCTTAAGCCTGAAAGCCTCAACCTTAATCATCTCAGTCAACAGAACTAGTAACTTCGTTAAACTCTCGTTACAGAAACGAAATGAAGGTATTGGTCTTCGAAGAGACGCCTAGAATGTCTACATACTTAGTGGCTCTAATAATTTCCGATTTTGCGTCACTGAAGTCTGACGAAGGTTCTTATGCAGTATGGACTAGACGAAATGCTATCAGTAGTGGACAATACGCTTTGTCCGTCATGGACGGCCTCATGAAATTCTACGAGAACGCATTGAATATCGAGTATCCACTACCAAAACTGGACATGGCTGCATTGCCAGACTTTAAGTCAGGTGCAATGGAAAATTGGGGTTTATTGACTTACAAGGAAAGGAACTTGCTATATGACAGTAATTTATCGACTTCCGGTTCGAAACAAAGTATAATGCAAGTGATATCGCATGAAATCGCTCATCAATGGTTTGGCAACCTTGTCAGTCCGCTTTGGTGGAAGTACACATGGTTGAACGAAGGCTTCGCAAGATTCTTTGAGTACTTTGGATCTTCAAAAGTAAGTATTTTAAACAGAAAAATCTTTCAGTTTCTCGCCTTCTGCTTCACTATAATGGGAAAACTTTAAACCCTTTGCGGACGAGCGCCGCATATATGCGTTCGGCGGAGAGACTCATAAATGTGTCCCACGTAAACGCGTTGCTATGGCCGAGAAACACGTATATGTGTCCGCTGTTGCGGCTCTAGGACCACACGTCCCAAGTTAAGTGGTGTACTGTTTTATGTCCTTATTGACAGCGTCGTTATGAATGAAAATCACGTTTAAATAGAAATGAGTGCTGGTAATTTTGAATGACTATAGCGACAGCGGCTCGTCCCCACGGTTTACTCAAAACCGCTCCGACCGCAAAGGGTTAATATTCTTTCTCAATTTTTCTATCCTTCTAATGTAAGGATTTTTATTTAATTCGTTCAACTAAATGATGCCAAATCGCCAATTAATAAAACTTGTCAGGTGGTACCTGATACGTGGTCCTTGGAGTCCCAGTTCATCACGGAACAGCTTTACTCAGCTTTCGCAGATGACAGTTTGAAGTCCACTCACGCTATGACCCATGATGTTTACAATCCAACGGAAATTAACGGAATATTCGATAGAATATCCTACGCTAAATCTGCTAGCGTGATAAGAATGATGTATAAGTCGTTTGGTGACAACATATTTTATGGAGCTCTCAGAAGCTATCTAAACAAACGGTAAGACTTGATTTGCACGTATGAAGAAAAAGAAAAAGTGAAGGATACAGTATTTGCTATAAAATTAAATTCTTAAAACTTATGTATAAAAGAACTCTTGCTATGGACATGATATATGTTTGATTTAATTTCGTTGTATTCAAAATATATTTGACACAATACCGTCATTAAGATGATATTGTCATTGCTTTGAATAACAACTTGGAAGATACATAAGACTATCAAAATGTAGAATAAGCAAAAAGAATAAGGAATAAGAAGGTGACAAAGAATACGTAGAGTGTGTATATACTAAATATATAATACTAAGTATTCATTGGAGCAAAAGAATAAAACTTTTGCATTTATTAGCATAAAGTTAATAGGTCTGTTATTTTTGCTCCAGACACTGAAATATCCATTCTAAATTATATTATGTAAATATTTCTATAAATTATAAATTATTTCATAACGTAAAAATAATTATTTACTCATCGTTTGATCGTTAATTACATGTCGATAATTATCTTGATTTATTTTGAGCTAGTAACGAAAAGTAGAATTCCAAATGGTATTGTTTTCAAGTTAATAATTATTTACTTATTTAGTTTCTATATAATTTGTATACAAATTAGCACTAGAATATAATTGAAACTGTTGCAGGTGAAGAAGGTTATATGAAACAGGTTTCTATGTTCAAACACACACAGGACACCTATTTTTCTATATTTTCCAATTATCATTTTAGGAAGTACGACACAGCTACACCGGAAGATCTCTTTGATGCATTCAAAGAAATGATCGAGGACGAGAAAGTTAAAGTCACGATTTTCGATATCATGACCAGTTGGACTACCCAACCTGGTTATCCTGTCGTTACTACCGTAAGGCGAAACAATCGTTTGGAACTCCAACAAGAAAGGTTCTTCTTGCATGCTGAAGACAGATCGACTGACGAAAAGAGTCTTTGGCATATACCGATCACTTACACGAGGCTTAGCAATCCAAATTTCAATCAGACGAAACCGATTTATTGGTTCAAGGGTGTCCAAGAAAGCATTATACTACCTTTCGACGATTGGTACTTATTGAATGTACAACAATCTGGTAAGTACTTATGTTAAGAGTCACAGTTCTGAAATGGCAGATTATAGGACAAAGCTTTGTTTGAGAAAGTTAAATGGCGCTGAATGATGTTTATTTCGGAAATTCAAGCTCGTCATTTCTTTAAATACAACTATACCTTCTTTTTGAGAATGTTCGGAAATACATTCTTCCATGTGCTATAAAAAACCATTAGAGTACTTAAATTAAAAATTAATTAGTTAACCCTTTGCGGACTATGGCCGCATATATGCTTTCTGCGTAAACTGTCAATTTGTCTGAGGAACTTACATATGCGTTTGGCGTAAGCCGAAAGACTCGTATATGTGTCTCGCGTAAAAGCATCGCTATGGCCACATGTGCCTACAGTTAAAACTCACATATGCGTTTGGCGTAAACTGATAGAGCCGAAAGACTCGTATATGTGTCTCGCGTAAAAGCATCGCTATGGCCACATGTGCCTACAGTTTGACATCTTAGAGTGCTATCAACGAAAATATCGATTAAGCAGAAATGTGCACTGGCAATTTGAAATGCCTATCGTCGCAACAACTCTACACCATGATACGGTTAACTTCGAACCGTCCCGTCCCCAAAGGGTTAATAACGGGGATACAGAGCTATAGGCGTCCACGCTGCATTGCCAATTGTTTCGAAGGGATATCGTGAGGGATTAAATAAGCGAAAAGCACTATGTCGGATTTCGTCGAAGTTTATTATGCACAAGAGAGGCTGACGCCGAAAAAACGGTGTAGCTTTTAGAAGAGGTCTATATCGCTCTGGGATTGCCAACGAACTGAACTTTTTCAGCCCTGGCTCATGCGTCGTGATCCGTAAATCATGGGGGGCTGGTCGTAAAGACATAGACCAAACCCTCATTGACTCGGAACCCTCGATGTCGCTAAGAGTGGAAAAATGGTTTTCTACTTCGCAACTACGGATGCGTTCCTACAGATTATTTGTAGTACTGAAGTAGTATTTTACTATTATATTAATAGCAATCGAATAGTAATAGTGATCTACTAAGTAGTACATGACTGAACATAGTAATATACTAAATAGTAATTTATTTTAACTTAATTAACACTTTATACACCTATGTTTTCTATCTAATATCAGACTCTCAGGCATACCTTCAATGAACCAAATTCTCTTTTCAGGGTACTACCGTGTAAACTACGACAACGAAACTTGGCAGAAGATAATCAGCCAACTGAATACGAACTTCGAGAGTATACACGAGATCAATCGTGCTGCAATCATCGACGATTTGTTAAACCTTGCTAGAGCAGGACTCGTTAGCTACGATATCGTTATATCCGCGACACAGTACCTGAAAAACGAAAATAGTTACATTCCATGGCATGCGTTCTTCAAAGGATTGCCTTATTTATACAAACAATTCGAAGGAAAGCCTGCTTTCAATGCACTTTCAGTACGTATTATTTATTTTTTATTTAACGATCTTTACCAATTATCCTTGTGTAATATAGTCGTCTCCAGACTGGTTCCTCGAGTTATGAAAACCTTCATTTTTTTATCACTTTACAGAGATACCTATCATCGCTTCTATTATCGACATATGAAAGGCTAGGATACATGGACAAGCAGAACGACACTCATGTTACAAAGTTGTTTAGATCAGATATTCGCTATTGGTCTTGCAAATTGGACCTGTCAGGCTGCAAACTTGAGGCTGAACTACAATTCATGAATTCGTCTAGTAATCCTGAACAGTTAGTGCTATTCTTAATTAATGTCAAGTTAGAAATGGAAGCTTATTGCGTTTATGGTTTTTCATACTTAATTGCCAATAAGCCTTACACGGAGCTGATCTTATTTGAATGGATTAAAAGGAGCTTTGCTAAACATAAAATATGGTATTCTCGTGACTATAATTTTGTCTCGTAACTGATTCTTCTTCGATGTTGTTTTACAGATTCCAACCGAATAGTCGATTTGTATCATACTGCGCGGCTGCCAAAATGGAAGATGATCGAATGTGGAATCGTTTGAATAATATGTATTCGAACTCGACATTTGCCGCAGAAAAATCGATAATTCTTCAAGGTCTCGCCTGTGCTACTAAAGACGCACGCCTCAACGAGTAAGTTTACGTATAAGTATAAGCACATTGCATTAAAAATTCGAAAAATATTCGTCACTCAAAGATATTCAAATTTCATCTAAACATTCTTCATTGCGAATAATAACGATGACATAAATGAAATTAGTAATGGCAATGGAATTTTATTATTTATTTAATGAAATATTTCAATATTGTCTCCAAGTTCGAGCAACTAATTGACAAACACTACTATATTATAATTCTTTTCATAATAAGCTATATAATTTTTAAATTAAGTCATATCGCTTTCCAATTGTCAATAATATTTGTTTCTATTTTGGTGATATTACGATATAACATTATGCTCTATATAATATAATGCACTATGCATATATGAATCATCGTGAATAAATTTTCCTATAGAAACAAATAATAGATACTTTGTATAATATATTTATATACAAAGTTCATATAATAGAATGCTCACATAATGTATGTTTCGGTAACAAAGGTTCCACTATATAGCGTAACTGTTGTAAAATGTATTTCTAATCATATGTACTATTAATGCATTCCAGGCTTCTTCACAACGCGACTTCGAAAGACTCTGAGATTCGATTCGATGACAGCAGGAACGTTTTCAGTTACGTTATCAATACAAGCCCAGAGGGTGTCAAATATGTGATAAAATTCATCAATGAGAATTATGAAAAAATGCTCAACTAGTAAGTAGCGTATCGTAAAATATTCAAGAATTAATATGCTTTCGAATGCGAATTCTAATAATTTTTATGTTATAATTTTTTACAGCTATGGGAGACATTCTGATATCGAAGGTATCTTGAAGATGATCAGCACGAATGTGTTCACCGATGAAACTTATGAGATGGTAATTTGTCTTTTTTATATTTATGATAATTACGAAAATAAGTAAAATCGATATTTATTTGAAACTTTGCTTCGTTCGAAACGAGACATATGAAAATAAATGATTACCGATCTATGCAAAATGCGAATGCATGAATTCGTTATGGAATTTTTATACTGATACATGTTTCATGATATAGTTTAACTATTATAGAACATTTCATGCAACATATTATATGAATAAAAATTTGTTTCGGCGATTGCTTTTCTATTACATCAATCGTGATCAAAAGACATGTTAGAAAACACATCAGAATTTAAATAACTAATATTTTAGTAATTGTATTGTTATTTAATTATTGTATTCCAAATTTACGGTAATATTTTACATCAATATCAGATAAACGATTGCCTTGTGTTTAAATTATAAAATATTCATTAACACAATGCAACAATTTGAGACGATCGTTACTAAGAGTTCTTAGAAAAGTCCACGTTCTTTTTATTATTTTACATTCAGTCGTGATTGTATATGAAAAGTTGTGCATTGAAGAGGTATCTATTCTTAATTAGTCATTATAGGTATACTTATACCATCCACAATGAAAATATAAAAATTTTAAGAATCCATTTTGGATGAAAAATTCATATCATATCCAAACAATTAATAGTAAGTATCATAATCCAAGCTTTAATTCATTCCTATTTCTCCCGCAGTATGACCAACTGTTGAAAGCCATAGAGGAGAGAAGTGGGAAGAAATACACTAACATGAATAATTATACCGATAGCGCCAAACAGGAATTAAAATGGGGCAACGAGAACATTCCAAACATACATTACATTCTCACGCAGATCTATCCCGAAGAAAACTATCGTTTACCAACAACAGTGATGCCGTTAAGTTACAACATTAGTTTGTCCACATATTTCAACGAAAGGAATTTTATGTTTACCGGAAACGTACAGATAGAAATGAAATCTAGAGTGGGCTACGTAAACTCTATAGTCCTGAACTCTCACAACCTCAAAATAAAGGCCGTGTCAGTGTACCAAAAGAATTCGGTCACGAACCAGACAACGGAATTATCAATTAAGGATATCATTATGCAAAAAGAGAGCCAGACACTCGTAATATTCATGAACGCATTTTTAAATCCCGACATCATACTTGACATAGACTTCGAAGGCATTCTAAACGACGATATGAAAGGTTTCTACCGAAGTTATTATATTAATAGTGAAGGAAATATTCGGTGAGTGGAATAATAGATTTTTTAAAAATATTCAATTCTTCGTGTATTGATAAATTTGGCCTATTTGATTTACTTATCACTATAAGTTATTGACATTACATAACGATCGGTCTATAATATACATCTAAATATAGCATACGCAGAGTCTAAATAAATATTTCATTCGGTAGCAAGTCAAATTAATGGATTATTTCAGCGCAATTAAAAATTGATAATTTAGATAATTATTGTTGCACGAAGGTAGCCGAGGGCTGTCGTGGTGAAATCCTATAGTATGTTCCACCAATCGAGATAATGAGTACCTTAGCTTTGCAATAAAGAGCAGTTTCGTGTTTATAAACATATTATTACACTAGTAGCTGCGATTTCGAATGAGATATACATGTGTTATACTAAGTGTTCTATATGCATTCTGACTGAGTTCTGAATAACGTCTGATCTGTTGTCTTCGAGTTCTAAGTGACTTTTGATGTGTTCTGTCTGACAATGAGTTCTAATTACCGTCTGTAATGTCTTGTTGTGTTCTGTCCGGTGTCACCCCAAGTTTGTTTTGATTGGATATTAATGGAGGAAAGATAGAGGTTTCAACTGGATGTGGGTGTTTCGGAAGGACCTTTGATTGAGGAGTGGGAAACTGTCAAGGAAGGTTCCTTTTGGCATTGTTTCGGTCGTCGATATCGCGATTTATGAGTAAAGGTCTCTTTGTTTCTTCGGTGGGTTAGTCACACGTGCGTCCAATCTGTTGGACCTGGTTGTAGGTTATAGGGTCGTACGTAGTCTGTGCCTTTGTGTTAATTATACTGTTTAATCCTTTGACCTACGCGCTATTTCTCGATTGCGTGGACCATAGTAAACAAAACTATCGGTCGCGCGCCGGGCCATTCAGCTGTTCAGCCGTGTCCAAACTTGCGCAATATGTATATTTCTTATGACATATATTTCGGTGCATCGAAGTACCAGAACTTCTATTGTTATTGGCGCAAATTCCTCACCACGAGCCATACTCGTGGCTTTCTCTTATGGCACATATTCCCCACTACGAGTCAGACTCGTGGTTTTCGCTCATGGCCAAATTCCTTACCACGAGTCTCACTCTAAAACACTCACTTTGGTTCTAGACCAAAGGATTAATTTTACAGAAGGACGATAAAGCATGTCCTTCGGTATTGCTGTCGCAACATGCCACCCTCCTTGAACGATTAAGTTCAATTATTTGTATGTTTGTATGTTTTGCGGTGTGATGGTTTATAATGTGTTGTGTTGTTCTTACATACTGTGTTTAATCTGCGTTGTTCTTAATACTATATACATTGTTCGTAATTTTACATGACTACTTAGACTTATGTACACCTGTGTTTAGTATAAGTTATCTAATATTGCGATTTAATATGTACAAGATCTAGAATTTACAATGCTACGAATATATCGGTAGCCGTACTAGCCGCTTCTGACCATGTATATTCGTGTTCCGCGGTTTATGTCTATGTCATTTCTTTCGTGTGGTTAATATCTTATGGAAATACTTCTTACTCCATCCTTGCCAAAAATGGTGGCGCATCGTTTTAACACGTTGCCACGATGGCAATCGACTGGGTGAAATGTTTGATAAATTAATATCCTAGTTAACGCATCGCCGATCAAGGAATGCGCTAATGTTAATGTGAACAAATCGTTTGGATCAGAGGAAAACGACGTTAGCGATCGAGAATTAAGGATTGTCTCGATCTGATTGATATATGTTAACAACGCTTCGTATAATATTAATGTGTCGCCTACTAGTCGTTTTATGTAAACTTTGAACGATTTTACAGCCGCTTCCCAAAGTCCACTGAAGTGCGGTGAATGCGATGGAATGACATGTCTGTTTATGTTCTCATTGACCAGTGTATTCGAAATTCCGTCGTTTGTTTGTTACTATTTTATGAATGCGTACATTTCCTTCACTTTCCGTTTTGCGCTTACAAAGTTTGTCGCGTTATCCGAATATGTATCTGTACACTTTCCTCTAGGCGCGAAGAATCTACGTAAGATTGCAATGAATGTTTCAATGGTGAGGTCCGATACGATTTCTATGCATAACTACCTTTGTAGCGAAGCATACGAATATAGCTAGTCGACTTGTCGACGGGTGACGTGCTTAGGAATATTTATGAATAATTGAATAATTTGCTGGATTACGATTCTACCGCTTGGAATTTAATACATTTGTCTTAAGGACTGAAGTGTTGCTTGAACTCCTCTATGGAAATTTTTTACGTGATACTGTTTAATGAGTAAATTGGTTATATGATGTCCTCTTAGTAGGAGCAGAAGATGTGTTTTTGAATAAGACAGGCTAGCATGAACTAATCGTCCTACTCTCATGAATCCATTCTTGCGGATGAACGGATTTAATGGAGCTAGTTCACTACTGATGTTTTGTTTGGTTGTAAGTATGTGAATTTCCTTGTTAAATTTTGTATGTTGTCTTAGTTGTAGTGTCTCGTAATTTGTCTGTCTTAAGTGTGTTTGAATTATGTCTTTCGCGTAATGTGTTATTTGAAATTCTCTGACAGTTACTAGTTTTAGTTTTGTGAAGGATAAGAATTGGCATAATACGCTGAAGTCTGTGTCTTGTATTGTGAATATTTTTAGGGGATATATTTCCGGCATCCCCGTTATGCTTGCAAGTGTTACCGACCATTGTTCATGTTCATATCTTAGGCATGAAGGCTTGCCGTAATTTATTATTGAGATATTCTATAGCTATTAATTCGCTTGATACCACGTTTGTGTTTTCACCTAATGGGATATGTCGCCACTCGTGCTAGCTCGGGGTGCTTTGAATTGCTGCTGCGTACTGTGCTACAAATGTTTTTAATTCGTGTGGTGATGTTCTTAACCAGTTCAGGATGTGGTTGATTGGTGCAAAGGTAGTGCTCCTGATACTATTGACTCTACAATTTCGATTGAATGAAATGAAGATGCTGTGCACCATGCACAGCCGAATCTTTACGATGATGCGATATAGACCCAGATTTGAGTATGCAATAAAGAACAGTTTCGATATCTAGCCTTCGGTAGTGTCATCGCAAAAATTATATTCGTATCGAATTATTATCCAAGTTTAATTTTCTTGAAAACGATATCGGAAAGAGTATTTTTATGAAGAATCATGTTTTCATTATTTATAGCACGATACTAATTTTTCTTTGTGCCGAAATTATTATTTTTTTACTGTTGTTTCTCAGTTGGTTGGCTACGACACAGTTTGAACCAATTTATGCCAGACGAGCATTCCCTTGCTTTGACGACCCATTGTTTAAAGCAAAATTCGTGATAAACATCGAAAGACCTAAGGATTATCTTGTAATCAGCAATATGCGTCGTGCATTGCTGACTCCATTAGAGTAAGTATATCCAGAAAACACGAACCTCAGAATTATTTAATTTTTGTATACTATATTAAATTTCCTTGTTTAACACTTGTTGTTTTAGCGTTGAGTAAAAATGTAGTAACCTCTCTTACGACATGTACTTTGTATTAGCTTACAAAAATGTAAGAAGTTATTAATTAATATCTTTTCAACAGCCTTAATAATTTATAAACTCATTCATCGAAACTTTAGATTGTCATTGTAATTTACCATAACAGTAACCTAAAGCATAATTTTACCCTGCCGGTTACCAACGTGTTTAAATAATAAATAAAATAATTATTTCTCAATTATAATTATAAAATCAATCGAACTCTGTGTCTAGCGAGGAAAATCGCGTCGTGGAATCATTTGAAGAAACGGTCGAAATGTCGACCTACCTGGTTGCATTCGTAGTCAGCGACTTCAGCTCCGTGAGAGAATTATACGATTTTGTGAACGTATGGGGTAGACCAAACATTGCTGCAAAGGGCGATTTTGCGCAAATCGCAGCCACACGCATCCTCGAGTATCTCCAATTTAAAACACAACAAAACTACACTCTGCCAAAACTGGATTTAATCGGAATTCCAGATTTCTCGATGGGAGCTATGGAAAATTGGGGTCTTGTAACGTTCAAGTGAGTCATATTAATTTACTTCTAAAATAATTGTCTTTCAATTAACCATTCTTAATTTTATCTTTTGATTGTGCATTTATTTTCAATATCGAATACTAAATTTATTAATGAGTTTAGTTGATAGAGTGATTTTAAGTTCGCGTGGAGAAGAAGTATTAAGAGAAGTGTAAGTTAGATGATAACAGTGCACAGAATGTACAAAGATAGTAAACTAAACTCAGGAAATTTCTTGAATAAAAATGACATCAGCGAGAATGATAAAAATAATAAAATTTCTTTTTGCATTCTATTTTATGATTATTGACATTAGAAAATGTAAATTCTGTGTTGAGTTTGATATAACGAAATGTGTAATATATGAAATTAACATTTTCGCTTACAATATCGTGTGAGACTCGTGGTAATTAACTCTGACCCAAAATGCGTATCACGAGTGAGAGACGTGGCTTCTGGATAGAGCCCAACGTATGTCCTATCTCATTGTCAGTTACGTGTTATTCTCGACCGCGTTCAGACGAAATGACTTGACGTGTGACCGACTCTGCTGTTGATGATGGCACATGTCATCAGGACTTAAATTGTAAGGCAAGGGGTTAATTGTGATTATTTTCACAGAGAATATGGACTTTTTTACGACAAAGAAGAAACAAGTGCTAAAGTCACGGATTATATTATTACTACAATTGCACACGAGCTTGCTCATATGATGTATGGAAATTTGGTAACTTGTGCTTGGTGGGAATACATATGGCTGAATGAAGGTTTCGCCGAATATATGCAGTGGTCCCTTTCTCATATGGTAAGCAATCGTATATTAACGAATCGAATTTTTTATATCTATATGTTACCATTATCTTTACCGATGTCACCTTTTTACACTTTTATTTTAATAATAATTAAGATTTGAGTGTCAAGTCGATGGATAGGATAATTAATCTTTATAACAATAATAATAAATAAAATACTGCAGATGTTAAAGATAATAAATTAGAAGATTTTTTCAGATCTAATTTTAATGTTTTACTATATTGTATTATTTATTTATTATTATATAATATGCGATGTATTATTTTCATAAATTCATTACAGTTCCGACCTGACTACGGTTACAACGAATTATTCGTGATTGACGAACTGCAGCCAGCGATGCTAAGCGATAGTTCACCGACAACACACGCCATGAATAGACCAGTTACGACTCCTGAGCAAATCGATGATATCTTTGACTATGTTACTTATGGAAAGTGTGAGTACTTATAAAACTTTCATAATTCGAAAGTTAACTATTTGTCAAATTAATTTTATATAAATTTTCTACCGAGCAGAAACTTCTTTGTGGCCATCTTTCATTATTCTTTAGCTATACGAAATTCAGTTCTATTTACATCACCCATATCGCTAAGAATCTACAATTTATTATCAAAAAACGATTACTTTTACAGCATCCAGTGTAATAAGGATGATAAGTATGTCATTAAAGCCAGAGACATTCACGAGAGCCACGATTGAATACTTGACAGCGCATCAATTCAACAATACGACTCCGGAGGATCTTTGGAGAGCTTTCGATAAAGCGATCAACGAGACAAATGATCTACAAAACTGGTCGAATAAATCTTTCAGTTACTTAATGAGTGGTTGGACCAATGAAACGGGATACCCGATTGTTTCTGCATCGTTGAAAGATGGTAGTTTATTGCTAACTCAGGTACTATCTCCTTTAAATAAATAACAAGATATATTGTACGAATTTGGTAAGTTGGCAATCAAAAGGAAATGGTTTTATTGACGACAGTATAATAGATCCAACTTCTCTAATAGAATATTGGAAATAGATCATACGAATTTTCATTATTAACTGGGAATATCTTATCCACAAATAGGGTTATATTGTGACGAAGTGATGTACATATATATATATATAAAAGACTTAATAAAATAGTACCAAAGTCATTTTTATTAATATAAAATTTATGAAACGGAAAGAGTAGCAATGTAATTTAATTAATTACTGTAAGTAGTACAAAGCTATACCTTACCAAATTTGTACATATAATACGTGTGTACGAAGAGACACACCTCGTGACATACTCAAAAATATAATATTCTTTAAATAGAACAAATTAAAAACTTGAGAGAAATATATTTTAAAACAAATCTATTAAATTTAATTTGAATTTACATTTTTACTTGTAAAAGACTCGTGCACAACGTTGATACGATTACGTCTTTAAAAAAGAAAAAAAAAACAGATCCTCTTCCATGAATTCAAAAAAGAAAGAATGTTTCTTCTTACACGTCACAGATACCTTACTGTAACGTCAACGAATTAACGAACGAAAAAACAACGTCATTGTAAAATGATTCTTTCAGAAAGATTTTTTCACCAATAAAGACAGCGACACATTCTGGATACCTATTACGTACACGACAAGCTCAAAAATGGACTTCCAAAATACTAGTACCAATATTTGGTTAGGAGGATACCCAATAAAATTAGAACTCAAGAAACCAGAAGAATGGTTCATCGTGAACATTCAGCAAAGCGGATACTATCGGGTGAACTACGACGATAATTCCTGGAAACGTCTGATCCTCGCACTCGAGACTAATCACACTGTAATACACGCGACAAATCGTGCTCAGGTCATCGATGATCTCCTGAATTTGGCTCGAATCGGCTATGTTGACTATGAGATCGCATTGAATGGAACAAGGTATCTGTGTAATGAGAAGAATTACCTACCATGGAAAGCGTTCTTCAATGGAATAAATTTCATCGAACAACGTTGCCAAGGACGAGAAGAAAGAAACTTAATTCAGGAATATGTTCATCTGCTGGCTTCCAAAATCTACGACAGTGTCGGCTTCGTAGACTCTATCCAAGATAGTCACTTTGTTCAATTGAACAGGGATCTGATCCTGAGCTGGATGTGTAGGCTTAATTATACGTATTGCGTGGATGCTTCCAATAAAATGCTCTCTACTTGGCGTAACAATAGCACAAGCAAGTAAGTCTTCTACTGTCTTATTGAGTAATAAAAGAAATATAAATGAGATATATAAATATGTAATACAAAGTATACATATAATAATATGCATACTTTGTTATAATATAGTATAAAAAGTATACATATAATAATGTAGTATAAAAAGTATACATATAATAATATGTTTTTGTATATAATAATATGTATGCTTTGTAATAATATATAAATAAAAGTATATAAATTTTAGGATTTCACCAAATGCAAGAGCAGCAGTTTATTGTACAGCTATCAGAATGGGATCTAAAGATGATTGGTTATTCCTATGGCAACAGTATAAAGAAACGAACTTTGCTTCGGAGCAAAGGATCATAATCAATTCTCTCGGCTGCTCCACAGACAAGCAGATATTGATGGAGTAAGTCATATTTATAACTCGTAAACTACGTTTTCTAAGATGCAATATGTACATGATATATGGTGTATAAATTTTACAACTGCATGGCGTACCTTTGTTCTGGAATAATTTATAATATCTGTATAATTAATTAATTCGGTGATTATCAGTTACTTTTTAGTATGTAGATTTTGCAAACATATCGACTGCCTTTCTTCTATAATGATTCTTAATTTCAATATTTCTATGACTAATTAATTTAATTAAATAACAATGTTTGAAATGAAAAGAAGCTCCATGTCAATAATCGATAAATGGAAGCAGTGAAACCGTGGAAGTTTTGAACTCTAGTTATCATTTATAACATATTGATTTGTTTCAGTTACATTCATTTGGCACTATCATCTAATTACACCTCTCCTATCCGAAAACATGATGTCAGCGCTGTATTTGCTTCCATCTACAATTCCGACAAAATTGGAGTAGATGTGATGTTGGATTTCCTAGTAGACAACTACACTCAACTGCATGACTAGTAAGTATATAGACAATTCAACGAAAACGTCCCCAATTGACCTGCTTACAATATTATCTATCAATAAATTTTCAACCAAATGTATTAATACGAAAGCGACTAGAAATCCCAAAATGTTTCACACATAGAATGTTACGATTTAAATATAAGTGTCATGAGTAAACTGTGTTAATATCAATATATAAATGCATTGAAACAATTAACACTTTCTTTTATCGTTTAGTTAAAAGATAGTAAACAAAGTTGTTTAGAGAAAACTATTTGGTGGAGGTATATTTGAAGGGAAAATATTTGGAATTATAGTTTGCGAAGAGCAGTAATTTACCCGATGTTTGTGTTACTTAATATTTCGTGTATACCTAATCATTGTTATACGTATTTGCATAGTATATCTTATGCAATTATTTCATATTTCAGTTACAACAATTGGGATGACGTTAAAGAATTAATTTCCAAATTGACACCTCGTATTTCAACCCCTGAACAAGTTATGAAGGTACATCGATTGAATATGATTATACCGTAATTTTCTGAAGCTTTTACAAATGATATTTACGGATGAACCATTTTCGAACAAATGTTTCAGCTGAACGAATTGAGTACCAAAGAGGGTGACGTCTCTAGCATAGCAGTCTCTGTCAATCTCGCGGTCGAAGATGCAAAGAAAAATCTGCTCTGGTACGACAAGTATTCGAGTAGGATTACCAACTGGTTGAACCAAACGATTCATGACATGAATTCTAAAGGTACTGCGGCTATTGCGAGTAGCTTAAGTATAATTTCCTTGACTGCATTTTCGGTGATTGTACACATGTTCATGCAATAAATGTATATAGATCAGCTGAATAGGGATAACAATGTTGCACGATTTTCTAATAGGTATTAAATTATATTTCCAACATACTATGGAAATGAGATAATCTGTAATAACGTTTCCTGTCGTAAAATAAATTTATCTATATTATTTTGTAAGTATAAAAAATAATTATTGCTTTTCCCCAGATACCCAACAATTTACCCAACCTTGTATATTTCCATATATAAGTGGTATAAAATCCACTCATAAGTGAAGATAGTTTAATTTATAATTTATTTGTAACGGAATTAAAACTGCACTTCTTCCACATGTTCTAATAAAAAAAGAAATATCCGATCTGTGTTAATGAGTAACACAATCATCGTATTATCGTATCAGTGGCGAAATAAAGCGCACAAAAAGGTATAAAAATCGATACAACTTTATTATATTGAAATCGAAATACAATTTTATTATACAATTTTTTTAATTGCAATTTCGTAACGTGTAATTTCCATCCAGCGATGGTGTTGTTCTATCGAACAAAAGGAATTGCGTCGACGAACCGTCGATTCGCGCTTTCGTATTTCGATCTTCAAAAGAAAAGAAATATATCGCGCGTCGACGTACGTATGTTACCATATCCTTCTAGAGAAACTGGAAGAGTAAGTTCTTTAAGTATTTAGAATACGTGTTGTGCGTGTAACCGAAAGGCAAACGTCGAAACGGAAACTTCGTAACGAATACATTGTGCATCGATGCATGATCTTCTCTCTACGCTTCCTCTCCATCACACAACGATCCGAAAAAGATTTAGTCATCCACTATCTCACCAAACAATCACAAATTTCACCAGTCGTGGCTTCAAAAATTGTTGAGCTCGAGTGACCTACGCTCGCAACGGGAAGCTCCTCCACGATAAATCGAATTCGTAAATCAAACGCGAATGATCGATCGCTTTCCCCGAAATCGTTGCTAGGTTAGAGTCAATCGCTGTAATGCTGTCATCGCTAAAGAAAAATTAAAACGTCTACGACTCTGAATAAATAACAACGAAAACACACATCCACGATACGAAATTAGTTACAATGATTTTTGTTTAACCTTCGCATCCTGAATGATCCTAAATTACCCTAATCGTTAAAGACTTCGTTTGCGAACGAGCTAAGCCAGAGATCCTTTAGAGATCCATTGAAGATTCGCGAAAGAAGGTGAACCGAATTATTAGTTAAATAATTTAAACTGTATATTCAAAGTGCACGAGTTGCACGGAATGGTTCGTGTACCAGGCGGAAATCAACTTCTTCTATCTAGATACTTGAACATCCCATTATACGTACATAAATGTTTAACGCGTATTTACAAAAACATGCAAAAAACACTTAATACTTGTTTCATAGATTTCGGATACAGGTCTCCCTTTGCGATCTACGTTTAATCATAGCTGCGAAACGCGAGATTGCCCGCACGAGTATACCGTTCTCGAACGATCGAACAATGCTCGTGAATATTTCGACGTGACTGCCTGGAGCTTTCGTTCGTGGACAATTTTAATCGCCACCTCGAACGTCGATGATTATTTAAATAGTACGACCAGTTCCGTTTAAACGTTACGCTGTATTCCTCTTCAGCCAATCTTGAATCGTAACGTGATTGGCTTCCACCCATCGTATGTTAGCTTCAGATTGCTCTATCGATTGCTGTACCGATCTTGTCGCGCTTCCAAACTTTCCTTTGTGCTCGTTGGTGAACTCCAGCAGCTGGGTAAGAAAAAACACGGGTTTGTATCAATGAATATGAAATTGACGTAATTATATAGACGGTATGAACACGATTGTCGATTGGTTTAAGTGAACGAATGTTTCGACGAATATCGATGAACGTGTCAGAATGTTGTAATGTATATGCTTTGTTTTTCAGGTGCTTTATGAATTTGTTAGAATTCGTTGATCACACAATCGGTTGTATAACAACGTTTTTCTGTCCAATTGAAGTACAGGAATACGTTAATTCGCTAGAAAACACAGTTACTATATACACATCTACTATAAATATCATCTACTATGTTCATTACATGAATAATTTGCATCCTATAATTCGTAATTTGGCAATTCTAATAATTCATAAACGTACTTTTCAGAATGTCAATTCGTTAGAAGTCGGATCTATAATAACAGTAGACTAAGAAGGATCTCAAAGTGATCTAAGTTTATGAAAATCATTTCATCCTCTACAACGTTATGTAATTTGGGATTTATGAACACGAGCATCTATATTTCTTGAATTCTATTTTATTTATTATTACTGAATCATTACTCTAGTCTAATCTATCAGCAACAATGATTGGCTTTTAGGTTTTAAATTAAATAAGGAATCTTGATCAGTTGTTTTTGATCCTTCATTCTTTTACCCATAAGTAAAGTAGATTCTAATTATGAAGTTATAACTAACATTGAAAATTTAAGAAAATTTCGAATGTTTAAATTAACCTAACAGGTGTAACACCAATAGGACACGAGTAACTCGGTCTGTGACGCGAGAGTAGTCATCCTGACCAGTAGTCGATTATGAACGATATATAAACTTAATTTAAGAATTTAGTCGAGATTTACTTGAGGATTTTAACAGGATTTTTAGCTTGAGAAATGGCAACCGAAGGTCAAAGAGACGTCGTGTGATACATGAAAAAAGAATTTTGGCATATACTCACGTCTTTGAGATCGTATTTGGTGTTGATGCCTTTCGTTGCTGACTTTACTATGTTGTTGAAAGTCAGTAGTGACGTCCCGAAGCTGAAGCGAAAAATGAGGATTTTATCATGATTGCTATTCTCTGGTAAGTTGACGTATTAAATATTTGATCAGTGTGCAGGAATGGTAATATTGTATATAACATAATAACAATATTCGACACTGCATAATAATCAAGCAGTGAGAAACTTACTATTCCCGAAGTCGTGCCCATTTATTCCTAAGGAAGTTAAATGCTAACGGTTGTCCAACAGGATTGCTAGCAATGGAATTCAAAACACGACTGGCATCTTGCTTCCTAATTCCCGAATTGTCCGTGATCGTCCAATCCAAGTAACGACTCAAGAGCCACGTTTCTCGGGTACAACCAAGAGCGTGTAGAAGCAAATCCTTTTCAGAACCGACATTGGTTTCCAAGTACATTTGCCAAGCAAAGTCCCATTCGGTTTGTCCACCAAATCGTATTGCTGTACAGTAGACGACCATCTTCAGATTTGGCGAGATTCTGAGAATATTTCGATTTTGTTAATATTTTCGTTGAATGAAGAAGCTAGTAAATAATTATTGAGTTACTATTTTCTTGTAACTCGTGTAAGTAACTTTTACAAACATTTTCTATGTTTTTCGTGTAAAATTAAAATTAAAAATGATAAACGTTCTTTTGTTCCAGGTCAATCATTACATACTGTACGAGGCCAATATAAGCCTAAATTCTTTTGATCGATGGGATATCTTCATTTTTGTGATTTCTCGAACACGTTGTTTAAAAGGGAACTTACGGATTATTTTTGTTCTGATTGGGTGTATTGCGCCAATTGTAAAACTGTTTGACCGCGTTTTGCACGCAATCCTCGTGGCCAAAGTTACATGCCCATGTTAGCACATCGATGCGGGTGAAAACAGTCAACTGGGGATCCCCGCGGTTATCCTTGAAGCCGACTTGCTTGTACACATTCTCGAGAAGTTTCAACACGTACACCTAAAACAATATTTAATGTAACACAAAGAAACGTGCTTTTTTTCAGCAAGAACAGAAGACTTCTATTGTCAGAATGTTTTTAGTCACCTGGCAATCTGGGTTAACTCTTTCATTGTTGGAATTTAAACAAATAAAACAAATTATTTCCTTTATTCGAAGAAAAAGATGAAAGGAAACAACAATAATAATAAAGTCAATATAATCTTTCAAATTATAAATCACACTTCCAGTCAAAATAAAGAAATATGTTTCTTTCAGTACTATGAAATTCCTAATGGAATGTACGGTAAAGTAGCGATTCCTATTTCTAATAAATTCCTAATTTATTTAAAATAAAGATAGAATAGATTCCAGATTCCTGGCTTGAGCTTGGTAATAAGTTATTTTAATCGGATAGAGGATATCGAAGTCTGATTTTCAAAAAGGAATATTATAATTTAAGTGAATTTATATTTACTCGAAATTTGTCGTAACTGGGCATCTTGATCAACATGCTATCCAAATAGTGCATTGCAGTGAAAGCAGACTTCCAAGGTAAGTACTCAGTCTCGTGAGCCAAATACGAAGTTACATCCAACGCAGTGGCGTAATCCAGTCTTCCAGCCCTGGCCAAATTAAGCGCATCGTCTATTAACTGTGCACGATTGGTCGTCGCAATGTTTCTGAAAGAATCCTTGTTCAGTTGCTTGATTATCAATTGCCAGTTTTGCCTGTCGTAGTTCACTCTGTAATAACCTAGAAACGAGATAATCAGAAAATTCAAGGATTACCAATTTTGTAGACATAAATTTATCGTGCAATTTCGTTGTTATACATTTATAAAAATTCCTGATACGAATCTTTGGAATATTACAAGCCAATAGAAAAGACTGTGAAACTGTACGCGACTGATGTTAATATCATTATTACTACTGACGTTTATAAATGTTTTAAAGTCACAAATATAAATATAAAAGATTATTTATTCAATAGAGACAAAATATTTTTCGCAATATCTACAGCAACGCTTTAACACTGAAAAAATGTCATATTTTCGATGCTCTTTTATATATTATGGCTTATGTACACGTGTATGTAAATCAGATAACTGAAATTTTTCATGGTAATATTTCCATTTAGCATCATCGTGATATGACTATGAAGCTAAGCTATGAAGACACAATACACGATTAATTAAAATTTTCAAAATCATAATATTCAGTCCGCCATATATGATCACTGCGTTATCACAAAAAATATAGTAAGAAAATTAGTGGAATTGTTCATTCCACTTATTTCCTCTCCAATATTTTCGCTTCTAATAATCCAAAGTGAATTAGTATATTAATTTGTACCAAACTATAAGTCACTCATGCTTTCTTGGATATGCAGATCCTACCAGTCTCTTGGATGTTGAAGATCGCCCACTCCGAAACATTCCAATTCATATTCGACAAGGTGATCGATTTTTCTGCTTTCATCCATTGAGAAGGCTGAGTTGTATTGAAATCCAGTTGACTTTCGGTCGTATGCGTAATCGGTATCCACCATAGAGGTTCGACACTAGACGTCGTTGTCATAGTGCCGTTACGAAGCATGAAACGTTCCTAAAGTTGAACGAATGAATCATAAAATTTCAAAGGCTACTCGTGAATCATACAAGGATTCACTGCAATTGTTTCAGACCCAACGAACCTGCGTCAGCGTTACTACACCGCTGTTATAATCTCGAATGACCGTCACCACTGGAAAACCTGTCTGGAGGGTCCAGGTATCCATAATTTCTTTAATTGTTACAGAATGATCCAGAACTTTGTCCTGGTGAGCTTGTTTCGTCAGTGCATCCCATAGATCATTTTGCTCTGCGCTCTGGTATGCTCTATTATAAAAGTATGAATCATGATTTTTATTTTTGTGTGTCGAAGCTTTATCTGACGACAAGTCTATTTTTAAGCTACGTTTCACGTTCGATTTTAATTAGTAATTGTCAGTGGATGTTATATTATTAATTCGATGAAATAAGGTTGATAAAGTAAAATTTTTAGATGTTCACGGTGAGTACGAACAAAATGTGATCATTCTGCTGAGATTTTCTACAGTAAAGTATCTCTAGATCAAATTACAATGTGCAACTGACGGGTGTACGTGTTAAGAAAATTTTGTGACTTTTAAGGAAAATTTGGAAAAACGAGGGACTCCTCTCGAGAAGTTAGTATCGTGTCGAGGTTGGTCTTGTGAGTTGCCAACAGTTGCAACTGTTTACTCCTAGTCATTCAATTTGATGCATTTTGAGAGAATTTTTCCAATAACTTCGGACACTCGCATGGTTAAGGCTGCGTATCTAATAACTATCAATAAGTGAAAGCTTGTAATGGGTTAGGTTTGTCAGGAAGGGTTAGTGTGGAACCATTTATCTCACTCTCTTGAATGGATCCAATCATGGGCCAATCACGGGGGTGTACCGGTTAGGTTTGTTTCAAGATCTCAGTACTCCCCTAACGTAGCAAATATGGCCTATGCGGGGGTTTTAGTGGGTACAAATCTCACATAACCCCGTCCCCTCGCCCATGATGTAAGGGTATCTTTGAAAGATTCCTTCCGCAAAAAAAAAAAAAAGAAAAAAAGAGAAAAAAAAATACGTATCTAATAATTATAACGTGAAACAAAAGAAGATTAAAGTTGCTAGATGACTAGAGGATAAAAGGATGAAATCTTATGCTCACCTTCCATTCAAATAATTCGTCAGACCTCGTTTGAAAACTTCAGTAGTAAGATAATGGTTCATCATCCTTATTATAGAAGCACCTGTTCAAAAGCCAATAAGGTTATGTTATTTTACTATATCGAGTTGCAAATAACAAGCATGTTTTAATAATTATATAATTTTAACTTTCGTTTGCTATTCTAACCTTTTTCGTAAGAGATTCTATCGAAAATTTCACTGATCTCATCAGGATGTTCGACTTCGATGGATATCTGATGAGAAGATTCTAACGCATCTAGGCCAAAGACATTCTGTAGGTCGTGTACGACGAATTGTTCCAAAACTTTCCAAGTTGGTTCCACCTGTGAGATTAAGTCGATATCGTGCATGAAGAATTTTAATGATATACTTCTGATTTTAGCAATAAATATGTATTTTTCTTTCGTTGGAGATGTTCGTGTATCGGTGAGTTTAGTCTAAATTTACCAACTTACTGCGTCCATACCGATGTATTCGACATAACTGGCAAAGCCTTCGTTCAACCAAAGGTCCGACCACCAGCTTGGAGTTACCAAGTTGCCGAACCACTGATGGGCAAGTTCGTGAGATATGACAGTGGCTACACGTTGCTGGTTGCTGCTGGTCGAGACACCTTCTTGGTACAACATAGCAGTTTCTCTAAAAGTTCAATTTTAGTTCCCACTAAATATCATAGAATCTTGTGTTGCAAAGTTTTGTTCATCAAAAAATATAAAAGTACGAATTTCTATAGGAAATAAATGAAATAAATGTATGTTAATTAATATTGATATTCACCATCTCTTTCATTGATGAGATGGATTCATGTTCTGGAAAATTTTATAACTTGGCTTCAGCTTTATGCAAAATACGATTAAAATTTCATTTACTGATAAAAATAATAATAGATACCTTAACATATTAATACAATATTCAGTATAAATATAACTTTCTATAAGCTAGAATAAAATAATTGTATATTAATTTGTGGAACTTGTTTAGTAAAAATTTTATAATTCAGTTTGATACAAGATATACTATTAAAATTACATTTCCTCTTAGATTTCTATACAAAGGTATTTTAATGCAATTCAAATTTTTAACATCGATATAAAATGTTTAGATAAAAGCAATATAGCAATATTCATATATTAATTATTATATACTTCCGAACCTTGTTTACTTCTAAATTCTATTTGTAATTAAATAATTTAATTATTCCGTCCAATTCGTTAATATAAATATACAAATTAAACAAATTTTCGAAACATAGTTCCATTTTATCAGAACGTCTAATGTTTAAAGGGATACTGAATGATGTTAATCAGACTCACCTGCAGGTAATTAATCCCCAATTCTCCATAGCCCCGGCTGAAAAATCAGGTAGGGCAATACTGTCTATTTTGGGAAGAGGAAACTTAATCTTGAAATAGTCCTCGTAGTATGCGAGTATCTTTGGGCCAATCTCCAGTGTATATTGTGCTTGATCGATAGCTTCGCTCCGTGCCCAGACTCTAAAGTTTCCAGATTCAGATTTCCTCATTTCGAAGTCCGAAACAATAAAGGCAACCAAGTACGTGGACATCGGCACCGAGCGTTCATAATGGTCCCACACGTACGACGGTAAGCCGGGCCTAGATGATATAATTGTTAGAATATCTAATGAAGTATGGAATACAAGCAATTATCGAAAATTATGTGATTATGAAAAAATAAATTATAGATTGTATAAAATGTAAATTGTATTTAAAAAATGCGTATTATTTTTACAGAACTAAATTATACAGAAAAAGTTGTTATTTAATAGATTACATAAGAAAATAGATTACCCTATCGTAGATTGTTTAAATAAATAAATAAATACTACACGGGATGAAAATTGAACAAATCAAAATAAAACTAATGACAAAGAAAGAAATGATTACAATTTTAAGAGATTCAAATAGGAGATAGAGAAAAATATACAAAAAGGATACGATCGACTGCTAACAATTCGAAATTCATGAACAGCTAATACAAAACTACGTAATTGGTAAATGAATTAAACACTATAAATTAAGAAAAGGATATTCCTTTTATAAGATGTCATATTATATGAATCACTGGAAATTAATTTCCAACAAGCTACTTTCTTTAAAGTTATACTGATTTAGTGAAACATTAAATAATTGGTCGAACACTTTATCCAAGTGTGACATGATTTATATTGAGAAAATTAGTAGAAAATGCAGGCAAATATTAGGAATTGAGGAAAAGAATTTTCAAGATACAAATTTTGCAGGCTTTGCACAAATTCACCGACTAATTTTGACACTTTATATTAGGAGAATGTAACTTTAATGGAGGTAGCACGCCAAAAGAGGATTCCAGAAAATTGAAATCACTTTCAAGGAATTCTGGCCCTGTAAATCACTCGGCATTATCCAATCTATTGCTGCCAAATTTGCGATTTTGCATTAACAAAATATATCTTTATAAAACATGACACGTTATTAGATTCATCTCTATAATTCCAAGATTTTTACGTTATTTTTCATGAATTTCATTGAAACAAATTTTAAATTACTCTGTTGTTTCTTCGCTTCTTTGTCTCACAGGAATTTTCTGTTATATCACGGACTCTGATGGACAAAAAAGAGTTCACACAGAGGAATTAACTTGGACGACACGTCTCGCGCAAACAAATTGATTACATAGTTGGTGACCACGGTCTTCACTGCTTCTAGAAATTACCTCTGTGTTCAATTCGCGCAAATAATAGGAGTGTTACATCCGTCTCGTGTTAAATTGCCAGTTGTACACGCTTCTCGTGTACTCTGTCACGAGGAAGTTGTAGAAGCGAAGCTTAAAAACTTTTGTGTAAACTATAAAAATCATTGTATAATTTTCTGAATTCTAAGAAATAAATAATTACAATAGATTCTAACTAGTAATTATCAGTTGTAAATACATCCCATGTACCGTATGATACGAGAGTTGTACAGGTACTCAGAAAATTTGATCCAGAATGTTTCATTTAAGACATTAATTATTGAACTTCTGCTGAAATTATATATCAGTTTCATATTTTAATTTAGACTTGTGTTATCGGGTGGTATTATTTATTTTATTTGACAATCTGAAGGAATAAAGATCAATATCCACCCTCTGCATAAGTTATACATCACATGTTTAAAAATTTCTTGTAAAATATCTAAAGATTGTTGACTGGTCTATGTAACTGTACCAGAGTATAGAAGTATATTCAATATCTCTTTGAGAAAGAATGATTATTTATTCTGTAAAAAATTGTTCGTTAAAGTCTCGCCTTTGAAACATAGATCATCATATCCCATGGCCTTAGTCCACCTATCCTCTATTATATGACTCGTCGTTATGTATATACATATATGCATAACCTTATTGGAGTTAAACAATTGATCGATAAATCAGGACAATAAAGTAGCTAAGAAGTCATGAATTATTCCGGTACATGCTAGAGTTAAATAAGAAACTGCGAGGAAAGTGTATATCTCAAGTGTCTCATTACTCATTTATTTTGCATATTAGTAACATTAATTATGCAAAAGTAATATTATGTAAAATATCGTATAAAAATGTTTAATACAGTATTACTAATAAAATAATTTTGAGAAATGCTATATAAAATATGAGATATTTATGAAAGTAAGGAAAAATGTTCTAAATAGAATATTGAGACACTTCTGAAGTTTGTTACAATATAAATTAGTATTATATTAATATTTTTAGTCAGATTGACAAAAAGTCTCGATATTTCTAAATATATCTATCTAAAGTATTCCAATGCAAGATATTGAAAATTATGAAAGTAATCGAATAAGTAGATTATCCAATCGTATCGAATGAAGCAATTCTGTTAACTCTAAAATAACAACTCGTACACACCGATGTATGTAACTACAGCAATATGATATAATTGGCAGCAAGCGTTTCGAATCATGTTAAATATATTCATTAAAGTTTCGAAACACTTCAAATATTTGCATAGAATGAAAATCTTAAAAACCTTTTAGCAATAAGAACAATGCAGTTAGTATAATGGATAGGGTGATTCCGACAATTAGACTAGATTATATCAATGTTCCAAGAGGGGTTAGGAAAGAGTCGTGGAGGAAACTTTTGCACTCTTTAACGAATTCTCGCAGACTGCAATTGCATTCTTCGTTTAAATAGAACCGTGTAACTTTATTTTCCATAAACTGATTCACCGACTCATTCCGCAAACAAAAGGTGTCAAGGCAAGGTATTAGAAAGGAAAGCTATTAAAAATTTAATAAATGAAGCATGGTAATATAGTAACTATAAATATAAAAATGAAAAAATATATTATTATCTATTATATTTTTCTCTTTATGTAATCTGCCTTCTATTTTTAAATATTTCTCTCAATCTGTATATAGTAACTCGAACTGCACATAATCCTAACTACAAACATATATTAACGTATTAGTCAGATGGAAATAATCACTGTGAAAATGGAAGAAATAATAACAAATAGAAAATTGTGTAATAACAATAAAATATTAATAAAAAATGAAGAAGTAATAAAATAAATAGAAAATATATATATATATATATAATTCATCTCAAATAATTATTGCAAGGAGTAACGATTCATAAAAAACAGAGAAATGGCATTGAAAGTGTAATAACAGTAAAAAAGGAATAATAATAAAATAATTATTATTGTCTTTCAGGCTAATAAAAAACTAGAGAGCTTCTTAATAACTTTTAAAAATAATTTCTGTTTACGATGGTTTCACTTGAAAACGATCATAAAATAATAAAATAATGTACAGTAAGAAAGATAGAGGATAATCTGTAAAGACATGGATAGATCCGCAATCTGAAAGTTACCTGGTGTGTTACAAAGGATTAAAGAAGCAAAAACTAAATTAATAAATGACAGATCCAAAGAGCTCGTTAACTTCGTGAAATTTATCATCGTGTCAAAAGTGCAATGGATTCTTTGCAATTGCACGTTTGACCCGGTCACGATGATACCCAATAAAGTCTCCAAGTAGTCGAGGACAATTGCGAAATCATTTTCTCTGCAGGCGTACAAACAGTTTAGACACTTACACTGGCATGGGTTCCCCCAATCTAGGCATATTCGAGATGGACGTCATGTTCTTAGGTCGTGCGATGCTGATTTTGAACCTGGCTTTAAGTGCTGGCTCGTCGAAACACGGAAAAGCTCGTCGTGCATCCGTTGGCTCGAATTGCGACGTTGCGATCCATCTATAACACGAAACGTAGAAATCATTGAAAGTAAAGTCGTATTTTGCTCACAGCGTTTTGGTAACATTCGGTTCATTTCATATAAAATTCTCAATTATTGCATCCTTCAGAATTTAATTTTATTAAATTATTCCTATCCTTTAAATACTATGCTTCGAATATTTTTATAAATTTGGACATAATTTGAAAAATTTTGCTCTTTGATCATTGTAAGCTACAAACTCTTCGTTTTAACTTCTTGTACAATAATACATCAAGCATTTCAGTTGCAGTCACTAGGCCAAAATTCAGGGCCACATTAATTATTATTGTTTACATACGAGTACTGTCATATCAAGCAAGTAAAGTAAGTAAATCAATTATATGATAAAGCGGTCTTTTAAAATGTGCATAAACATGCGAAAACGATAATATTTATCTGGTTACCTGATATATTTAGCTATACCTTTTGCGTCAATAATCTATTATCACTTTTTCTAGAACATTCGTTTAATATGGAACTAAGTAATCAGTTTTCGTTTTTCCTTTTCAAAATTCATTAACGTCAACCATTCTGCAGCATTGACTTTACGGAGACTATAAATTTAGTACTCGAACTTAGAAGACAACTAATTGCTTAGAACCGAATGCTGATTGTTAATTTGATTGCTCGATTCAAAGAGATTACTAACCAAACAACCAAAGTTACTGTTACCACTGCCTCAGTACCGTTAATACGACATTATTATCGTCTAAAACTCTTCCCGTCGACTACGTACTTCAACTTTAATAGCCACGTTAGTAATCGAAAGAATTAGTTGTCTCATTCGCTTCACGTATAACCTTCAACCTCCTATTCTCGACATTCGTTAGAACCAATCTCGTTCTTACCTTGGCTATTTAAACCATATAAATTAGATGTCAAATTCACTGCTTATTACGTATACAACGCTACTTATTAGTCACTTCTATTCTTATCTATCTGCTGTTTTACTAACGTCAATATGATAATAACATCATTGTGACGGTTCTTGCCAGAAATGAATTCTTCGAATCAAGTACTGAACATTGGATAAAACATTATTTTCAAGTTCGATCAATCCCCGGTTTTCTCTACTTAACGACCGTGTCTAGTAAAGTAATCAGTTATTCTTTATTAATATAACGCGAAACGTACCAAAGTGATCGTGAATTCGCAAAATATTGCAATGTGTTAGTAATAATGAATAGGAAATTAAACTAATACTGTAATTTTATTCTATCACTAGCATATATCATTAAAATAGTCGCATTTGTATTGAATCAAAATTAAGATAGACTAATTTAATTCATTTTATATTAATTAAGAAATTAAAATAAGGTGGCTGTAAGATAAATAAAATTAGCATTCATATTTTATCATCCTCAGTTTCCGAAAAACATGAGTTTTTCTAATAACGCACGATTTTTGGCTAAAATAAAATATTACACAGAAAGAAAGAACGTTTGGAGGTTCATCGTCGCCTTACAAGTTAGGTGAGAGTATCTCGAATTTATCAATGTCTATAATTATAATTATTTATGAATAATTAATATCCTGAATATTTATAACTAAACATTAAAGTTTAAAAATAAGTCCTCAGGCGTACTGTCTACATATATTTTTGCATTTTTACAAAAAGTTCTTTATCTGTCATGAATTTTCTACACAGTGGCGTATTCTATAGGCTTTTCTGAAGAAGAATCAATATTAAAATGAAGTTCAATGTTGACAGGATGGTAAAATGTATATCAGGACACCAAAATTGTCACACAGTAAATCTCATTTTTTATATACATAACATGTATATGTTTCCATGTACTTTTTTATACTAATAGCAAAATTATAAAAAATATCTTTAAATTACTTGTAATTTGAAACAGTTTCGTTATTCGATACATAATTACGAATTATTTTTTAATATAAGGTTGTTAAAAAATAAACTCTTATCTAACTTTTAAAATAGGAATTAATATTCTAACCTTTCTACTATCTATGCAATACTTCATTCTAACCAAAAATACTGGAGAAATAAAAATATTTTGACATACAAATACGTATCATGGAAATTTATGCTATGAAAATGCAAATGCAGGTATAGTTTATAAAAAGTCTATAAATTACCAAATTTATTATTACTAACAAATTGTTCACAACGTAAATTTGTCATAAGGGTGAACAAATTAATGAACTATTAGCTATTACGTGAATTTGTAACATTCTTGTGTTAAAATGTACGTATAATTTACAAAAAGTTTATAAATTATTACACCAACTGTTAATAACAAATTAATATTGTTAATAACAAATTGTTTGCAACGTATATTTATAATAAAAGTGAAAAAATTAATAAGTTATTTGCTGTTAGAGCCGAGAAATAATAATTAATGGAATTGAAAATTTCCGATCGGGGTGGGGGATTCGACCGATTGAAGGCTATATAAAGAGCGATGAGATACAGCAAAACTAATTTGTCAGTTCGATTTCGGAAGTATAACATCTAATACTCATAGCGCGCGAGGGGTGGAGGTCCGAAATGAGGTTGGGGATGGCTACCCCGCCCCATTAAACAATTTACTAATAATTTTTTTTTTTGTTTTCAGGTATTAATTATTTTTTATTTTTTCAGGTTTTAATTATTTTTTTTTATTTCAGATGTTATTTTTCGCTTATATTTATTTATATTTGAACATTCGAATATTTCGTATAATATTCGAACGTCTTATCGTTAGGTTGTTTATCTCTCATCGTTGGGTTGTTTATGTCTCATCATTAAATTGTTAATAATTTTCATATTTCAGGACTAATTTATTTTCTTTCAGGTTTTAATTATTCTTCTCCTTCCACATTTTATTTTCCCGTTTCCATTCATCTTCATTCAAACATTCGAATATTTCGTACAATATTCGAATGTTTCGTCGTTGGTTTGATTATGTCTCATCGTTGGTTTGATTATGTCTCATCGTTGGTTTGTTTCTGTCTCATCGTTCCTTACATTTGGTTTAGCTTCATGGTTCATACTCGTTTCGCTTTTTTCTTGTTTCCTCGTGCTAATCCGTTTCCTTTCAAATTTATATTAACAATAATATATTCTGTTTTAGCTTTTGGATTTCTCGAGATTCTCAAGTTTTTCAAAATTTCATTCGGAAGATATCGTTGGACGACGCGGGATGCGTGCGTTTAGACCTAACTAGTTATAAGTAACCATAAGATAGATGCCTTGACTAAGTATCATGTGCGCGCTTTCCGTACAAAGGTAAACTACCTAACTTGGAGCGAAATATATAAATTCTCTATCGTCCTCTTATCCCCCTCGTTTACCAAACAGAACATAATTGTTCTCGCGATAATCGCGATCATTCTTAAGTACCGACTAGCCTGCGTGACGTACTCTCGTGTACTCGATAACTCCATGTTTCGTAAGTCATCCAAACGACTCGTTCCGACACTCACCCTCGCCACTGGCATCCTTGTCTCGCATCCGTTCTAAGGTGGTCGGCGGGCTGGCACTCATCTGGGTCAATTCGAGGGTCTGTCGGCCTTAGTCGTCCTGGGCACCAGCGCGTGCACGACCGGGGTATGGGTCTTGTAGCCGGACATTGCATATGGGCCTACGGTCAGACCTCATGGGATGATTAATTTGTCCCCTATGTGGCAGGGGCCTGCGTGACCGACTACAGGGCCTCGCTATGGACCCTCGGCTTGATTTTGAATGTTCCGCTGGTTCGTCGATCGCTCTTGTTCGCGAGTAAGTCATGGCAGGGTCTGTGGTGGCTGGGTGGGCTAGGTTCCATCGGGAGGGTGCCGAGGCATGAAGTTGTCTTGTACACGAGGAGAGTACATCTCGTAGGCTAGTCGGTCTTTCGAATAATCGCGAATTCGTTCGGGCGCGTCGCGATTTTCTATTTGCTCGCGTGTTTGATATTTCATTCCCTATTTTTATGCAAACTTGAAAATATCTTAGCGTTGCAACAATAGAGTTATAGTATACCGATTCGAATTCCCTTTGAAACACACGAAATAAAATAAAGTGTCAGTAGAGTTACTTTAATTCGCTCTAAGTTAGATTAGGGTACCTTTGATACGAATAGCGCCAATAGGATGCGCCACTACGGCGCATGTCGGGTCTCGATGCGTAGTCACCTCCACGTGGTGAGACCTGGTAATTGGTATTGTTTTCCAAAGAATTAATTTTGGAAACGTACCAAGCTAAGAGCTACGCACCAAAGTTGAAATATTAGTTATAAGTTAGTTATAAATTTATTATAAAATAGTCATTAATTAGATGTAAATTAATTATAGTTTATGTATAAGTCGGTAATAAGTTAGTAATAAGTTTAAGATATTTTAGTGATTAGTATCTCATGTACGAAAATGTAATTAAAACGGATAGAGGTAAGTAAGGGAAGTAAGGGAAGTAAGGGAAGTAAGGTAAGTAAGGTAAGTTCAATAATTAAAATATCCTGCAATGAGTAGACTATGTATACTATGTATATTCACGTAAACGCAGAGAATAATATAAAAATGCTATCCTAATATAAAGGCACAAAATTAACCAAAAATTTCTCGCCGAGACTACAAAAGTATTATCCGAGAATTCTTAGAAATGACGTCACTTCTTGGAATTTTATCAACAAACTATTTTCAATTACGTTATGTTATTCTAATACAAAATCACAAAATCTGCCGAAAATTTTACCCCAAGGCTACAAAAAGTATTTGCAATGGAATTTTATTTATGTCTGAAATTTTGTCAGTGAGAGAGCTCCCTCAATGTTAAGTTCGTTGAATACGAAACCGCTAAATAAAAATTTTAAAACACCTGACATAATAACTTCAAAAGGAGCCAAGGAAATCCTTGATTACAATAATTGTAACAAAATAAAGAATAGAAAAATGAATTTCATATTTTACATATATATATATATATATATGTTAGTAATCTAGTAAATTGAAGTCAGTGCCATCTATGAGCACAGATGGCGCCAGGAGAGCGCTTAAA